GCCTACGCGTCGGGTCCGGCGCCGTACAGCGCTCCTCCCAGCAGCAGCGGCGGTGGCAGTCCGTCGCCCTACGGCCCGCAGGCCGCCGGGGCGAGTCCGCAGGCGAGCCCGTACAGCTCCGGCCCGGCGCCGTACATTCCTCACATGTCGCCGGTCTCGGCGCCGTACTACGGCGGCCAGGGCAGCCCACAGCCCGGTCAACACGTTGCCCAGCTACCGCCTCCGCAGCAGCAGCCGCTACGGATGCCACAGCCGCAGCCGCACCACAGCATTCCAGCCATGCCGCCGTCGTCGCCCTCGCCCTCGCTCTCGCTGGCAGCGGCGCCGCCCGGTGGCGGCGCACAAGCGGCCTACTGCTCGACGGCGGACTGCTACGGCCCGTCGTCGGGCTCGTTCCCGGTCAGGCAGACCTCGCCATCGCCGCCGACGCCGGCGCCGCTGGTCACGTCCGTCTCCTATCCGCAGCTGCCGCACGCCGCGCCCGCGTCATCTTCATCGGCCGCGTTCGAGCCGTCGGCGCCCTCGCCCTTGTCGAGCTCGGGCTCGGTCGCGACGACGTCGGGCAGCGGCGGCGCAGCGCTGCTGCCGTCGCTGCGCCGCTACAACACGACGTCGATGCTTGAGGCGAGCCGCCAGCGGGAGCGGGAGAAGGAGCAGGAGGCCCAGCAAGCGCTCGAGCGCGAGCGCAGGGCCATCGTCGGCAACATTACCGCCCTGCCCCATACATTCCAGACCGCGGTCGATCAGAGTACGTAGTTACTTTGGCCAGTCTCAATTAATTCAACGCCTCATCGTCGTGTGGTGTGTGTGTGTGTGTGTGTGTGTGTGTGTGTGTGTGTGTGTGTGTTGATGACAGTGTCAATCAAGGACTTGAAGGCACTGCAGGAGCAGTTCGGCTCGCTCACGCTTACGACGGCAGACACCAAGATCGCCATCAACGATTTCGCGTCCAATACCGGCTTCCGTCCCGACAGCACCCTCGTGAGGTACTGCTTGCTCGCTCGTTCGCGCCCCTCGAGCCCCCCTCCCTCCTCCCACCCCTCGATGACCATGCTCCGTGGCATCACGCAGGTTCTTGTTCCAGCTGTTCGATGTCGACAAGAATGGGTTCATCACCGAGGTCGACTTCCTCAGCAGCATGTCCTTCTTCATGAAAGGAGCCAGGAAGGATAAGCTCGAATGTACTCCCTCTCACCAAACCTTCTTCTTCTGCTGCTGCTTCTTCTTCTTCTTCACCAACGATGATAATGACCGATGGGTACTCACCCGATCAATCCGCATTCGGTGTACGCAGGGGTGTTCGACACGCTCGATTCGAACAACGACGGCGTCATCGACGAGATGGAGCTCAACGACGTCATCCTCTCCATGTACCAGGTACGCACCACTCGCCCCACTCAGCCACGGACTGGCTCATTCACTCACCTCCCCCACGATTTGACCTTCTCTCGTCTCCGCGTTCTTCGTAGACGCTGTCGTCGCTGGGAATCACCGTGTCGATGACCGCCCTCATGCCGTTCCTCTCGGAACTCTTTGCCGCAGTGCCCGGTACCTGATTTTTGATGGATATTTATTAATTTTTAGTATTTATTGATTTATTGATATTTATTATTTGCCGGTTCTTTTTGTGCTCTTCGGCTTGCATGCTAGTCAATGGCAAGCTGCACCAGACCATGACCAAGGAGCAGTTCGTCCAGCTGGAGGAAACCCGGCCTCGTCTCCTCCAGGTATCGCGTGTGCCTTGTGTGTGTCGTGTGTGTGTGTGTGTGTGGTGAAAAGAGAGCAAAGGCTTGAAAGGTGGTGTCTGTGCGTTGGCCAGGGGCTGGGGCTCTTGAACTGCGAGGGGCCGGAGAAGCGGGTGGGCAAGCGGGGCACGCCCGTGTCGCTCATCGGGGCCTCGTGGAAGACCTGCTTCTACCTCATGCTGGGCCTCCGCATCTCCGTACCTACCGCCACCTCCCCACCTCCCCCTGTTCTTTGCCATTTGCGTGGTGACCATCATCGCCGCGTCGACACCTGCTAATCGCACAGCTCTGCTATCTGACCACAGATACAAATGGCCAACGGCGATCCCACCGGCGAGCCCTCCACGGCCGATTTCAAGGCCGTGACCACGTTCGAGCTCGCCAAGTGCGTCACCCTTAGCCAAGCCTTATTTTATTATTTCTTATTTATTGTTTGCTCACCGGCACTGCGCGGCCAGGACGGACATGACCAAGGCCGAGACGTGGACCTTCACAGACTACGCCCCGCTGGTGTTCAAGAGGTTCCGCGCCATGTGCGGCATCGATGAGTCCGAATACCTCCTCGCCCTCGGTACCCAGACCAATCCGCTACTGTTGGTTCCTGCTCAGCGCGGAGCTTTTTGAACTCACCACCACCGCTCTGTCTGCCTTGAATGATATGCTATCATTTTTTTAGGCCCAGAGCAGGTGTTGGGCAATCTGCTCCGCGGCGATCTGTCCACTCCCTCGGTCCAGCTGTCGGACGGCAAGTCGGGCAGCTTCTTCTACTACAGGTTTCGTATTCGTACCATCGTGTGATTCAGCGCTGTGTGTGCCGTGTGTGCCGTTGTCGTGTGTGTTGTGCTGACGACTTACGGGAAACAACGCAGTCACGACGGTCGGTTCCTGGTCAAGACCATTCCGCTGGACGAGTGCACGTCCCTCTTCCAGATTCTCCAGGGCTACTACGAGGTACTGGCCGGCGCCACTAATGGCCACTTCGGGGCTCTCGCTGTGGTAGATATCTATGATTCCCTCCAGCGACTCACGCTTTCTCGTGGCGTGCTGCCAGCATTTCCAACGCTATCCGGGCTCGCTCATCGGACGCTTCTTCGGGCTGCACAAGATCAACCAGACGGCGTTCGTGGTCATGGAGAACGTGTTCCAGACCAACATCCCCATCCACCGCGTCTACGATCTCAAGGTATACTTCCCTCCGCGCCGTTGGTGCATCACCACACACACACCAACACACACAACACGCACACACCAACACACGCGCGCGCGGCGCCTGGCCTCATCCCCCCCCCCACGATCAGGGTTCCACTGTGAATCGAAGCACGGCGCAGGGCGAGAGTGTACAGAAGGACATGGACCTCAACCAGTACCAATTGCCCCCCCCCACAAACACGTTTTCGCGTTGCTGTGGTTGACCTCATTTCTGGTTGCTCCCGCGACGCGTTGCCCTTCTCTCCCCTCCGACAGTCTCTTTTTGTTCGACGCCGAGACGAGGAATCAGCTCGTGAGCCAGGTCCACAAGGACTCGGACGTGCGTGCCTCGCCTATGTTTGTTATTATTGGATTTATTACCATTACTTGGAATATTATTGTTATTATTATTATTGTTATTGGAATTATCGTCGTTTTCATTATTATCGTTGTTATCATTATTCTGTTCTTTGTGTTCAGTCTTCGCTCTTTGTCCACTTGCAGTTCCTGCGCGAGCGGAACCTGATGGACTACAGCCTGCTGGTGGGCATCCATTTCCTCAACTATCCCGACATCGAATGCCGGCCAGTCGACCCGGGACTCAAACCCAAAGTGTCTGGGTATGGCCGTCAGCAAGTTGCCGCAACACACGACATACACACACGCACGCGCGCACACACGCACACAACACAACACACGCACAGAACACACACACGCGCACACCACACAACACACGCACAGAACACACACACGCGCACACCACACAACTGCGCGCACTCACGCAGTGTGGGAAAAACAGAAGCGACGCTCTGGCGCCGGTGGAGGAGAACGCACCGTTCTTCCGCAGAGACTACGGCGGCATCCAGGGGCGCAAGAAGAACGGGACGCCGCTGGGCGAGATCTACTTCATCGGCATCATCGACATCCTCACCACCTACAGCTACGGGAAGAGCGCCGAGAACTTTGTCAAGAGTCTCTTTGTCAACAAGGTGCCGCCCTCGTGTGTGCGCGCGCGTGCATGCGCTGATGTGTTTGTGTGTGTGTGTGCTGATATGGATCGTGTCGTGCAGCATGCGATCTCGGCCGTGCCGCCGGACGAGTATTCTGCACGATTCAAGAACTATGTCAGCACCATCTTCGAGTGAAGTTGGGATTTTGTGAACCTTCCTCTGCAGCGCGTGGAGGCCACCACCCACACCAACAAACATCATTTTTCCTCTTGGCCACCGCCATCTTTCAACTGTTCGGCTCCCATTGACCTGGTTTGTCTCTTCACGGTTCCGCTGAGAACGCAGGCTCTTGCGCATCTTAGCCTGGCGCGCCGGTGTTGGCTTGACCGACGACACGCGAACCAGACCAAAGAACACGATCCTGTTCTCCCCGCCCTCGCGCCAGGCGACCCAGTTGTGGCGCCAGGATCTGGGGCAAGAAGAGAGCAAAAAGGAGGATACGGCACGGTGGATTCCCGGGTGGTCGCCCACCCCAGTACTAACACCGCCTGGCGCAGCTTAACTTCGCTGTTCGGATGGGAAGCGGTGCTTTCTGCGCAGTATGGCCGTATCCATCAGCCTTCACCACACACTCGCCACAGCCACCAGATGGAGACTTTCTTTGTAATATGTGCAGTGTTCCTTTTGTAGGCAACAACTGCCTTTCCAGAGTGCTGGTACCTGTAAAGCAGTTGTTTGCCCCCACATAAAGGGAGTTGGTAAATCAGAGGATTGCAGTTGGAAGGACAAAGTATAATGCATGTATATGATACAGATATTCAAGCTTACATGCTTTGGGTCTCATTTCTGTTGACAAAACCTGCTGCAGGAGATCTTTAGATGCCTCTAACTAAAACTTGACCCCTCTTAACTCATTTTTCAAAAGTGATTTTGTTTGTGATTTTATCTTGCTTAAATGAGTTTTGTGTGATCTGTTTTGTCTGAAAAGATGTGTTCCCTGCTCCCCAGCCAAGAACAGCATCTGTTTGATCAGTGCACCTTTGTGCACAAGCACAGGAAGGTCCATGCAGGACCAAGAGCTCCAAGCCCTACAAGTCTGAAGTTCCTTCCATCTAGCCCTACTCAAATTGCTGATTTCATTGTAGCTGGTGTGCAGGTCAGTTGATGAGAAATGCCAGAAATGTAAAAGACATCATTTTAATGCCAGGTGATCTCCTGCACAATCCCACAAATCCATCAAGACGAAGCTGTACATACAGCCATTGTGTATAATCACATGTTCAATCACTCAACAATCAATAAAGTCTACTTTGTATTGGCAAGCACCAAGAACAGTAAAACTTGAGAAAAAAGAAAATCTTGTTTTTCTGCTGCACAGCACATGCACACTGTACATGCACACATGCATGCGGCATTGCCTGTTTCCCCTTTCATTGTTTGTTTAGCTCTCACTGTGGTGGTGCGCAGGGTGGTCATCATCACTGTGTGTGCCATCCATGAACTGGAGCAGGTGGTTGTGGAGCTCATGGTTCTCATGCCACAGGTGGGCAATCTCCTGCAGGAGGGCCTCACAGGTGGCCTCCCTGAACTCCTCCTCAAGCGCCACCTCCACTGCACCAGCCTGCCTCACCGCCATTGCCAGCACCAGGGGCTTGTAATGGCAAAGACTGCATTGATGATGATCAAGCTTCAGCATTGAGACAAGGTACCACATTGGCTAAAAAGCCATGTTTGTCAATAGAGTCAATGTCAGGAATTTCTTCATTGTGCCAATAGCATAGAGTCGCCTTGGTGACTTGCAGGTACTGGTCGGTCCAGAGTGCAGGTAAAGGCAAGGCTTGTCCATTACATAGAGGGCTTTCTGATCCCAGGTGATGATGGCAGAGTGTGTGGTGAAGGCTGATGGATACGGCCATACTGCGCAGAAAGCACCGCTTCCCATCCGAACAGCGAAGTTAAGCTGCGCCAGGCGGTGTTAGTACTGGGGTGGGCGACCACCCGGGAATCCACCGTGCCGTATCCTCCTTTTTGCTCGCGTAGTGTGTCAGACTGGCAGATCCATCTTGAAGTATGGTCCAGAGTGCGTGTGCTACACTCTCTGCACTCTGGACCAACTTTGTGCTCATCAGCGCCCCCAATGTCATGAGAAGATGGTCCAGAGTGCACGTAACATTGTTTTTCCTGGTACCGGTTGGTCCAGAGTGCAGAGAGTGTAGCACACGCACAGAGCACACTCCATCTTGAAGTAGTGGACAAGTTAACAACGACGACAGAGAAGGTGGTGATGACGCCTCCAGCGACGAAGAAACAATACTTGCTGTTTTTTTCTCCCTGCTTTTCAAAAAAAGGAAGGAAAATGGACAAGGCCGAGCGGGAGGGTGTGGTGCGTGTGCTGGGCTGCTTTGATTCCTTCAAGGACTCCCTTGAGGCCGACCTGGTGGCCGATGCCGTCCTCCACGCCATAGCTCATCTCTACCCAGGTTCCATTTTGCTTTTCTTCCACTAAATGAAATTAAATCTTTCTTTCATCATCTATCTAATCTCATGCAACAGGACGAGTGGAAACGCGGTCCCTTTCGTTGAGCGACGGCGGCAATGGCTTCCTCAACGCACTCAAGGGTCCTCTCGCACTCAAACTGGTCACCCACACCGTCATCGGTCGGTACACACGTGTGTGCGGTGTGTCGTGTGCGGCGGTGGCGTGGGCGATGTGCGGAGCGAGTGCTGATTCAACGGCCAACAGGTCCCTTGGGCGCGCCGGTGCAGGCGTCCTACGGGAGCAGCACCAGGCCGGACTGCGCGGGGAGGCTGGCCGTGGTCGAGATGGCCTCGGCGTCGGGCCTCGAGAAGGTGCCGCTCGACCTGCGCAACCCGCTGCACACCACGACCGAGGGCACCGGCCAGCTCATGCAACACGCCTTCGACGAAGGCCACAGCCACATCATCGTCGGCATGGTGCGTGTTGTGTGTGTGTCGTGTGTCGTGTGTCGTGTGTCGTGTGTCGTGCGTGCGTGTGTCGTGTCGTGCGGTGTGTGCGTGAGCTTACAGGGGCTCATGTGTAGGGCGGGAGTGCCACGAACGACGGCGGACTCGGCTGTCTGCATGCGCTCGGCGTTCGGGTCAGGATTCAACCTGACGACGAGGTAACACGACACACGACACACGACACACGACACGCGCAGCGTTTGGCTCATTGTGTGGGTGGTGGGGTGTGGAAGGACCCCGAGGAGCACCCGCCCATCGTGTTCGGGCGGCACCTGAACAAGGTGACGAGTCTCACGATGCCCGAGAGCGGAGTGCTCAAGGGCGCCACAGTGGAGATCGCCTCCGACGTGGACAACCCCTTTGTTGGCGAAAAGGGCGCCGTCGCCGTGCGTCTCCTCGACACACGACACGACACACACGGCGCACGCCATGACACACACGGCACACGCATGACACACGCGGCACACAACGGCCGTGGTGCAGGTCTTCTCGGCGCAGAAAGGAGCGACGGAGGAGATTCAGAAGCGGCTGGAGGCGGGCATGCACCGGGTCGCGGGCTTCTATCGCGATTCGCTGCCGCTCGGGATCGACGTGGCCCACCTGCCCGGCGCTGGATCAGCTGGCGGGCTCACGGGAGGCATCGTCGCCACCACCGGCGCTAAAATCAAGCGAGTACGCAACACAACACAACACGCCGCACGACACACACGACACACACGACACGCACTCACTGCTGGTTGTCTCGCACGGGCGCAGGGTATCGAATTCGTGGCCGAGGCGCTGGGACTGGAGGAGGCCATCAAGGGCAGCGACCTGGTGCTCACGGGCGAGGGGCGCTACGACACCCAGACCCAGCACGGCAAGACCGTCTCCGAGGTCCAAAAGCTGGCCAAGAAGCACCACAAGCCCGTGGTGGTCATCTGTGGGTCCAAGAAGGACATCCCAGAGGGTAAGTCCGCCACACTGCGTGTGCGTGTGCGTGTGCGGTCGTGCGTGTGTGTGCGGCTGATGAGATGAGCATTCGCCAGGGGAGGACCACCACGTCTACGAGCTGGTGTCGATGTACGACCTGGACACCTGCATGAACCGCACCGCCCAGTCTCTCGATGGGGTTCGCGTCCTTTCCCTTCACTTCTCCCCCCCCGGGGGCCGCTCGATCTCTGACCTTGTGCGTGTGCGTGTGCGGTGTGTGCGGTGTGTGTGCAGTTGGTGAGGGCCAACGCCTCTCGTTTCCCGGTCCTCTCCCGCCTTGGCGCGCCCCAAGACCAGGCTTCGCTGTAGCTGGCACCAGAGATGGTGGTGGTGATGATGTTGAGAAAAAAATCTGTTGTTAATCTTGCCCTTCGAGATTCGATGATGGTCGGTCTTGCATGAGGTCGGCCTTGGTGTTGGCTCGCGTGTTCTCCTCGGCGAAGATGAGCTGCACGCGCTGGCTGTACCGCTGCCACTTCTCGGTGCAGTTCTTGATGCACGAGTCCTCCTTGGTGGTGATGGGCGCGTCGTCGTCGACGTTCTTCATGCACAGCCGGAAGCATCGTTCCGACATCGAATTGAACATCCCCAGCACGCTCTTCATCTGCATTTCGTTCATCAACTGCACCATGTTCCTCGCCGCCGCCTCGCTCTTCTTCGCATCCGGCGCGATGTCCATCTTGGTGAGCGATTGCGGATTATTATACTCTTTTTCCTTTTTCCTTTTTCCTTGTTGTCAAACGCGTTTCAAACATGTTTCAAAGCAGTTTCGAAGAATCTAGACTTTCTTCGGATTTTGAGTTTCATTTCCCATTCATTTCGTGGCCGCAGAAAATGTCCGAGCCTCGGTCATTCGTCGCTTCCCACAGTCGGCGATGTCTGCGTCCCCTGTTTTCGAAGAAGGAACCTGCGGCCACAAAAGCCGACCCAGCCGACGCCTTGCACCATCAACAAGCAAGCGCAACAACACCAACACCAACATCAACATCAACACCTCCTCCTACAACAACGCAATGCAGAGGACGACTTCGCGCACAGCTGCTCCCGCCATCAGGCAGAGGCTACTGAGTTCGGCCGCGACCGCCACCAGGCCGTCGTCGGCGCTCACGGCGGGCACGACGCAAACGATGACCTCTTCTTCTTCGTCTTCTTCTTCGTCGGCTCGCGGCCTGTCGGTCCACCTGCGCCCGCGTCACAGCCACCACCATGAGTCCTTCTTCGACGCCTTCGCACGCGATCCGTTCTTCCGGCCGCTGATCAACGAGCTCGCCTCGACGGCCAAGCAGGTGGGCCGGCCGGCCGTGCCCAAGGAGGGGCCGCGACCGCGACCGCTCCACGCCAACGTCAACGTGCTCGAGACCCAGCAGGGCTTCGCCATCGAGGCCGAGATGCCCGGCATTCGACGAGAGGACATCCGCGTGGAGGTGTGCGAGGGCGACCGACTTGTCATCCGAGGCGAGAAGCGATTCGAGGGCCACACTGCGAACAACACGAACACGAACACGAACACAAATGTGAGGGGCGAGCTGAAGGAGGCGAAGGAGGCGGCCGAGCCACAGCAGCGGTACCTGACGTTCGAGCGAAGCTACGGCACCTTCGAGCGCACGTTCGCGCTGCCGGAGAACGTCGACGCGAGCAGGATCAAGGCCTCGTACACGGATGGCGTGCTCAAGGTCGAGCTGCCCAAGGCCGCCAAGGAGACGCCCAAGTCGTGGACCGTTGAGATCAACTGAGCCTGGCGGCGTGGGGAAGGTGTGGCACACAATAAATATTTAATCGATGTTGTACGTGCCACAGGAGCTTCCTGCAGCCTACCGCCACGAGTAGCTGCACAAGGTATCAAGTATCAAGATGAAGCAGGAGTATGGCTGCCTCCCGAAGCCCGGGTTGGAGCATGTCTTCGCGAAATGGGAGAAAATGAAGATGAGTAAGAGATCAGACCGTCTATTGAAAAATGGGTTACTTGTTGAGCTTTTCGGTGGCAGATCGCAGGAACAAGTTGTTCAGCTTCTCAATCTTCTTCAGCACTTGCGCATGAGATGCCTTGTACTTGAGACACTGTTGGGAGGGTAGTTAGAACTGGGAGATCTAAATTGGTCGAGAGGGAGGTGCGTACCGTCTGATCGTCCGTCACCTTGAGCACCAACTTGCCATCGCAGTGGCGGTACTTCATCACATATCGCGTTTCTACAAATTTAAATTAGTATAGATTGAGCAAATGAAACGAAACAGGAGCAGGGCGGCAGATGATTACTGTTGGGGTTCTCGTTGTAGAGCTTCTGCGCGGCCTCAAAGAACACCTTCCATGACGTCAAGTACACCATCTTTGTTGTTGCGATTTTTTGTTCTTTTGCGCTTGTTCTTTATCGTGAAAATCTCTTTGCTGACGTCAGCAGTCAAACTTGGTCGCCGTGCTGATGTTCGCTGGACATGTGTACAGGCGGGTTCGCTCACCCCGTCGTCGTGGTTGATGGTGTTGTTCGTTTGCTGTAGGCAGGCCTGTTGTGGCCTATTGTATAGGGTTGCTCACTTGGTCTTCTGCAGCTTCTCGATAGTACTCTCAATCATCCTCAGCCGTGTGTGCTCCAGCTTTGCGGCGAACACGTTGGCCTTCAGCGCTGACCGCTCGCTGTTGATGACTGTCGGACGTTGCGTGGTCAGCAAAAGCCAACATGTGTAATAATAAAGGAATAGAGGTGACCACCAGGGAAGGCTTTAAACGTACGCTTGCTGAAGAAGAACTCCCTGAAGCTGGCGTCAAGAGAGAAGCGTTGGTTGGCCAACAGCTGCGGCCCGAAGGGACGCACGCCCTGCTTGACCGCAAACTCGAGTCGCACCGTTTGATCCCCCGGGTCCATCGATACGACGGCGTAGATATCTATGATGGCGGCCACCAGCACCCGTGCGATCACAGTCAGGCGGGACCTCGCGAGCAACAACCACACAAACTGCCAGCGGTTGTAGTGCACGTACGATTGAATTGCGTCTTCATCATGCACGGGTCGAACGTGGCGCCAGGCTCCACGAAGACCACCACAACGATGTCGTTCCCTGACATTGACAAAGCGGTTAGGAGTGGTATGGCATCACACAAAGGAGGGAAAGTGGGTTGATGTACCGATGTGACGCTTCCTTTCGAGCTGTTGTGGATCCTTCGGGTTGTAGGGGAGCAGAGTGCAGACATGGAACATCACGTTCAGGTCTCGGAACAACGTGAACACCGAATGAGTGCCCGTCGTATCATCTGCGCGAGTGTGCGGGAGAGAAAGAAATGAGAACCCTACGATGACGTGACTAGAGGAGTGTGTGTACTCTTGACGTCAAGTCCGCCCGTGAAGCCCGGCCAACCCTTGAGGGTGATCCGGTCGCCCAGGAAGTTCAAAAATTTCTCCAGCTCCGGGCTCGTCGCTGTTTGCACGCATACGATGAAGGCTTAGTTCGGTGGCTGACCTCGTGGCGCGTTGGGCGGCGCGTGGTGTGCGTACAGTTGGAAAACATCTCGTTCTCGCCCTGATTCTTCTTGTAGTAGAGCACGCCAAACTTGTAGTCAAAGGAGAAATGGGACCGCTCCATCCGCAGCAAGTCGTCGGTTATGTCTGATGCGCATCAGCCAAAAAGAAGAAGAAAAGCTGTTAGCTCTCGGAGCTGCAAGCGATGGTTCAGTGTTTTTTTTGCTTGGGGGCAGTACCGATCACCGATTTCTGAAACTTCATGTCCTGAATCTCTGGCTGTTTGTTGGCACAAAAGCAGACAAAGGGAGGAAGTGTCAGAAAGGAATGATAACTATGAGCATTCCTTGAGTGGGGGGGGGGCGAGATACCAGGTAGCCCATAGGGCCACAGGCCATGCCCAGTCCCTTGAAGAGACTGTTTTTATCAGCTGCGCTACGAACGAATATCTGCTTCGATCCCTGTGTTTCCCACACGCGAGAGCAACATCCGTCACTCGTTAAGTTAGCCCGCATGCACGACGCTGCATGATATGCGTGCGTGCGTGCGGTGGTGGTGCGTGTGCGTACGTGTTTGCTCTGTATAAGGCAGCGGTGTACAACGATGTTTCGAGACTCGCTGTTAAAACTGAACTTCTTGTGCGTGTTCATGACCAGCCTGGCGGACGATCTGAACGTGGCCACCGTCTCTATGACCGTCCTGCACGTACGTGGATTCATGCGATGAGGCGAATGACAACTGAGGCGGGGCGAACAGCCAAACGTACTTGGAGCCCGAGCTTCCTGTGGGCGCAACGGACACCAACACTGGGCCTACGCGTGGATCCACTCCCCAGTAGTTGGTGTGTTCTGGGTAGGCAACACACACACACACACACACACACACACACACAAGGACCATGACAGGTAGAAACAGAGAGTCATGAGCGAATGAGTTGTTTTCATCACAAGGCTCGCGCCTCGGGCACATGTGTGCGCGCTACCTTTGCCGTTGAAGTAGATCTTGAAGTAGGGGCTACTGTGATCATCCTCGAGCGCGTTGTACGCTCCCTCAACGAAGTCCTGTGCACATGAGGACGCAGAAGCCAAAAGGTCAACGTTGCGACACGCACGAAAGCTTGGCATCGACCGCACAAGGGAGGGAGTAAGTGTTACCGCTGAGCCACGCTCCACGTGCCACCCGCCATCCGGGCCGGAGGGCTGGACCATCACGTTGGATACCCGCGGGCTGCCGTTCCAGAAGCTGGGCATCGGCACCGGGAAGACACCGCTCGAGTGCAGCCTGCCCTGGGCCGGCTTGTTGGTGTTGGGCAAGCCTGATGACGAAGGGCAAGCGGCCGCAAGTGTTATGGGCACGCACTCAAAAGTTGACGTGGCGGCAAAGCCGTGGCGATGGCTGGAGAGGATGAGCGCACTGGGGGGCGGCAGGGCGGCAATCATGTCTGAGTCGAGGGCAGGCGAGTCGTTCCATTCGCGCACGATGCCCTTGTCTACGAGCTGCACGTAGGAAGATCGCCGCATCATGCTCGAATCGAGTGCCGCCAGGAAGGCAGGCGCCGGACGAAGCGACAATCTGCCGGCCGAAGGCATGTTCATCCCCTCCGGCATGGGGGGCAGCGTGGGAGGAAGGTGTAGGGACGGCCCAGATGAAGGGGCTTCCTCGACGGCCGGCAAATCAACTGATTTCTTCTTTCCGAAGATGCTGGTCCTCTTGGTCGGTGGCTTTGGCGATGATGACGCCGTCACATCGCTCGATTTCTTGATGCGGGCCAGCTCCTTCGCATCTGTCGATTTGCTGCGCGAGTGGCTGTTGTTCCAAGTTGATTCTTCATCGAGGTTCGAATTTGAACGTTGGATGGGAGAGAACTGTGTGGTAGTGGCCGAGAACGGGGGCGGCAGATGAGGCAGCTGGGGGACCGCAAATTGAACTGGCTGCCCCAAATCGCCGCCAATTGAGGCCTTGCGTGAGATGGGCTTGTTCTCCCGTGTCGTTTGGACGCCCACGGTAGCGGTGCGCCGACGAGGCGACAGCTCCGCGCTGGAGCTCATCTGGGCCATCACTGGCGACGCCGACCGTTCCCCCTTGATGATCGCACTCGACCCCGAGGTGTACATGCTTGGAAGGCCGGCCACTTGACGATGACGATGGCAATGAGGATGATCAAGTAAACAACAAAGATGGAAGGTGAGAGCCTTTCCTCCTTTCTCTATCTCTTCTCGTTCAGTTGAAGCTGGTACACCGCCGCGACGTCGTTCAAACCGAGCTCGCAGATGTGGTGCAGGCTCGAACAGCGCTTCTGACCGTTTCGGTGATGGTAAGGTCGACTTTAGGTAAGCGGCCTATATGTAACCAGGCCACCCAGACAACCGCGTTTCAACTCTTTTTTCGAAATGAATTACGCAACTAGTTTGCTCAACACTCAACTTGTTGGGTCCACACACACATATCAACATTGCATTGCAACGCGACAAAGGCCCACAGGGGCATGAACATGCTAGTAGAGCTCCTGGAGGGCCTGGTGGAGGCCCTTCTTGCCGTTGTTGGTGTTGTTGCCATTGGTGTTCTTTCGCTTCCAGCCCTGGACGCTGAGGTCCTTCTCGAGGTCGGAGTAGAAGTCCATGCCCAGCTGCAGACAGTCGACCAGCTGCGTGACCTTGGTCTCGTCCTCGATCTTCTCCCGCTCCTTGAGCTCGTCCAGCTCGTCGGCCAGGGCCTCGGTGATCTGCTGCATGTAGACCTGCTCGAACGTGAGCTCCTCATCCTCTTCGTCGCTGTCTTCATCTCCATCTTCGTCGTCGCTGTTCTTTTTGGCTCTCTTGAACTTCTTCTTCTTCTTCTTCTCGTCCTGCTGCGCAGCCTCGTCGTCCAGCTCCGTCAGCTGGTTGGTGGCACTGGCGTAGACCTGAGCGGAGGCACACGTGAGTTAGTGACGCGGACTCGAAATGCGCGCACGCAGAACGAGACATTGCATTACCGTCCACGCCTTCTGGCTCTCCTTGTTGACGCGGAACCACAGTCCGGACTGCACCCACTTCTCCTCGTTCTCCACGAAGCCCTGCGAGTTGGCGTCCTTACGCAAGTCCTGTCGTTCGTTCGACAGAAAAGATGATTTTAGCCAACGAGTGCGCTCAGAGCGGGTGGCAGGTGTGGTCGCACCTGGAAGAGAATGTCCAGCGCATCTTCGAATGGCGGCATGAGCTCGCTGGGCGTCTTTGGCAGGTTGTGGGCGTCGACGAGAGCGCGGTGCACGTCCTTGCAGAGGGAGGGGAGAAACACGTAGTGGATCAGTTAGAGATCGTCTCGATGAGCTTATAAGGCTGACGTGCTGTGGGTGGTACCTGCTTGAGCTGCAGGGCCTTGTCGATGGTCTTGACGGTGTGAAGAGAGAGCTTGGCCATCTGGGCCAGGAAGGATTCCTTTTGCGCCATGGACGTCTTCGTGCCCATCACCTTGCGCAGGTCGCCACGCTTTTCTGAGGCGAGAGCGAACAGCAGCATCAGTGCATCAGCTGCCAGGAAACACGTGCTTGTCGTGTCGTGTCGTGTCGGTACCCTGCTCAGCGAGAAGCTTGTGAGTGTGAGTCAGCGTCGCCTCCAGCGCGTCGAGTGCCTCGGCCATCGGTCCTCGCGACTGCGACTTCTCCTGGGACTGCTCGCTTTCGCTTTCGCTTTCGCTGTCCATCGATGCGTCGTCCACAGCGCTGGCGTCGTTCTCGTTGGTCACGTCCATCTCGTCCTCGTCTTCATCCTCGTCCTCTTCGCCGTCCTCGCTCTCGTTCTCGGCGTCTTCGAATGCGAGAGGTTCGCCTTCATCGTCGTCGCCATCCTCGTCAAAATCGTCGCTCAGCTCCTCCCACCCGTCTTCATCATCCACTTCTTCGTCCCATTCCACCTCTTCGTCCCACTCAATCTCATCTTCATCTCCACCGTCAGCGATTTGACCGTCTTCATCTCCATCATCTTCTTCTTCATCCTCCGAGATGGGAGCTGTTTTGCTCTTGCCTTTGTCTTGTCCCTTCGCTGCCGTGGTTCGACCGTTAGACGAAGCCTTGGCCGATGAGGCGCCGGACGAAGTAGACGATGATGCAGGAAGGGGTTGAGATTTGAATCCCTCCTTGGCGAACAATTTCTGAATCTCGAGCCGCAGCCGATTCTCCTCCTCCGCCTGATCTGCAGCGTTGTTGCTTTGGCCGTCGAATTCCTTCACCTTCCATTCCGCCTCATCTCCTCCCCTCGACTTCCTGCGCCCTCCGCCCCCGCTGCCCTGCTTCGAATCGTTGCCATTGCCAGCATTCGATTTCTGGGCCGATTTTGGCGATTTGGCCGGTGCTGGTGGCTTGGTGGGTGTCTTCTTGGCCACGGCAGCGGATGGGCTCTGGTGTGTGGTCTTCTTCTTCGCCGGCGTCCCCTTGCCCTTTCCGCTGTTCGGGCTCGGCGTGGCCGCTCCTCTCTTCATCTTCACCGGAACACAGAAAAAACAAATAAAAAACAAATGCATTTATTTATTCGTAATAAATAAAAGTAAATGCAAAATAATGTAAAAGTGTTGTACAACGATCACTGCTGCTTCGTGTCGGCCTGGGCCTTGAGTGCGAGCAGCTGGTGCTTCTGTCTCTCGAAGAACTTGCGCACTTGCTGCTGCGCGAAGATGGCGGCCTGGTGCTCGTTTTGCAGCATCTGCTCCTGCAGGGAGCTCAGCCACCTGATGTCGTGTCGTGTCGTGTCGTGTCGTGTCGTGTCGTGTCGTGTCGCTCTCGGGTAAGCGACCGCACACAGGTGCCTGTCCAGGCCTGCAGAACGTACCCTTCAGTCGAAGACTGGTCATCGAGGCCCCGGGCGATGGCGGTCCATTCGCGCTGGAGGTCGGTGATGGGATCCTTGCTCATGGTGCTGGTGCTCTGCTCCACGCCGCCGGCCGCGGTCTCGCTCGGCGAGATCGCACTTCCTGCGTTGGGTTGGACCACGACCACATCGGTCAGCCAAGCCATCATCGCTGGCCCACCGCCGCCCGCGCCATCACCACCGGTCGCATTCCAGTCATGGTACCCGAGAACTTCTCCCACTGCTCGTGGAGCGCCTTTGGTCCGGGCACGGGCAGGGACGTGGGGCAGTCGGTACGGGGAGTGTCCCTGCAAGAAAGAAAAATTAAGAGGGCGCCGCGCAAGCTCTATGACGACGTAGGTGGTGGTTTTCACAGGTACCTCTGGTTGACGACGTGGTCGAAGGTGGCCGCCCAGGCGTCCCGGCGGGTGAGGAAGTGGGGCAGGTTGAAGAGCTTCTTCAAGGTCGCCGGCACCGACGAGTGCTCGTAATGCGCCTGCCGGCAATCAAGAACGGTGAATAACAGAGAAAAAGCCGAGAGGCGGGAATAAGGGGACGGACCTGAGGCGGGGCGTGAATGACGGTCCCCTTGTTGATCCACGGCGAGGCCATGATGGTGGGCACCCGCACGCCCAGCCGATTGAACTCGAACCCCTCATCATTGGGCTGACGGCGGAGAGAGACCGCTTAGGCGGCACGCAAGAAATACAAATAAAATAACAGCTATAATAAATACTCAATAAATAAATGTTCTATGTCATACCACATCGTCAGGCCGAGGTGCGCCAAAGGGAGTGGGCACGTGGTCCCAGTAGCCGCCGTGCTCGTCATACGTCACAATAAACAGTGTGCTGTTCCACTACGCTCAGTGCCACACCCCGACCGATGTGAGTCGCATGGCACACACACCACCACCACCACCACCCCACCACCACCCGCCACCACCACCGCACGCACACGCAGGTACCTTGGGTCCGTTGCGGAGGGCCTGGTAGATCTTCGCGAGGAGGTACTCGCCTGCCCACAAAGCTGGCGTCAGCACTTCGGAGCTAAACAAGCCAAGAGTTTAACTCCGATAGAGACGTCTGACCATGCGGCCGTACCGGGACGAACGTCGTGCGGCGGGTGCTGGTCGGAGGCCTCCCACTCGAAGAAGGTGAACCACCGCGGGTCGAGGAACGTGTAGGGCGGCAGGTCTCCGCTCGCCGCAGCTTCATAGAAATAGTCAAAGTAGTTGATCTTGCCCACATACCTTCCAAACCACCAAGCGTCAGAAACCACACACGACACGACACGACACGACACGCACACGACACGCACACGACACAGCTGCGTCGACATTGGCGTACTTGAGGTCTCGCATGTTGCGCATGAGGAGGACAGAGGGCAAGTCGTGGAAGTAGACGCGCCAATCCAGGCCGGCTTCGTTCAGCCTGATGCACCACCCACGGTCACCAACTGGGCGGCGGCAGGTCAATGGTGTCGGAGAGAGGAGTGAGACGTACGAGTCGAAGATGGTCTTTTGGGGCATCCCCTCGGTCAGCTCGGCCACGTTGTTCGCAGTCAGGCCGTGCGAAGTGGCGGAGTGGAGGAACATCCTGTATGGTGCGATGAAGGCGACGCGGTCATCCGTGTGTCGTGTGCGTCGTGTGTGTTGTGTGTCACCTCACCTGTTGGGTTGAGTCGGACCAGGGAGCGAGCTGTGCCAGTGGTCGAAGATCGCAAACTCATTGGCGAGCGTGTTCAGCGTCGGGACTACACGCATTAGATCAACTAGTTAGCACACGACACACGACACGCGCATTCACCGCACACACGTACGTGTCTTGGGATTGAAGCAACTCATGATGTCGGCGCCCACGACAAAGTCGTCGTTCTCGGCGTAATTCCTGACGAAGCCGGTCATCGGCGCCGGCGCCTTCACCGGCCCATAGCCGAAACACTGCTTCTTGGTGGCGGCGTAGCTGTGGGACGGGTCCACGAGCGCAACGTACGGCGCGTCATCGCTCACCTGTCGGGTGCGTGCGTGTGGGTGCGTGCGACCACACAGCTCACAGTAAGCTCACGGCCGACGATGTGTGATGGCAATGTTTGTGTGTTGTGTGATGCTGATCTACAGAATGAAAAGAGAGAGAGAACCTTGGTGGAGCCTTCCCTGGGCTTGAGCGGGTCGTTGGGGCAGGTCTCCCTGCCCGTCACGCCCTCCACCTCCGGGTTGAGCGACTTGAGGTACCCTGCGCGTGCGCCGAGGCCCAAAAAGAAGAAGGGGCGAAAAGGCGGGTGAGAAGTGGCCAGCTCGCGATCGGGAGACCACGGGCATTGGCCCTTTGCTCCGTTATTTCTTTTCTATTATTTGTTGTTATTTGTTCCCAAAGGTCCGCCAACCAAGGAGGAGATGGAAAGAGATGCAAGAGTGGATGAAGAGAGTACATACCCACCATGTGGTCGAACGACCTGCACACATGGATGAAGGAGTGGAAGAGGAGAACGAGATTTCAAAGGGAGTTGGTGAGTACGCTCAAAAGGAGACAAGGGAGGGCAGTGCACGCACCTGTTCTCCATCATGAGAACCACCACGTGCTCGATGCGTGGGTTGGTCGACTTGCCAGCCTGCGGCTTCTGCATCCTCTTTGGTTCCTCTTTCTGATGCTTCTCGTTTTGTTTGGCCTACGGGGTGCTACTGACCTAAATAGCTACGAAGCAGTACTTGCTCCTTCTACTCCTGTTTCGCCAGACAAATCTGTTGCGTGCTTTGCGCTATGACAAGGTTGAAGGAGGGATCGAGAAAATAGCCGCGAGAAATTAACTCGAATTCTTCGCATATTTAATTTTTAACAGGGCGAGCCACGTCATCACAGGCCGCCTGCGGAGTCGTCCGCGCCAAAGTTGACGGCGCCGTGGTGCCTCTGCCGGCTGTGCCAGTACGTGATGCCCACGGCGCCCACCACGACGGCGAGGACCACGAGGATAGCCAGGGGCACGGCCACCGCAACGCCGATGATGAGGCCCGTGTTGTCACTGCCGCCTCCGCCTTCTTTCCCTCGCAGCAGCACGCCCACATCTGGTGACATCGCCATCAGTGGTTCAGCCATCATCAATCAGTCACACAACCACCACCATCATCAAGACATGCAGTTACAAGAAAGGAGTGGTAGGTACCGGGGTCGTAGACCAGGCTCGAGTTGAATCGGCCGAACGACAGTACCAGCTCCGACGTGGCCGTGTCAAGCGTGAACCACAGGCGCCCGCTCTTCGCCGCAGTCGCGTTGCGAGTCGATACGACCTCGAGCACGCCGTCGACGGTGACGGCCTCTACCAGTCGCAGCCGCGTCGACGCGCTGCCGCCCTGGCCACCACCGCCGCCGTAGGTCTGGCCAGTCTGCCCGCTCAGCACGAACTCGCGCACGTGAGCGCTCGTCGACGCCACTTCGGTGAATCCCGTGAAAACCGGCCTGATGGCCACACGCGCCTCAGCCCGCTCGCTGGCATCGTCGGGCGACTGCCATTGCCAGTCGGTGAGGGTGAGCGTGAACTTGGTGAAGGCCGGCGCGACGTCGAACTTGACCGGTCCGGACGCTGCACTCGAGCCGAGGTCGATGGTGGTCGTGTTGGCGAACACAAAGTACTGCAGCGCGAGCGTCGATGTCCGATTATTGTCAGGCGCAGAGCTTGAGGTGTTGAAGTCGAGGATGCATGAGTAGAGGAACGACTGGCTGGCGCCCAGGCTGTTGTTGGCCACCTCGTTCCACGTTCCTATAGGTGACGGTGAGTGCGGGGGTGCGCGTGCGCATGGGTCGCATTGGTGTGAGAGTACCATTGCGTATGGCGGGGTTGCTGGACGTGTTGCTAGATGTGAGGTTTTCCAGGGTAAGGCTGACCGCCGCTGAGGGTTGCTCCTGGCCGCTCGAATCTGTGTTTGTTATTTATGCAGCCCCGAACAAGACTCAACCGGTTGCCACCATCACACAGCAGTCGGAGGGCGAGGGCGAACTACCTACCTTTGGGCGTGATGGTGACGGTCGATGTGTTCAAGTTGACGCTAACCCTGGGCATTGATTGCGCACCGGTGGCGTTGGTGATCAAGAATTGCGGCGACGCCGACGGAAACGGCAGCCTGGAACAATTGCCAGCTGTGCAGTTGTGTGCGCGTGCGGTGTGAGAGACAGCTTAACTGGTGGTGCGCTGACATCGCCAGATGTGGTACGTGCCTATGCCCGTGGATCCTGGCGTGGCGGTGACGTTGACACGCCCATTGGAGAACCAGGTGAACTCGTCAATAGCTACTCCGCAGGTGATTCCTTGGGGGTTGAAGCAATGAGCGGCTAGTGCCTTGATTTGTCCACGGTTCACTTCATCACTGCAATGTGCCATGAATGAGCAGTTGAGTCGGCGCGTACCGATGTTTCCTCCAGTAGCGAGCACGTCCAAGGCCCCGTATTGATTCCACCTGGCTTGCAGGCTACCGCTGATGGCTGCAGCAGCGGTTTGGGGTGGTGAGGTGTGTGCGTGTGCTGTGGTGCGTGTGCGTGCTCAAGGAAGTGAGCTGGACAAGACTACAACGAACCAGGATTCGGAAATCCAGCACCAACCAGCAGAGTGACTGCGCCATATTGCTTCCAGACACTGTTCTCTAGCTTCACCCCTGCAACAAACCAGCATCCACTGTTCAGCACACGAATCGCTATGAGAAAAAGAAAGGCCCCTCATACCGGTGCGTTGGGCAGCAGTGCCGTAGAAGTCGCTGTTCTGGATCCAAGTCGATTCGGACACGAACGAAACCACTGCACCGCGGAGAGTTGTCATGAGTGTTGTGTCGTGTTGTGTCGCGTCTGCCGTGTGCGCGTGTGCGTGCGTGTGTGTGTGTGTGTGTGTGTGTGTGTGTGTGTGTGTGTGTGTGTGTGTGTGTGTGTGTATGGAAGAAACCTGTCTCAATGGCGAGGCTGATAGAGTTGAGGATCCACGTTGAGTTCTGGAAGACCACAACTGCAAAGAGTGTAAGTGGTGAAGTGGACCATCGTTGGGGCCGGCAGGCAGGCAGGCAGGCAAGCGCAGCAATGTACCCGCGTCGATTGATGCCGTGGTGACTGTGAGTGGCCCGTTGGAGATCCATGTGGAGTCCCTGATAGTGTGGACTGCGATTTTGAGCGCGCAACAGAGGTGTCAACTTCGAGCGCTGACACTGCAAGATTGAGGAATGGAACCACCACCCACCCCCATCTTGAGCGCCAAGAAGACATGGGCCGTCCTGCACCCAACGACTGCCGGCTTGCAAAACCACTCCTGCGCGAGGAGCGCCAATCAGATTCCACACGATCACATCAGCGCCTCACGTCAATGAACGCAACTCAAGTCTTGAGTGGTACCTTGTGCGTAGCCGCTGGAGTAGCTCATGGAGAAAACGCCCTTCTGGTTCCACGTCATGCCCCTCCCGAGCAATCCTGCCACTCCGCGTGCGGACACCACGTGAGCTGCGGAAATGAATCGGCTCGGCGGAAGCTTACGCTCAACGCAGTGGACGAACCAGGAGTCCCGGACCCGACCGCGTTGTCGACCTTGAGCTGTCCGTTCTGGTTCCACACCGCGTCGATCACCGCCAGAAGAGGGAAAGGGTTAACTGCCCCCCCCCAACAGACAAACAGAAGGTTCAGTCGTGGGCTGTAGAATTGGCGTGATGCACTGTACTGGTATTCGTTGAGGAGCCGTTGATGAACACCGCAGCATCCTGGAACACGGTGGCGCCTGCCGTGACAGCCAAACCTGCGCCAAAGTCGCATCATTGCTGTGTGACTGACACATCAACATGATTGCAAGCAACATCATGTATATTGGTACGGCTGGCGCACCCCCCATTAGGTTCAAGGTGCCGTTGGTGAAGGTGAAGTTCACTCCGCTGATGGAAAGCCAGGGCTGATTGTCCAAGGAAACGTTGACTTGGCCCAGCAAACTGGAAGCAAGCGCAAATCGCCTTAGTAATGGAGCAGGGCACAAGGGGGGAGAGAGTACTTGAGGGTGACGTTGCTGGCGGTGCAGGTGCAGTTGATTGTCTCCGCATAGGTACCGGCATGGACGCGCACTTCGGTGTTGGCGCCGACACTGGGTAGGACCGCACAGATGGTGGTGTACGTGCAGCTGTCGCACACCTCCACGGCTAAAAACACAACCCAAAAAATATGTGATTTACACAGCTTGGCACCTTTGTGGTGTGGTGGGGGGGGGGCGAAGAAAGGCCTAAAGCCTACCCATAACGTTGGTGCTCGCCGTCAACATCATGACCAAGAGGGCGCAAGTGAGCGCCCACAGCTGGGCGTCCACTTTTCTTCCCTCCTCCAACCCTACCCAGACGAGGCTGCTGTGATCGCGGTCCATTGGTCTCTCAGATGAAGAGGGAACGCACCACTACTGCTGAGAAGTTTCGCCTCTCACTATTCCCTCAACCAATCAGTTCAACTCCAGTTACAGTTCAGGAAGCACACAAAAAGGCAGGCAAACTCAAATTCTTCGCATTTTTCTGTATTTTTACAAGGCACACCATCACAGGCTGCCTGCATCGTCTGCTGCACCAAAGTTGATGGCTCCATGGTGCCTATGCTGGTGGTACAACAAGGAAGGACCATGGCACCACAATGCCACTGATGATCCCCTTCAGTCCCTTTCCTCTTTTTGATGATGGTGGTGATGATTGCTGAGTGGTGATGATGGCAAGGGAGTAAGTTTCTGTGTGTATGGTATTGGAGATGAGGATGGAACGAGAGGAGCTGAGTTGGTCGGGAGAAGGTACAAGGAGGGCTTTGTTTGAGGGTTAGGGTTAGGGGATCATGGGGATGCCAGTGGGGGTCTTGGCCTTGTAGGCTCGGTACTGATCGCCGAAGAACTCCACCAGGGTAGCCTCCTCGTACTGGATCCTGTCGCTGAAGAACTTCCACGACGCCACAGCGAAGCCCTGCGCACAAACGAAAAGTAAACGAGATGATCGAGGAACGAAGTGAGAGATTGCGCGTGCGCGTGCGTGCGCGTGCGTGTAAAAGGTAGCATACCGCGATGCAGATGGGGTTGAAGAGCACCACCTGGGTCATGACGGACCACCAGAACCAACCGAAGTAGCCGGGGTGCCTCACGTACCTGCATGATGATGATGAGGTGCAATTCAGCCACTGAGTATTCATTCTCCCACGTGGACGACGCGCACGCAAGCACGCATGCAGGCGACTGATGTAAGCGCTAGCTATTGAAGGCGTACTGGTAGATGCCCTCGGTGACGAGCTTGTGCTCGGGCCTCTTGTCCTCGGCAATCTGGTGGGTAAAGTTGTGCGCAGCAGTGATCAAGGCGGCCACGCGGACGACTAACAACCAAGGGACACGGGGCCAAGGTCAGAGGAAAGAGCTCGAGGAGGCGAGCTGAGGTGGTGCCCAGAAGGGCCTCCTGGGAGAGGGGCGTACCCTGTCCGAAGATGGCGCCGAGGAGGCCGAGGTAGATGACGGGCGAGAAGGTCTTGAGACCAGGGAACAGCCAGAGCTCAACGAAGTACTCCACGAACGAGGCGGCCATGGCGACGTTGAACTCGAAGCTGTGGTTGATAAGGAAAGCTGAAGGGACAGGAAATCAGAAGAATAATAGAAATGTTATTAATTATTTGTTGATAAAGATGGAGGTGTAGCATGAAGTAGTGGTTGGATCGGGGCGGGGGGGCGCGTACACTCGGCCGAACAAATCTTGGGGTTGAAAAGCGCTACGCAGATGTACTCAGAGAAATGGAAGAAGCCCAAGAACATGAGGTACCATCCGAGGCCCCACACGGATTCGGAGAGGAACGCGAGGCCAGCACCGAGGCCCAGCGCGATGCCGCAGGCGCAACCCATCACGGCCATCGCCGCATGGCCGTGGCGCGTGAACAGCTGATTCTCTTCGACGTATTTCTTAAACATTGTGTTTCTTCAGGCAGTAAGGAAGGTGCAATCTCGTGCGCGAATGAGAGTGATGAATGGCCAGGGCCAGTTGAGCAGATAGTGTTGACCCCCCCGTCGTCAGGCAATTTGCGGCCGAAAAGAAAAGGGTGGAAATGCTGTTCTTTCTTTACGTAGCAAGCCATGGAGGAGGTGCGTTGCTGCTCTTTGGGGGCGGACAAGTCAAAGGCCAGCTCTTTGCTCACAACTTTGCCTCTTCTGTGGTGTGAAAGGACAGGTGGCAACGGAGAAGGAATGGCCGCTGGACGTCTGCGGTACTCCTCACCCCTCCCCACCATTGTGATCGCAAGACTCTGACCTGCTGTGCTGCCGCTGCAGAGGCGTCATGGCGACTGCAGGAAGCCGAGCTCTCGGCCCTCCGAGCTCTCTTCATGGACGACTTCAAGGGTGCGCGTACCACCTTTTGCGACTTCTCGTTTGCGTGTTCCGCCACATCACCGTTGGGCTAACTCAGTATGGACGGTACGCAGAGAGCAACTCGCTGCCGCCGCGCTTCCAGATCCGCATCCGTAGCAGCGACCTGACCGAAGAGGAGGAGTGCTTCCTCACCTCCCACGGCTACCAAGGTACCTACCAGGACCACCTGTGCTCCTCTCCATGATCGTGAGAGAGAGCTCCAGGACTCACGTGATCTTCGGTACCCAGTCTCGCTGTCGCTGGTGGTGACCCTGACGCGAGCCTATCCCGAGGAGCCGCCGATGGTCGAAGTGCGCTGGGACGGCCTGCAGGAGGGCCTCTCCGAGTCACGCTACCCCGAACTCTACTCTGTGCTCCAGCGTCAGGTAGGTAGCAATATGCCCTCCGCCGCCGCACCAAAGAAGACCGCATCTGATCTTGTCCGCTCACGGCTGCCCATCGCTGGCGCCTTTCGTCATCCAAGGCTCAGGAGAACTTGGGCTCCTTCATCATCTCCGAGATGGTCGAAACTGCGCGCGCCTGGGTCGTTGGTGCGTGCAGGCTCCCCACCCACCATTGAAGGTTCGAGGGGGACTGACTATGTGTCATCCGACTGTATGCAATGGTGTGTGCGTGCGTGTGTGCGCGCGTGTGTGTGCGTGCGTGTGTGTGCGCGCGAGCGCGCGGTGGTGCGTGTGCGTGAAAACAGCGCAGGCTCGGGCCAAGTTGCAGCAATTGAAAGCCAAGGCCGAGCGCGAGAGGGAAAGGAGGAAGGCCGTGCGCAGCAAGCTGGGCTTGGGGTCGGGCTCGCGCGAAGCCCTGCTCAAGTCCAAGGAGGACGAACTGACCCGCAGCATGCAGCAACGGCGCGTCAGGCATATGATCGAAAAGGACACCTTCTACGGCCAAGCCATGAAGGAGATCTACAAGTGGGACTACGACATCTTCAACATGGAGCAGGTCCTCTCCCTCCAGAAGGTACTCAGTCTTATCCATTGGCCACTGCTCCTGGCACCAAGCCCTGCTCATCTTCGTTCTTCATTCTTCATTAGGCCAAGGAGGCCAAGGTGCAGGAGGTGATGGGTCCGCAGGTGCCGGCCGCGGTCGTGCGTGTGCTTCTCCACCATGCACGGTGGGACGCCGACGCCCTCATTCGCCGCTATCGCCTGCTTACCGATGGCGCGTCGCCGGCCTCGCCGGCTCGTGCCGCCGGATGTGAGGGCGATCTCGGCGACGAGAGCGAACGGGGCAAGGGCATCCAGCAGCTCTACGCTGAGGTCGGGCTCCCATTCGTCGAGCGCGGCAAGCACGAGTCGGCCGGCGACGAGGAAGAGGTGCACTTCCACCTGATGGCCTCGATCCCCGCCAAGGCCTCCTGCGGTATCTGCATGGACGACTTCAGCACCAGGACCATGACCTCCCTGTCGTGTGGTACGTACCACATCACCACATACGCGACGCGCTTGGTCATGACCGTGGTGTGGCTGTGGTCTCATTTCCGTTCTTTTCTTCTTTTCTTCTTTTCTTTGTATATAGGTCATTGGTTCTGCAACGACTGCTACGGCACGTACCTGGTGATGCAGATCACGGATGGCGCGTCGGACGCCATCCGGTGCGCGCACTTCCGGTGCCCGTTCATTGTCGACCCCGTGACGGTGGTGTCGCTGGTGTCGCGCGAGATCTACCGCAAGTTCGTCACCTTCGCCGCCCAGCGCTACATCGAGACCGACAACAGCCTGTTCCGGTGCCGCGGCACGCGGTGCGCCAGCATCATTCACCTACGGCACCACACCAAGGACGTCGCCTGCCCCTGCTCCCACATCTCGTGCTCTCAATGCGGGTACGGCGCCACAGGGCTTAAAGTTTAGGTCTGGCGCGCTGCTGACGTGGCCGATCACCACATGCGGGTGGGCAGGGAGGAGGGCCACTTCCCGATACCGTGTGATGTGGCCAAGTGGCACATGAAGAACTATGGTCACCAATACGCCCCGAAAGACCTCGAAGCCACGTTCGACTGGCTCATGGTACGACTCTCTCTTTGTGCGTGCGTGCGTGTTCGCCACTCAGTTCTCACATCGCTTCCACGCCCCGCATCACAGAATAACACCAAAGACTGCCCCAAGTGCGGAAAGCCAATCCAGAAAGACGGTGCGACACATGAACACAGCACGCACCACACAACACACCTCACGCTACACCCACACAACACCTCATCATAAACTCTACGTTTTCATCGACGTGCACCACTCTGACAAGAACTGCCGCCCGTTTCCAGGAGGGTGCAACCACATGACGTGCCGCTCGGTTGGCTGTGGCTATGAGTTTTGGTAAATTGCTGGCTTCCCTTCTGTGTCTGTCTGCGTGCGTGCGTGCGTTGTGTGTGTGTCGCGTATGTGTCGTGTATGTGTGTGCTGGCACCGACTGATTAGGTTCGTTCCACCGGACATAGCTGGCTCTGTGGTGCCAAGTGGACGTATCACGACTGTAATGGCACGTGGAAGGGCCAGAGAGATCGCGAGGAGCGGCTCAAGGATCAGATCCTGTCGAGCACCGTCACCTTCTTCGAGTGGTACAACGCGCAGCTCCTCCCGTTGAACACCTTCGCCAAGATCGCCGGTACGCGCGCCGTCCCTCGGTCGTGTGCGGCTGGCCTTGTCGCGCCCTAACCACGCATCGCGTCGGCAGGGGCCACAAGCATTAAGGCCCAGCGGTACCTCGAGAAGCGAAAAGACGCGTCTGCCAGGGGAGTCCGCGTCATCAAGAGCGCTCTCCATCACATCTTCCTGGTACGCGACTGCCCCCTGCTGGATCGCTGGTGGCGCTCATTCACACACACACACACACACGTCTCAATACGTGGGGCGCATCGACCACCACCGTAGGGGCGGTACCTGCTGGCCCAGGTCTCCAAGCTGGGCTGCTATCGGTCGGAGCATCCCGGATCCGGCAGCACCAAGAACCTGCAGGCCGCTATGTTTGGCGTCAACGCCTCCCTGGTGCGGGTCAAAGACTTCTTGGACATGCCCGCCAAGCACCTTTCAATCGGTACGGCACCTTTATTTATATTTAAATTAACAATTAACAATTTATTTATCTATTACTTACCACTACTGGTGACTTGTCCTGACCGTGCAGAGATGCTCGAGAATGCGTGTCACACCATGCGCCAGCGGGCGAGCGAGCTGGTGGGTGTCGTGACCAGGCTGCTCACCGAAGCCGACGGACCCCAACAAGCCCCAGCCATGGTCCGTGTGTTGTGTCGTGTGCGGCAGTGTGCGGTTATGCGTGTGTTGTATCTCGAACGAGCGCGCTGACAGTGTCCGGCACGCAGGAGCTGGTGGTACGGAGGCTCAGCCAGCAGAAGGGCGGCAAGCGCGTTCCGTTCCCGTCGTCGCTGGAGGCCCTCCTGGCCGACGGAGGCCACGTGCTGGGCATCACCGCCGTCAGCGCCCGCACCATCGACAATCGCAAGCTGGGGCCCGCCTCGCTCGTCGAGCTCCTCGACCGGACCGTGGTCCACCTGCTCACCGCCGTCGAGGAGAAGGAGGTGGCGTCGTAGCCGCAGCACCTCCTCGACCTCTCCTTGTTGAAGACAGATCGTGAAGTCGAGAGTGGAGCTAAACAATGCAATTTAAAAATCAAATTCACTTGCCTAGTTGTGGAGCCCGAGGCCAGGTTCGGGCGGAGGGGATGGCGGGCATGATGTACTCGGGCCAGGAGGCGGTGACCAGACAGAACGCAGCATTCAGCGATGGCTCTACGCCAGTGGTGTTGACCACGGACGTTGATGCTAAGCTGACCCACCTGCTCAACGCCTGGCACGTCGTCAACTACGAGCCTCCATTGGACATGGAACAATACGCACATTGGTACACGCCACGACCCACATAAGTGCGAGTGGGCTGGTCTCTGGCGTGAGCCGGGGCGCTCTAGCGAGGAAGAAGAACCCGCCACACACCTGCTCGTCTAGGAGATCCAACAGCTGGTTCGAGAGGAGAGGAGGAGAACTGGAGAGCAGCAGTGACTACCATCTGCAGCTCACGAGAGCAGCTGAAGCAAAGACAGAGAGAATGCCGGCCATTTGCTGATGGATACGGCCATACTGCGCAGAAAGCACCGCTTCCCATCCGAACAGCGAAGTTAAGCTGCGCCAGGCGGTGTTAGTACTGGGGTGGGCGACCACCCGGGAATCCGCCGTGCCGTATCCTCCTTTTTGCTCTCTTTTTGCTGCTAACTAAGCTTGATTGTCTCAGACAACCCACGCCTTGTGATGCAATTCACTAACATAGGAGCATGCAGCACTTCCTCTATGCAATGCTGTGCCTGTTTGGCCTTGTGATGGTGTTCTCTCCATCTTCTACACCAGTGGCCATTTTTACCTGCATCATCTTCACATCAAACCAACAGTCATTTTGAAAAGTGATTTTGTTTGTGAGTTTAACCTCATAAATACCATCATATAGAGAGGTAACTGGGCCATCAGTCAAGGTCTGGAATGACCAATTTCTATCATATTCATGTATCAAAAATATACAACCAGACACTTACTTTATCATGTGCATGTACATGATGAATACACACGTTTTTTTTGGTCCTGTCCTGACCATGGCAACAGCCAGCACACAGAAACCATAAAAGGAAAAATCATGGCTGCTGGGGGACAAAAAGTCAATTTTTATTCAGCAAGCAATTCAGAGGGGTCATGGGTTACATCTCAGTGTGGAGAGTGCCCTTCATCTTACTTCTTGGCCTCCTGAGGAGGTGGCTGCTCACTGTGAGGGTGGCCTGGTGCTGCTCTTTGTCATTCAGTTGATATCAAATTATTGCAGCATGCATCTTCACATGATGTGTGGGCCAAGGAGGAGATATATTAGCCAACATTCTATCATGTACACATACACAATAGAATGCCCTGCAGTTTCACAGCATAATGGGCTTTGAAAAATAGCATGTATGCAATGGGGCAGTTACCTCCTTCAGGAGCTTCAACAGTTGTTGTTAGCCATGGCTGCTGATGGCAGTGTGACTTGCACCTACATGTACAAAAACTGTAAAACAGGACACTTATGTTATCATGTACACATATGCAATGACTACATGTTCAACCTGCTGATACTAAGTTTAGTGCACATGTACATGATCCAGAAAATCTGAAAACTGAGCTTGTTTTGTGTTAGTGCTCCTCTGAATAACTTCAACTTCATGTACCTTGCCTTTGCTTTCATACCCTCCATCAATTCCATAATCAGTGGCCAACATGCTACTCTCACATCCAGTTTGTGGTCAACCTCACCACATTTTGGCTGAATTGGAGCACTATTCCTGAAGATAAAATTCCACCACAACAAAGGTCCATCTCACACTGATAAAATCACTTTTAACTCCACACATTCCAAGTTTTTATGAAATCTTTTTCATCTTAAGTCCTCAATATCACTTATCAGCAGCAGTATAGCATGTCAAAATCAAAGATTCAGATCCAAATCCAAATCTTCAAAACTGCCCTTTAAATCAAGAATGTCAAACCTCACAATTTTAGCACAACCTCCACAGTCATTTGTGACCTCTCATTTCAAATGACCACAAGTTTGTTGACATGTCCTCACAAAGAACAAAAAGAAGGAAAAAACCAGGAAGAAATGGGAAGAATGGCTGTATTCTTTAAAGAGAAAATAAACACTGCATTGTTTATGTTCATGGCAGTAAGTACTTGTCACAGAAGTGTTGCAGGCAGGTGGGCTGACCCATGCATTGAGAAGCTCATCATTCATCATGTACTTGAAGGTGTTGCTGAGAATGCATATGTTGGTGATACTGATACAGCTGCAAAGGAGCCCTAAGGTTTATGATGGCCAATCTGTTGGTGCACTTGATGAACATGGGCAATTCAGCCATAATCAAAAGCATCATGAACATGAACATGATGATGTGGTATCCAAAATGCCCACCTGCGCCACATGCCTGCCCACCCACTCGCCACCCTGCCTGTCTGTCCATCCACCATGGCTTGCCACATGAGGACTGAGTCAATGGTGGCCTTTACCCCTCACATACTAAAAGCACCCTTGCCTTATAATATCATGGTCTCAAGGCTGACCTCTTATGTTGCTCTGCCCTACATAAAGTACACATTTTTTCAAAAAGAAGCAAGAGCATGGAACATGTAACATTTTGGTGGTCATGTTGAGGGTGGCAGACAGTGCTTTTTACCAGTGCCTATTCCACGATCAACTGGCAACCACCAAGAAGTGGGGAGAAGACCACCTCATCCAAGAAGCATGGTGATGAGGATGATTACAAGTACTAAACTCTAGCATGTGAATGGAGAGCAGTGGTGCTGATGGATACGGCCATACTGCGCAGAAAGCACCGCTTCCCATCCGAACAGCGAAGTTAAGCTGCGCCAGGCGGTGTTAGTACTGGGGTGGGCGACCACCCGGGAATCCACCGTGCCGTATCCTTTTTCACTCTCTTTTTGCTCTTCGATCTGCACCACCAGCACCTCCATCATCATCATCGACCGCCTCTTGGCAAGTTGTGGGAGTGAGTGGGTCAGAGGTGTGGTGCGGCGCGGTGGTGTAGTTAAATAGAGTGCCCGGCGGTTCGTTTATTCGTACCGACAAGCAAGGAGCATCAGTGATGAAAGAAAGAAGGGTCCCTTCATTTATCACTGCTGTTGTTGGTGTTGCTTGGGCATTAATGATCCACGGCACCACCCATCTTGTACATCATAAGAACATATACAGATATGTATATGGATATATACATGAGTTCAGGTGAGATGAGGGCTCACCATTGCAGAAGAGGAGGAGGAGGGGCCAACAATGAAGGAGGAAGGGGACTGACCTGGATGAGATCGATGGCCTCCTCGGAGAGCAGCGCCCGGCGGTAGCGGGCGGGCAGTTCGTCCATGCTCTCGTGATGCGTGACGGGACCCCGGGACTTGATGTCGAACTTGGCCGGCGTTGGCAGATTGGGCGACGTCTGCGGTTGCAGCAACCATGCATATGGAGTTGCGAAGTGGAGTGAGGTGAGGTGGTGGCGATCACGTAGAGAGTGTGAAGAAGAAGAAGAATAATGAACGGATAGCTGCGATGAAGGGGACAAGGGCGTGGAGGAGTGTACCTGCATGGTGGTGGTTTTTGGGGGCGCGGTCAGGGGCGTGGACTCCACCCCGCCGGTGTGGCGAGAGGGCAGGGCCGCTGATTTGCACGACAGCAAGGGGGGGGGGTGGATAAGTGAGATGCTGAGGGAGGGTGATCACGGCATAATTATCCGAGGTCGGCTGCGTCAAGTGTAATGAATGGAAAACAACACATCAGTGCACGATTGATAGATGGCTGCCGTACCATCCTGAAGCGATTGAACGGCGGCGCCGTGTCGCTGCGGAAACTTGATGAGGGGTACGTGCTGCCGCAGTTGCCTAACACCTGTGCTCGCCATTGCTTTCCAATTGTTGTTTGATTAATTCTTGTTTTTGTGTTTCTTTTCTTTTTTCCATATTTTTTATGGTGAAATACCAAGCATTCCAACTGCAAAAACGCCATCTCCGGCCCCCCTCTCTGCACGGCAACCCAAGCTGCGGCGGGATGGTGGTGTGAGTGCGCAGAGCACAGAGCCAAGAACCAGCCAAGAACGACCCCACGCACACCCGCTTCGTGGAAGAACCAGTGTGTTGCCACCGCGGAGTAGAGCCGGCCAAGAGGAAGAGGAAAAACAACATGTCGGAGGCAGGGGAGAGCCGCAGCGGTCGTAGTCGCAGGGATAGGGACCGGATCAGGCCCGCGACAGTGACCACCCGCTCGTCTTCTTCTTCCAGCCGCTCGTCTCGGTCCTCTGCCGCAGCCGCGGCTGTGGCGCCCACCCCACCAACCGCGGCCAAGAAGAAGCTGCGCAGCACACAAGCCAACAACAAAGCCAGCGCCGTCGTGTCTGTACGGCCCCAGCAGTGCCAGGACAACGAGAGAGTTGTAGTCGTGTGGGTGTGGCTTCACTTCTTCTTCTTCTTCATGTCTAACCCAGCTGAGTACGTGGGGTTGGACAAACAGGCCAACTCGTATCTGGGGAAGCTGAGCCCTTCTGCGCTGGGCAAGTACCAGAAGCACTACCGCCTGCGGGGCAAGAGCGACACGGCCGAGACGCTCCTCAAGTCCGTCGTGCGCCACTTCGAAGCGCAGAACGTGGAGGAGGCTGAGGTGGTGCAGAACTTCCTCTTGGCCCTTCAGAAGGTGGCCGGCCACTAAACAAGTGCAAGTTGAATGCATTGGCCTGTTGTAAATATAACCCACCTTCCACTGCTTCCTCTTCATCAAGCCTCCACCACATTTGAAGGTATTTATTTCATTCATTAATTCATTTATTTATAATCTTGCCAAGATGTATTGCATCGTAAGAAAGAGGGGCAAGGGCAGCTGAGCCGAAGTATCCACCACTGTCTTCCATGCGGCAGGGCAATGGATGAAGGAAATCACCTCTCGCAATCTCCTCCTTTTTTTCTTGTTTTCCATTATTTGGTGGGCAAAAACCGGGCAACCCGGCCCCACTACAAAGTTAATCACACCGCGAGCTAATCAAATATAATCTCTGCCGATCGCGAGATGTCAGCAGCGATGGAGGAGAGCCGGAAGAAGAAGAGGAAGAAGATTGAAGAAGAGGAAGCGGTGGAGAAATCGAGCAGTGATGAAGCCGTGGATGAGAAGAAATCGAAGAAATCGAAGAAGGTAAAAAAGGCCAAGACGAAGGAGGAGGACAAGAAGGAGAAGAAGGAGAAGAAGGAGAAGAAGGAGAAGAAGGAGAAAAAGAGCAAGAAGGACAAGAAGAAAGATAAAAAGGACAAGAAGGATAAGAAGAAAAAGAAAACGAAGAAGAGGGAGCCATCATCTGATGAAGGAGACAGCAACGGTACCGAAGAGAAGCAGGCCGCGCGAGCCAAGAAGCGAAGGAAGCGCGAAGCGGACGTGGCCCAGCTCGAGTCCGAAGCGGCCGCCACCATGGCCGAAGCCGTGGCCGAAGCTGCCAAGCCCGACCCCAGCGCTACGAACGCTGCCGCAGCGGCCGGCGACTCAGCCGCGGCGGAGGCCGGTGCCGAGCAGCCAGCGGTGAAGACCTACCCGCCGCCCCCGCCGGGCAACGTCACCCTTCTGCTGTTCTACCAGTACGTGCGACCGAGCTGGACTCCGTCCGCCGCGCGCAACGCCGAGAACTATGCACGCGACAGCCTCACCCACCACGGCTGCACCGGCCGCCTACGATGCGCCCGGGAGGGTTTCAACGGTACCACTTTTTTTCTCTTTTTTTGTTTTTTTGTGTTTTATTTTAGTTTATTTATAATTGTATTATATTTTATCCAATTATATATATTATTTATTGTGCGCAGTGCATCTCACGCCCGTGTGCGATTGTGTGTCGTGTCGTGTCGTGTTAGGCACGCTGACGGGCAGCGCGGAGGGCATCCGCGGCTTCTGCCAGGACCTGCGTGACTACGACCACGAGAAGTTCGGCGCGACGGACTTCAAGATCGTGGACGGACTGCGCGACAACCAGCGCCTCAAGGGGCTCAAGGTGTGGCACGTGGAGGAGCTGGTGACCTACGGCTTCGGCGCCGCCACGGCGACGCGGGGCGTGGCGCCCCTGGAAGCCGGCGGCACGCACCTGCCCCCGGAGGAGTGGCACGCCAAGGCCGCCGAGCCCGACACGGTGCTGATCGACGTGCGCAACGCCAACGAGAACGCCATCGGGCGCTTCCAGCCGCTGGGCGACGCGTCGCGCGTGCTCGACCCCAACATGCGCACCAGCACCGAGTTCCCGGCGTGGGTGGACGAGGCCTTCCCCAAGCTGCAGGCCGCCAAGAAGGTGCTGATGTACTGCACGGGCGGCATCCGGTGCGAGCGGGCCAGCGCGCTGCTGGTCCAGAAGGGCCTCGACGCCTCCAAGGTGTTCCAGCTCGAGGGCGGCATCCATCGGTACCTCGAGGCCTTTCCCACGGGCGGCCACTGGATCGGCAAGAACTACACCTTCGACCGCCGCTTCGCGCACGGACCGGTCGACGCGCCGCCCGAGGCGCAGGTACCCGTGGGCCGCTGCTGCCTGTGCACGGCGCCCTGGGAGCGGTACCAGGCCCACAAGAAGTGTGTCGTGTGCCGCATGGAGGTGCTCCTGTGCCGCGAGTGCGAGCGCAGCGGCAAGTACAAGGGACAGACCCTCAAGTGCCACCTGTGCGGCGGACCCAAGCCCAGCTACCTGCCCGACGATGACGCCGCCACCACCACCTTCAAGCCCAAGAACAGGGGCCACAGCTCCTTTGAGGCGGAGGGCGACTACTGATGTCCGTCACTGGAGAACAAAAAATAAATAAATAAATAAATAAATAAATCAATAAAAAAAGCCTTTAGTGCAGTCTTTGTAGGTCTTTGCTAAATAAGGAGTACTGATAAAAAATAGATATAATCAAAATCTTATATTTATTCAAAAATAATAACAGAGCTCTGGCATTTGGCGCGAACGGCACACTTTTGGTGCCACGAAATTCCCGGACGGCGAACCAATCGCGTCGGTTGGGCAAAGAAGAGTAACTGCAGACTTGGCAGCGAAAGCACACGGCCACCGAATCGCCACCCGAACGCACGTTGCAACGTGTGCGGCGGCTGCCGGTGGTTGGGAGGAGACGTTGGGAGGGGGGTGGGGGGTAGGGAACACCCGAGGCGAGGTGTCCGTTACTTCACTTTCTCAACCGCACCGCCCCAGCATCTAGACCAGACGTCTGAGGACTGCAGCTGTCGTAGTAGGTCCACGGTACAGCAAGGGACGTTGACACATCCATCAATCCAACACTACAACAAAAAGAGCCGTTAGAGAGAGAATAAAGATGAGCGACCGCCCAAAGAGATCGACGAAGCAGCCCAGCCGGTTTGGCGAGGACGAGAAGAAGAAGGCGGCAGCAGAGGCCAAGAAGGTGGGCGTACAGAAGAAGAAGGCCATCTCCAAGAAGAAGCGAATCCCTCCCGGCGTGAAGAGGCCCAAGACTGCCTACATAATCTATGCTCAGTCGGCTCGTGCCAAGGTCAAGGAGGTGCGTCGCCTTTCCTTCCCTTTCGCGTGTGCCCACTCATCTCACTCCCATCTCTCGAATTGCCGATCACAGGAGAACCCCAGCGCTGGATTCGGCGAGCTCACCAAGCTCGTGTCGGCCCAGTGGAACGCGATGAGCGAAGAAGAAAAGGCCCCTTTCGCGGAGGAGGCCGCCAAGGACAAGAAGCGCTACGAGCGAGAGGTCAAGGCTGCTGACCCCGGCAGCGACGAAGGAGAGGCGGCCAAGGAAGACGACGAGGATGAGGGCTCAGAGTAGGGCAACGACTAAGGTGTACATTGCAAAACAATAATAAAGATCATAAACAGCAATGACACACAGTCGTGATGCAAGGGAAGGGGATGGGCATGAGCGGGAGAGAGCAACAGAGATGAAGGTGATTTTCCGAATTTTTTATTTACCCACTCCCGAAGTACGGATCGAATCCATTTACTTCTTCTCAGGGGCGTTGAAGACAAAGGTCAGGTGGCACTTGCCGCAGTACTGGCGGTCGGCATGGCTGGCCATGAACACACCAGCGCCGCACTGAGCAGCGGGGCACTCGCGCCTGAGACGGGTGATCTTACCGTTCTCGTCAACCCTGGTAAGGCCGGGTTAACAACGAACCAGCATTTGCACCAACTCCAACATTCAAAGGAATAAGGAGTAGAGCGTACTTGTAGTACTTGAGGACGGACAGCTTGACCTTCTTCTTCTTGTGCCTGATCTTCTTGGGGGTGGTGTACACCTTCTTCTTCCTCTTCTTACCGCCACCACGGAGACGGAGGACGAGGTGAAGGGTGGACTCCTTCTGGATGTTGTAATCCGCAAGGGTCCTGCCGTCCTCAAGCTGCTTGCCGGCGAAAATCAGACGCTGCTGATCCGGAGGAATGCCTAATCGAGTACGCAAAAGCAGGGTAAGACTAAGCCATAACCTTGCAGGCGCATTGAGAAGGCAAGAAAGAATTGAACGTACCCTCCTTGTCCTGGATCTTTTGCTTGACATTCTCGATGGTGTCGGACGACTCAACCTCGAGGGTGATGGTCTTGCCCGTCAGGGTCTTAACGAAGATCTGCATGGCCGCTGCGCTTGCCTGTCGGGTCACAGAACTAACGGGCCGGGCGATGCGGATGGGAGAGGAAGAAAAGAGAGAAAGGACGATGAAGTGTTCGGCTCCGGGAAAAATCATACCGCCGCCGATTTTTTTGATTTCTGGTTGGTTGCTGACGTGTAATCAAAACATTGGTTAGTTTACTTCGGCTTCCGGTGTCTCGCGAGTGGCGAGGCTCAGCTTGGCCAGGGCGGCCTCGACCGTCGGCTCGTCGTCGTCGGCGACTTGGGCGGCCGCCGTGCTGCGCAGGACGGGCCAGTGGTCGGCGTGGACCTCCTTGACGGCGTTCACCACCTTCTTGGCCTTGTTCATCAGCTCCTGCGCCGCTGCGGCATCGTATTGCAGCTTCCTCTTGTCCAGATCCTACGCACACGGTATGGTGGGCAAGGTAAAGAAGGTAGTGCGTGCAATGAAGAAGAAGAGGAAGAGGGTGCAGACGGAATGACGACGATATATGTACCCTTTGTTCCTCTTCCACGTTAAACTCCTGCTCGCCCAACAGCGCCCGAATGCACGCCTCTGCGCACGTAGCGATGATTCGCACGTTGTACCCGCCTGTAGCCACACATCCGAGTCAACAATAACAACAACAACAACAACAACAACAGGCGAGCGAGCGAGTATACCCTCGAGAGCGAGCACCACCTTTCCGTTGGTGGCCGCGAGGAGCATTCGCGTCATCTGCTGATAGCCGCTAGCCGTGATGGTCATACCGCCCAGGGGGTCGCCCCACGCGGCGTCGAAGCCGCACGACACCAGCACTAGGTCGGGCTGATACGCCTTGGCCACGGGCACCACGAGCTGCTCGAAGGCGTAGAGGTACTCGGCGTTGCCGGCGCCAAAGAAGTTCCACGGCACGTTGATGTTGTAGCCCTTGCCCTCGCCCGCGCCAACGGACTCCAGAGGCCCGCTGTTGGGGTAGAAATCGGGCTCGAATCGGTGGAGCGAGAGGAAGAGCACCTGGTCACCACCACCACCACCACCACCACCATCGAGGCCCACGTTGTGAGCGAGCGAGCAGGATGGGCCGAGGCCACGCGGCAAGCGAACTAAATACCCACCTTGTCTGTTTCGTAGAAGGTCTTTTCCGTGCCGTTTCCGTGGTGGACGTCCCAGTCCACGATCATGATCTTCTTGATGTGTGGTTGCGTGTCGAGGATCGTCTGATGATGATGTGATTGAACGCGCGCGTGTATGCTTGTCAGACATTATGCGGTCAGCGTGCCGCCAGGATGATCGTCGGCGTACCTGCACTGCGACCGCAACGTTGTTGAACAGACAGAATCCTTGGGATTGCCCGGGCTCGGCGTGGTGGCCCGGCGGCCTGCAGCCGTGCACGGACATGCGTGCAGCGTTAAATATTCACCCAGTCAACGCGGCAGTGTCTCAGCGCGCTCATGAGAAGAAGCCCAAGGGGTGTGCATAATACCTGATGAGAGCAAATCCATTGTCCAGCTCGCCCGTAGCCACCTTGGTGGTGAGCTCCACCAGACCACCTGGCGGCCACATTGGTGCGTAACGTTCAGAGCACAATCATCACCACCATCAGAGGGTCAATGATGGACGAACCGGCGGCGAGGCGGGCAGCGCGCTCGGAGTACTCGTTGGCGTAGGTGTCGGCGTCGAAGTAGGCCATGCCGCCTCCCTTGGCGTCCTCCGCCTTCTCGTGGACTCGATCCACGTGCTGCGTCCACAATGCAGGACCAGTGCGTGAGCTACGATGAAGACCACGAGAACCAAGACAGCGACAGAGTCGGTTCCTGCAGCCCACAGACGCAGCCGTACCTCCTTGGTGTGGACGCACATGAGCTCCTCCTCGCCGGCCTCCCTGGCGACGACCCGCTGGCAACGGTCGACGATGCCCTTGTCCCGGAGCCGGTCCCACGAGGCCCATAGCCGCTTGGGCTTCTCCGGGTGCCAATCTGATGGGTCCGGCTGCTCCGTCACGATGAGCCAAGACGAATAGCGGGGGAGGGCGAGGAGATGGCGGATTAATCTTGATCTGGAGATTGTTGAGATTGAGCTTGCGTGAGTACCGCGTGCTTGATCATGTACTCATCGTAAACGATTCCCGTTGCCTTGTCACCCACCTTAGCCTCCATTTCGTTGTTTACGATGCAGTCAACAAAATAAGACTGTTCTCCTTTTGTTTCACTCGATTTTATTATTTAAATTATGCGTGTGGGCAGACGTCTCGGGTGGACCACCGAAGCGGAAACCAAGGCCGACCTTCAGCGGATGAGCCTATCACTTGAAGGTCAGCCGATGTACAGAACGGGAAGAGATGATGATGGTTCCTTGAAGCTACGCTCGCCGCGAAAGTGCCATCGTGTCCTCAGCTTCGTCATCAGCACTTGTTACGGCCACCGGTCGGGAGAGCGCGGCTGGCGACAAGGACTCAGAGAGAAGGGGGACACGTTGTTGTTAGCGTTCCAATCTTCGTTAGGAGCTAGCCACGGAAAGCGAGGAGAAGCGGACCGTGGTTTTTTGTGATCTTCTGATAGCCCATTGACCTCGCGTGGTTCACGTTGCGCGCAGTCTCGTGGAGGTACGCCCGACGCCTCAGCGAATGTGGTTCAGGCGCGTAGACTCTGGCTGGGAGGCTCCTCCGTCCTTGCGCGACGACGAGCGGGAAGACCCAGTCCCGACCGGCCACACCTTCCACAGGCGGATCCGCTCGTCCGAGGCGCACGACGCCACCGTCTCTCCGTCGGGGCTGAGCGCCGTGAACAGCACGCGCGAAGTATGGCCGTGGAGGTCACCGACCTTCGCCATCGTGGGGAACTTCCACACCGAGAGCTGGTGGTGCGGGAAGCCGTGCGACGAGATGAGCTCCTTGTGCGTTCGTGACCACAGCAAGCTGCAGACCTGCGAGCCGGTGTCGATCGAATGCAGGCAGGCGCCCGTCCGCGTGTTCCACGTCTTGATGCAGCGATCGGCAGTGCCGCCACCGGACGCCAGCAGACCACCTTGCCAGGGACACCACGCGAGCGCCTTGACCGCCGACGTGTGGTGGTCGAGCCTGAAGCGCGGGGCTGTGGTGCGACCTTCGTCCCACACGTGGAGGATGTTGTCGTTGCCTCCCGACGCAAGCTGCATGCCGTCCTCGCTCCACTTGAGACCGCACACTTCATCCGAGTGGCCCGCCAGCTGAGCGACCAAGTTCTGCGCGATCCGTACGTCGTGGTTGATGATCGTGGTGTCGCGACTGCCGCTCGAGAGGATGGCGCGATTCCACGACAGCGAGGAGACGCGGTCGTGGTGGCCTCGCATGACTCTCAGCGGACGGCTCTGGGTGACATCCCACAGCTGCACCTCGTTGCTGCTGGTGCCTGAGCATCAGCACAACAGTGGTAAAGGTGAGCGCGATGCTGAGCAGCGTCTTCGACGCGAGAGCGTAAAGCGAGTCTTAACGAGAGAGTCTTAACATGGTCTGAAGTCGAAACGTACCAAAGGCAATGGTGTTGCCATCAGCCATCCACGAGACGGAGGTGATGCTGTCCTCGTCTTCAGGCATCTCGAAGAGCATGTCGATCTTGGACGAGGTGGCGTTCCACAGGTAGAGGGTGCGCCCGAGCGCCACCGCCAGCACGTTGTGGACCGACCAGTCGAGCAGGTTGAGGTAGTAGTCGTCTCGAAGGCCCGGGGCATCGAGCACCCGCTCAGGACCCGACGGCAGCCTTCTGGTCGAAGAAGAAACGTTAGAGGAGAGGGAGGGGGTAGACGTGCCTGGCTTCTTGTTGGCCGAGTAGAGAGTCTTCATCTGGTTCTGGTAGGTCTCGAGAACGGGTGCCTTGTGCTTGTAGGCGAGGATCTTTGTCGCCTTGCTCTCGCCCAGAAGCACTCCCGACAGGGATGACGTGTAGCGCTCCCACACAGCAGGGCTGCGCACGACAGACGTGGGGATGTTGGGGTGAGTATTCTCCTTCTTCGTAAAGGGGAAGGAGGCCACGGATGTGGCGGAGGTGAGGCTGTAGTGGGCAGCTTCAAAGTTCATGCCACCACGGGCGGGGATGAAGCGGTCGCCGATGGCCTCAGGGGCAGGACTCATCAGCATCGTAGACGAGTGAAGGGGTCGCTTGGTGTTCATCTCAACGAGATTCTTGCAGTTTCAGCTGAACTGGAATCTAGCGCAGGTTCAAACCAGAAATGGAGTCTCGGAAGAAACGGTGCGTTGTTCCTTCCCGCCAAAACGAAAAAGTGAAAAAGAAAAAGGAAAGACAAAATAAACGAAATATTTCGCGGGTCATTTTAGTTTTGTGTTCGCCGTGGAAAGGGCGTGGAAGAGCTTGAAAAAGATGAGACGACGGCGCCTTCCGCAGATGCATGTCTGGCGGAGGGGCCGATGCTGCAGCAGCACGCTAATTGCCCGCGACGGCTCAGGCGGGAGCGGTCACCGTGACGGTGTTCGGTTCCCCGCAGGAGACGTCGGCTCAGCGGGCCTCGGGCGAAATTTCCGTCAGAAGGTCGTGGATCCGTCCGTCTGGCGGCGACGAGCCAGGCCTCCAGCATTTATGCTCACTCGACTCGACTCCTGTGTCTCCACCTCCACTTCATCATCACCAGCCTCCTCCTCCCGACTCACACGCCCTCCACATAAGCCGCGGCTCCCCAGTGTGTTGCGTTCAAATTCTCCTTTAGCCACACACACTACACACCCAACAACATGGGCATCACCAAAACCCTCAAGACCAAGCTCGCCCAGCAGCAGGGCTATCAGCCACTCGACAATGCCAGCCAGCAAGAGGTCCAGCAGCAGCCGCAGCGACGAGTCTCGTTGCAAGCCACCACCCTGGCAGAGAAGCACCAGATGGGCATTCTCAAAGGCGCCTTCATGGTCTTCCTCCTGGGCCTTGTCTTCGTACGTCTCGACGCCACCTTCCTCTTCTTGCTCGTCTTCTTGTCTGTGGGTCTCACCCATGGCTCCTCTTGTAACTGCAGTGGTCGAGCCTAGCCAACATCACCGTCAGCGCGCTGATGCGGGAGTGGCCCAACGAGACCGGTAACCCGCGTGTGTCGCCCGTGCTTAACATCGGCGTCAGCGTGCTGGGCGTCCTCACCGCCTTCATGGGCGCCCTCTGGATGTGGAGGCGCCAGTCCTGCGCCATCTTCCTCGCTGTACGTCGTTACTCCCCTACCTACTATGGCTCTGCTACTCAAAACGTAGTCGTTACTCACCCGCTACTTCTTCTTCTTCTTGCATGCAGTTCCTCACGTTCGCGCTCTTGACGACCCTCTACTTGATCAGCTCGGGCGTCCTCCTGGGCTACACCTTCTCGGGCAAGCTGAGGGACTGCCCCCACGAGTACAGCGTCTACGCCTACCACTCGTTCCACCACGGCTGGACCTTCACCTGCGAGAAGTTCAACGTCGGCATGTACACCCTGGCCGTGTCGTCGCTGGCCTTTGACGTCATCGGCTGCCAGGCGCTCGTTCTGCTCTTGGTCCTGGCCCTCTGCCATCAGATCCCCTACGCCATCGCGCTCCTAGAGGAGAAGAACAAGGCCCAGCGTGGCTACATCATCGTCGACGTGGAGTCCGCCTCCGCCTAAGCTCGCTCTACTCTCTTCCACTTCTTCAAACTGCTCTTCAACATCTCACACCTCTACTTCTACTTCCTCCACCATCTGTCCCTCGTGTACATACACGTCCCCAACTCTCTCTTCATTCTCCACCGCGATGTCGGTTCCCCTTACAGCGAAGTCTGCAGATGTATATAAATCGTTATTCCTTCCACCTCACGTTGTGCTTGGTCGTTAGAGTCCACTGAGTGATTGCTTGACTCCTCCCAGCCGAGTGCGTGTGCGGTCGAGCGCGTGCGGCAGATTGCAGCGCCAAGCGAAATTTCTGCGCCTCATAGAACCGTTGAGGGCTGCGCAGATTGAACCACAAATTGGCCCAACTCAATGAGCACCTATCTCGAGAAGTATTTGGAGAGTACGTTCCATCGCCTTGGCCTTCGCATTATGGCGATTGCGTCCATGAACACAATTTTCGACCTTTCCAGCATGTGATGCTCTTATCATCTTCCACAATTTAATTGCATCATCTGTGCTGCGCCGCAGGCATCGCAAATCTGCCGCATGAAGTGAAGCGCAACTTTGCGCTCATGCAGGATCTGGACCAGCAGACGCAAGGTACCTTGTTGTCGACGAGCCCCCAACCTCACATATGGCTGACACCGACGCCGGCCGCGGCCTCACCAGGGACGATGGACAAGCTCGAGCAGTCGTCGCGCGCCTACTTGAAGAGGAAGGCCAAGGACGCGTCGGTGGCCGACGATCGGGCTCTACAGAAGATACGGGACGACTTCAAGCGCGCGATGGAGACGGGCGACGAGAAGATCGAACTCGCCGCCCAAACCTACGAGCTGGTGCGAAGCGCGTTCGATTACGTGTGTCGTGTCGTTGGGCGTGTGCGGTGGTGCTAAATTGTGTGAATGCCTTGAGCCAGGTGGACAAGCACATTCGCCGGCTCGACGCTGACCTGAAGAAGTTCGAAGCCGAGCTCGAGCAACAAGGTGATCACTGCTGTGCGGCACGCGTGAAGCGCGATTGTGGCGCGCGCAACGCGATGCATTCACACCGAGACACCGAGACTCACATTCGTGTGCTCTCTTTTGGTCACCAGAAACCAAGGGCAAAGGCAAGGGCACCAAGGCGTCCAAACACAAGGAAAACGGCAAGGGACAAAAGAAGAGGTGTGTGTCGTGTCGTGTCGTGTCGTCCAGGCTTAGTGTGCTTACACGTGTCTTCTTTGCGCTGCTCCGCTAGCGTGCGGGCAAGCGAGCTTCCGCCGGACGCGGCGCCGCGGCTGTTCAACGTGGACATCGACATGCCCATCGACCCCAACGAACCAACCTACTGCATCTGCAACCGCGTCTCCTTCGGCGAGATGGTAGGCTGCGACAACCCCGACGTACGCGCCCGGCTCCTCGCCCTCATCACTCCTTCCCCCCCCCCACGGCGCTGTTCTCGATAACTCTGCTCACTCGACTACATCGCTTGCTGGCCGCCGTGTGCAGTGCCGTGTGGAGTGGTTCCACTTTGAGTGCGTCGGTCTCACGAGCCCACCAAAAGGTTCCTCCCGCGCATCTTTTGTTGCGTGTGTGGTGTGCGTGTGTGTGTGTGTGTGTGTGTGGTGTGTTGTGTGTGTCGTGTCGTGTCTGACGATGTGCTCCCAACGCGCAGGCAAGTGGTATTGCAACGAGTGTTCGGTGGTGCGCAAGAAGCAGGGGATCATCAAAAAGTAAATTGGCCTATTTGCATTGTAACAAACACAAGAGAATGTAACAAAACAAAAGTATAAACAAAACAGGTGGTACGGGGTGGTGAGAATATGTGGTGTGGCTAGTGGTAGAAGGCGGCGGTGGCGTTGTGTGTGGCGTTGTGGTGGTTGAGTTCGCAGAGGTCAGCAAAGCCGGTGATGCCCTCGTCCGCAATCTGCAGCGCCCCCGTCACAATCATTGCCACACCGCTTCCCGCAATCACGAAGGCCTGCACACAAAACACGACACATACGACACGCACACGACACACGACACACGACACGCACAAACGTGACACACGATCAATGATGCGTTGCGGTGGCTGGAATGCAAGACCGGGGGGGGGGTAAGCGTAGCGTACGAGAAGGAAGGAGATGATGGAGCTCTTGTTGAATCGCTTCACGACGTATTGCACGCCGTACTGGCCGACCACGGCGGCGAGCACGCCCAGCACGAAGAACCACAGCGCCGGCTGCCAATTGAGCGCGCCGATTATGAAGTACTGCGATACTGTTGACAGGGCCGTGAACACCTGTGTCGTACCAACGCGCCGGTGAGCGTACGTGCGCGTAGCCATGTGTCGTGTGTCGTGCGTCGTGTGTCGTGTGTCGTGTGTCGTGTGTCGTGTGTCGTGTGTCGTGTGTCGTGTGTCGTGTGTCGTGTGTCGTGTGTCGTGTGTCGTGTGTCGTGCGGTGATGTGTGTCGTGTTGTGAGCGGCGTACGATGATGAAGGAAGAGGTGGCGGTGGCCACTTCGGGGGTCATCCCGATCTCGAGCATCACCGGGCCGTTGACCATGCCCGACCCGATGCCGAGGAACCCCGCGGCGGTACCGCCGATCGTCCCCGCGAACGGAATCAGGAAGAGCGACTTCACGCTCCACTGCACATCGCCTTCCTGTAGTCCCGACATCCCAGAGCGTGTGCGGCCGTGCGTGTGTGCGTGTGCGGTTGTGAGTGCTGTTTGGTCGGGACTCGCCACGAACACGGAAAGGTGAGCGCACGATGAAGGGCCAGCCGTTCCGTTTGCGGTACGAATAGATAAGCCGCGCGATGATACACGACAGCACCATGAACCCTGCAGAGGCCGACACGTCAGTTAGTTAGTTAAAAAAAAAGTTAAGGTGGCGCGTTTGCGTGTCGACATAGAGGACAGAGGGCGGCCGGAGAGAAATACCGAGCATGATGGGGAACATGACGCCCCATAGGATCCAGAAGTACATGCTGCACTTGACGATACCCAGGTAGCTCTCATCTGTATTCTCGTTAGTTCTGTTCACGTACCACCGCACACGCACACGCACACGCACACGCACACGCACACGCACACGCACACGCACACGCACGGGGAAAGAGATACCTGACTCGCCGCCGCCTCGCACGAAGACGATGGCAAACATGATGCACCAGACGATGGCCAGATAGAGGAACTTGACGGCGTCGTAGCACCACAGCGGCATGCAGGTCTCGGGCTTGTTCAACACCACTATGCCGCCGCCGCCTCCGCCCTTGCTTTTGCTTTTGCTCTTCTCGACGTTGTTGAAGTACCGCACGACCGGCTGCTGCGCCTCCTTGTCGAGCAGCGCCTCCTGCTCGGGCGTGATGTCATTGTCGTCGTTGACGCTGCTGCTGACGGCGCCGTGCAGCGAATGGGCGAGGCCCTTGGCGTGGGCGACGCCCAGGCTCTCCTTGCCGTAGGGGAAGGCCGTCGGGTGGTGGTGGCCGCCGCTGCCGCCGTCAGCGCCGCCGGGCATGTCGACGCCGCGGTCGATGCTGTCGGCCGTCGGGTTCACCGTCATGACTCGGTTTTGTCGCTCGGCCTCCTTGGCCACCTTCTCCTTCTTCCACAGTTTGATCGCCTGTACACGACATACGCACGACACGACACGACACACGACACACGACACACACAGTTGTGAGTTGCTACTGATTGCGCGCAAAGTGGGGTGGGGGAATGCGTACGGCGACAAAGGTTCGGTAGTCGACCAGGCCGAGCACCAATATGAGCAATATGAGGATGAGCCACTCTGGCAAGATCTTGGGGAGGGGAGAGAAAAGAGAGTCAAGGAAGAGCGCCATAGGCACAGCACAGCGAGCCAACAGCACAACACAGCCGAGCACAGCACAGCACACTCATCACACCATCGACCCAAAACGTTGAGCACTATCAAAAAGTAGAAGAGAAGGGGAAGGGTACGACGTAGACGAGGACTCCGACGGTGGTGCCTAATAGCGTGGTGGGTGTCATGACCATCGCTACATCGTAGTCGACCAGCGCTCGCCTGCTCGCCACACGTGATGTGAGTTGGTTGTGTGCGACCACACACACACACACACACACACACACACACACACACACACACACACACACACACACACACAGCGCGGGAGAAGGCAAAGGGGCTGTACCAGGGCGCTCGTGGGTGTCGCCGCAGCACGTTCACCAGAAACGAGCTGATGGCCACGCCCGCCACTGTCACCTGCATTGGTTGTGTTTGTTGGTGTGTGGTGTGTATGTGAGATAGAGATTAGTGTTATTTGATTAAAATCAATAAAAATAAAGCCAACGCACCTTGGAGAGGGGGATGGCTTCTTTGGCGGTGTAGCCGACGATGAGGATGAGCACGGGCACGTAGATGCCGCCTCCGCCAATCCCGACGGCGCCTGATAGAGCTCCGCCGACGAAGGCCAGCCCCGTGCCCAGGTACAGGCGCCACCCGAACAACAGTTCAGCCATCCTATGCGACACCTGGCTCGGCCCCTTCTTCTGCAGGCAAGTTCAATCGATTGCGAGATCGATTTTTTGTTCTACGCGGCAGGTAAAAAACAAAATAAATAAATAAATCTCCTGCGTCCGTCGCTGATCAGCCGCTTGCCAATCGATTGAAGCAGATGCACAGCCTGCCTCCTCGCCCCTGCTAGGCCGAGCAGTTTGGTGTGGTCGTGTCACCTCCTACACTCCGCCAACAATTCTGGAATGCGGGCCGAAGAATTCAAACCAGTCGGCTAATATTGTCGACATTCCAAGATGAAGAATGTGTTGGGTACCCATTCTGGGCTTCGTGTCGTGCGTCGTGAGTTGTGTAGTGCGTCGTGCGTTGTGTAGTGCGTCGTGTCGTGTGTCGTGTCGTGCGTGTGCGTGTGTACAAACAAACAGAGGTGATGGATAAGTTGTTTTCTTATTTACTGGAGAGGAGAGATGGTGAGGTGGAAGGAGGAAGGAGGGGAGACATTATGGGATGAAGGAGGCGAGCCAGTCGGAGTGGTCGGCGACGCCAAACACGACCTCGATGGAGATGAGGAAGATGATGGCCCACTCGAGCCTGGTCGACTTCTTCACGTGCACTTCCGAGCTCAGCATAGAATAGAAGTCATTAAACATCTTCAACTGCGAGTCCAGCACCTGTTGACACACACACGCACACACACGCACACACCACAGCACACGACACAGCACATGTGAGTTTCTCATCAAAGACGAGTGGTGAAGATGGTTGAGGTGGATGGGACCTTGGCGCGGTTCTTGACGCCGAGGTGGCTGTTGAAGATCTTCCAGGTGTTGGCCGACTCGGTGTCCTCCCAGAACTCGTCGGGGATGTCGGACACGAAGTCGGTCTCGCCGAGGTTGACGTTGACGAGGAGCTCCATGATCTTGCCCATCTCCTGGACGATCTTCTTGGGGCCGAGCGGGATGCTGCCGTTGCGGGCGAGGTAGTGCGACAGGGCCTGCATCTCCTGGAAGGTGTCCTTGACCTCCTTCTCGAAGTAGTCCAGCTTGATCGACTGCGCGAGCGCGAACGAGACCGGCCACTTGGCCGTCGAGTCGTCCTCCTTGAGAATGAGCTCGTCGTCCTCGGGGTCGACCGCCGTGTCGCTCCCGTAGACAAAGTCAAAGTCCTCGTACAGCTCTGTGCGCTCGCCCCGCTCGCACGCGCGGATGAGCTGCCGCACGCGGATGAAGTCGGCGTCGTCCACGTCCCAGCACACGAACGAGCCGAACGGGAAGATGTAGATCTCGCTGTCGTCCAGGCACCGGAGCCGGATGTACTTGCGGTCGCGTCGGATGTAGGAGATCTTCCACTCGGAGGCGATCACGTCGTCGGCGCGCAGCGCCCGGTAGAGCTTGTGCAGCACGTAGGCGTCGGCCGTGCAGTAGGCCAGGCACTTCTTCCGCTCCTCGCGCGCCCGCGGTCGGTTGTCCTCGTCGCGTTGGTCGCGGCCCATCTCGGCCCGCTCGAGCCGCAGCTGCTGCAGACGGCGCACCTCCTCTTCCTCCTGCTGCTGGCGGGCTCCCTCGGGGTCCTGCTCTTCATCAATGGCAGTACTAGTGGCCCGCCTGGCGGCTTTCTTCTTCGATGCTCGCTTGGCGGTGCCACCGTTGCTGCTCTCCATTGATTGCCTGGGTGGCGGCGTGTGGTGCTGATCTTCGCGGCCCATTTCGGCATCTTCCTCGGCCCGCTCCTCCTTCTCCTCCTCCGGCGTGCGCTGGGATTCTGCATCTCCTACGCTGCTGGTGGTGCTGGCGAAGAGGGGCGACGCGCTCGAGTGCCAATTTCTCCGAAATGAGGGGAAGGCCATCGCACCATTGCCTCGACCTGCGCAGCGAATGGAGCTCAAAATGTGCCGATGTCCCGCCTGCTGCGATGTCGCGAGGGAAGACGAGCATGCTGCTCGCTGCGCACGGAAGAAGGGTGAAGGAGTGAGGGTGGAGGGGAAACGTCCGAACCCTTGCCGAGCCGTGAGGAAAGGACCTCGCGTCGCAGCATTCGCTGCTCGCTTCATCTTTTGCTTCGTTTCGTAAAAAGAAAAGTGGCGAGAAAACATGAGCGTCTCAGAAAAGCAGCAAAGAAAAAGTTGGAAAAATTGTGAAATGTCGTGAATGCGATCCGGCCACATCGGCCCATAACTCGGCGAAGCGGACGAAATTTGGTTGAAAATGACGCAGTTAGAGTTCGCGGTTCAGGGAAATATTCGAAGCAGGTTGCTGGCAAGGTGGTGAGAAAGACCAGAAGCAACCCGCGAGGCTAAAACGACCCAACAGCCCAACGACGAAACAACCAACAGTGGTGGCAGTGGTAGCGGAGCGTAGTAGTAGTAGAACTTACGTGTACTCAACAGAGAACAAGTTTGGCGGCTGGCTTCGTCAGCAGCTGGCCCAACAACCGACCTTACAACCCGAACCATCACGTCGCTACTTGGCATCGCAAGACATCAATCCATTTACAAAACACAGCATTCATTCTTCCCCAAGCAGCAGCATGGCCTCCACAGCGTCCCCTCTCAAGCAGGTACGTGAGTAACAAGAAGGCACCCTTCACTTTGATCTCCCTACTCACATCTCCATTTTGGCACACCAAGGCGGGCGATTTAGGGAGGGAAGCCGAGGAGGCGGCAGCCAACGGTCTCTTTGAGGAAGCCACCCGCAAGTACCTCCTCGCCGCCCAGGTACTTACACTTCCCCCACTTTACATTAATATTTTGTTTTTATTTTTGTGTAGATAATATTTATTATTATTTATTCGTACGCCACACCACGTACGGACGAGGCACCTTCCTTGGCTCTTTTTTTTTTCTGTAGAAGAAGATGGCCAACGTTGAAGAGCACACCCTCTAAGTCATCTTGAGCCCCTCTCGACCTTCTCCCCGCCGCGATAACTCCTAACACATGTCACATGACCCCTCACCACCAACCAACACCTCATCAGTGCTTCGTGGACGCGACGAAGCACACGGCCGATGCGCAGATGATCCAATCCCTCAACCTGCTCGCCCAGACGCACAGGAACAGGGCCGAAGAACTTCAGCTCTATCTCGAAGCCGCCAAGACCCTCCAGTACGCGCGCACACAATGCCGCACACGACGCAACACGCAACACGCAACACGCACCACACGTGTGCTGATTTGATCGTGCGACGTGTGGCTAGGGCGAGTGGCGGAGACTCGTACTACCAGGGCAGCAGCTTGAGCTACTCCAACGGGTACGACAGCGGCGACGACGACGACGAATACGACGATGAGCCCGGCCAGCACCACCGTCAGCGCGGCGAGGGTCCGACCTATTGGGAGGGCGAGGACATGATCTACGCGCGGTCGTCGTCCCCGTTCGGCTCCTCCGACCCGCTTCTCTTCGTCTTCACCAAGGACGACGCGCGCCCGGCGCCGGCCATGGTCGAGTCGCAGTTCTACGAGATACGGGGCCGCGACCCAGCGGCCGCCGGCGGCAACAGCGAATCGGAGTCGAGCCCGGGCTCGTCGTCGTCATCTTCATCGTCGACATCGACATCAACGTCGACGTCGTCGTCATCTTCGTCGTCGGTCAACAACAATAACAACGACGCCGAGTCGATCATGTTCAGCGTGGACGGCAGCTCGGACGAGTTTATGTCGACGTGGCAGCGCATGCTGATGGGCATGGACCGGCTGCTCGACATCCTCCCGCGCTCCACGATACCCTTTGCCGCCGCCGGCCCGGCGTCGCCGTCACCCACCGGGGAGCGCCGAAGTCCCCAGGCGGCCCGGGCCGACCACAACGCGCAGCCTGCGGGCCAGCTCGGATCGAGCGGCGATGCCGGCGCCGGCCGGGTGGCCGAGTCCTTCGTGCTGGTGCCCTCCTCGCGTTCGCGTTCGCCCTCGCCCACGTCGCCCACCGACTCGGCAGCGATCTCGCCCGCACCCGCCCTGCAGGGAAGGTACCCAATCGCACTCCCTCTCTGACACCGCCACTCTGGCTTGCGCGCGTTCAAGAGACCGAGCTGACGTGTCGTACGCGTGTCGTGTCGTGTCGTGTGTCGTGTGTCGTGTCGTGCCTGTTTTGGTGGTTCAGCGTGTTGGACTATTCGGGGCTCAGCAAGGAAGATATGCTGCGTGAGCTCCAGCGTCTCAACCAGGCCGTCGAATATCTGCGCGCCGAGAACGCCGCCCTGGTCAAGGCACAGGAGGAAAAGAAAGAAGCGACGCGAGAAAACGAAATGCTGAAGGAGAGCATTCTGCGATTCCGCACCGAGTTCGAAAAGCAGACGCACCAGCTTCACCAGGCCCAGCCCGTCAAGCTCTCCAAGGTACCCCCTTAGACTTACACTGACACGTTTCTTCTTTTCTTTTCCTTTTCCTTTTCTTGTTGGTTGGGCTCATCGCGTTTCGATACAACAGAGCATCGTGGGCGGCACGAAGCGAAGCGTCCACCCGACGAACCCGCTCGCGCACTCGGCGCTGTCGTCCGGCGGCCACAGGGCGCACCACCGCTCGGTCGCTCCGCACCACAATTACCACCCATCGGGCGCCCTCCACTCGGGCCGCTCGCTCTCCTCGTCGTCATCGCACTTCGCATCGGCCTCGGCCTCGCCGCCGCCCGCCGCCTCCGCCAAGAACCCGTCGTCGTCCCTCGGGCTCGACTCGGCGCTGTCGCCGTCGCTGTCGTCGTCGGCATCGTCGGCCCAATCGACAGCGATGATGACGTCAGCCGCGTCGCCGCTGTCGGCGTCGATGTTCTGGATCCAGAACATACAGATGAAGCGGCTCAAGGAGCTCGAGGAGCGCAACCGCGCGCTGGCCAAGCAGCTCAAGCAGCTCCGCAAGCAGGCGAGCGGCAGCGACAAGAAGGTGGCCGCGCTCGAGGAGGAGAACCGACGACAGCGCGAGGTCATCGACAAGTACGACGAGAAGTGGAAGAAGCTCGAACGCAGCGCGCGCGAGAAGATGAAGCAGCGACGAGAGAGCCTGTCGCGCACGTCGTCGTTGCCGGCGCCGCCCGCCGGCGGTGGTGGTGGGTCGACGTCGTCGTCCACCATCCCCGGCTCGCTGTCCGAGGGCAGCGGACTGCCCATCCTCGCCATCCCGGCCCTGTCGTCGTCGCCCTCGGGGTCGATGACGTCGATGCACTCGCCGGGGTCGTCGCCTATCTCGTCTCCGCTGTCGTCGTCCCCTTCGTCGTCGTTCCTCATGCACGCCGCGTCGTCATCGCTCCTCTCGCCCTCCTCCTCGCTCTTCCTCAACTCCTCTTCCATCGCCGACGACGCCGGCCGAGGACGCGAACACTGACGATGGCACCGATGCTGATGTACAGAATGCATGAAACAAACAAACAAACAAACAAAAACAATGTAGCTACAGCAAAAGGAGTCTTGTCTCACGAAGTAAAGTACATCCATTCTCCCGCCGAGGTGGAGTGCCTCCCTTGGTTGGCTCACTCCTCGCGCGCACTTGAGCCCATTCCCGCTTCCACTTCCTTTCGCCGGCAGCGGCGTTCTTTCGTCGTCGAGGAGTGGGGAGGAGATGAGGGCAGAAATGCGGGCGTGGCGGTGATGAAGAAGATGCTGATGAAGCTGAGGGTGTGCTGGTGATGAACGACGTTGGAAGGAATGATAAATAAAAAATAATAGGAGGGTTGCCGTGGATGATGACCGGGAGGGTAATTACAGGTGATTCCACCTCGCGTGCGTGACGAAGTCGAAATGTGGTGTGGTGGTGGCGATGACGGCCGTCATTCCATCGTTCCAGTTGTTCCTTCTTGCTCGCTCTGCTCGTTTTCGTTGATTCGATTGGGCGGCTGATGAGGCGGTTTGGTCGTTTCCTCACTCCCTCCCTCCCCGCCGGAAGCTGTCGCGGTTGGGGTCCCCGATCAATCGCGAACGCCGCCCATCGACCAGGTGGTGCCCAGCGACGACAGGAGCGGGCTCTCCTCCGCGTAGTAGTGCGCGTCGCCGCCCGGTGAGTCCTCGAACGCGTCCGGCGACGACTCGACGTGCTGCTGCTGCTGCTGCTGCGCGCTGTTGACCGAGTAGGCCGCCCGCACGTACGCGGCCCCGGCGTAGCCCTCCTCCATGCCTCGCTCCCTGCCCGCGCCGCGACTGCCGCCGCCGACGCCAGCACCGGGGCCGCCGTAGCCGCCGCCGCCGCCGCCGTCGAGGTGGTTCTCGTAGCGGTGCATGGCGTCCTGGACCTTGTCGGCGAAGTCGAGGGCGTTGCCGGGGTTGGACTTGATCATGTTGAGCCACATGTCGGAGGCGCGGTTGCACTTGACGTAGACGCGGTAGGCGGTGAGCAGGCCGGCGACGAGGATGGCGACGCCGCCGACGACGCCCAGGGCGACGAGGAAGTAGAACCACCACTTCTCGTAGATCTCGTCGTCGTCGAGCACGGCGTTGGTGGCGCAGATGGCCTCCTCGACGGCCATCTGGCTCAAGGGTCCCGCGTAGCGCTTCCCATTGATGAAGATGACGCTCTCCACCTCGCCGTTGAGGCCCTCGGCGCTGGAGAGCTGGATGGAGCGATTGAGGAGGTAGGTCCCCTCCTTGGATTCCACGCATTCCTTCATCACCGACAAATCGAGGGCGGCCTCGATGGCGCATTTCTCGGCGTTGTCGGGGATGACGGTGTACTGCTGGCTCAGGCAGACGAGGAAGTTGAGATACTTGAGGTTGGCCTGGTAGTGCTCGATGGCGCACAGTTCCCACACATCGCCCACCACCTCGGGCTCGCCGTGCAGCGAATGGAAGGTGCCATTATCGTCGAGGGAAGCGATGTAGGCGATGCTCACGTGGAGATTAGCATGCGATCGTGCGAGAGGGGCCAGGGCGAGGACGGCGGAAGCCCCTCGCGAGCTCTTCGACATCATGTACAGATCTACTTGCTTCTTCTATACAATTGAAAAGCCTCAATGAGCGAAAATGCTACAGAAGTAGAAGCAATTGCCCGTATAGAAAATGCTTGCGGGTGCATACCTCATTGTCAGTTGTACAGGGGCATGGGCACAGCGGAGATGCCGATGGTGCGGAAGATCGAAGCAAGTTGTCTTCTCTGCTATCCGATGCATGGACTAAAGGTAGAACGAACGACGATTGACATAAGGCCCCTCTCCCAATCTTAGTAAATGAAGCAATTAGGTACCTGTTTCGACCGTCAACAGGCATATGAGAAGGAGGACCAAGAGGGAGCAAGGACTCTGCTGTGACATTAGCACCCTTGCCGAAATGGCATCAAATGCGGTCGAAATTCGTTGTGTGCGCGAGGAGCGAGGCCCAAGATGGAGATTGGCTGCCTTCTCCTCCCTGATGTGATGTGTGATCGATTGCGGTGTTGTGGTGTTTCGTCTGGCCGTGAAGCGAAATCAGTGGGCCCCAAAATTGGCCGCCTGTTGGGTGGTTTTGGCTGTCAACGCAAGAGACGAGACCGGGAGATTCGTGTGGCCAATGGCACCCTTGCCTCGATTGCACTGCGTTGAGTGGTCTGTCCACCGCCATCTCTGCTCTGTTCACCTTGCAACGCGGTTCTGCGGAGGGTTGCATTGCTTCCTCGCAGTGTGTCATACACCCACACTCCGCATCTCCTCGCGCCCACTCACACACCAGTGTGTCAGCAGCACGCGCCGCCCTTGGGCAACTCGCTGGTGGACGCCTTGTCCTTGGGGGCCGCACACGCGCCAAAGAGGCCGTAGTGTCGCTCGCGCGAGCCGACCACCTCGAAGTGCGGGCCGAGCCACGTCTTCCCGAGCATGTCGGCCGTGTTGCCGCACACCAGCACGGGCCGCCCGGTCTCGAACAGGTGGTGGTCGTCCAGCTGGTAGCTGCTGGCGTGGCCCTTGATCGTGCCCCGGTAGACGGCGTACTGCCCGTAGTCCTCGCACAGGGTCTCGAGGTCGGGCAGCTTGAACAGGCGGTAGGTGATTGAGTAGAACCGCGCCTCGCCGACCACCTCCCTGAGCTCCTCGTCGTCGACAGCGATGGGCGACGTCGACAGGGCACGCGGGTCGGTGAAGCCCACGGCGTGACACAGGCGCCGGAAGTCCTCGATGTACAGGGCGCCGGCCAGGCACTCGCCGAGCAGCACCTCGTGCGAGCGCACGCTTGGCGGCAGGCGACGGTCGCAGTAGACGTCGCTGAAGTAGAACTCGCCGCCCTCGCGGAGCACCTCGTATACGTTGGACAGGACGCGGCGCTTGTCGGGCGAGAGGTTGACCACACAGTTGGAGATGACGAGGTCCATCGACGCTGGCTCGATGCCCGCCTCGGCCAGGAACTCGATGTAGCCCTGCACGAAGCGCAGGTTGGGCCGGGCGTAGCCCAGCTTGGCCGTGTACTCGGCGACGTGCGCGTTGGCCACATCGAGCTGCTCCTTCGTCATGTCCACTCCCGTCACCGACCCCGATTGTCCCACCTATGTTGCGTCAAGTTGCTGAGTGAACCTACCCCACACCGCACGCACCATCGCACGCACCGCACGCACCGCACACACGCAACACTCGACAGCACACCGATTGATGGAGAGTAGGGGGTACCAGGTTCGCAGCAACGTAGCAATCGCGTCCTGACCCGGACCCCAGATCGAGCACGTGCAGTCCCTCGATGCCAAAGGGCAGCGGCGTGCCGCATCCGTAGTAGCGACTCGTGATCTCGTCCGGCACCCTGCGCAGAGGAGCGACGTAAAGAAAAACAAACAAAATAAATAGATACCACATAAAAAGAATAATAAAAAAAGCGACATACTTATCTCAGCAAAGGAAGCTCGTGAGAGGGGGGGGGGTGCGCACTGAACGAGGGCATCGCGGACAATCTTGTGCGGGCGATTGGAGGTGCAGCAGGCGCTGGTCTTGAGGTCCTTAGTGGAGCTCAGCACGCGCCCATAGTAGTTCTTCACCGACTCGTACACGCCCGCAGCGTTCTTGTAGTCGCCCTGCACCGTGCCTTCCATTGCCAACACTTCTTCAAAACGTTATTTATTTATTTTATGAAATATATAAAAGTCTGTGTTTCCATTTATTTTTATGAGGGTATGTACACGACGGTTTGTTGTTGTTATCACTTGTTCTGGCCAGCGTTGCCCTCTCGAGCAGAGCTCTGAGGGTGGTCGATGGTGCGGCCGACTCGCCCCAGCAGACGCCGCTTGTCGTCGGCCGTGAGGTGGCGCACGCTGGCTGCCTCGGCCTGGCGCTGGGCGTCGGTCAGCTCTTCGGCCTCCGGTTCGTTGGCCTTGAGATAGGCCATACGGTCCAGGTGTGGCTTCATCTGCAGCTGCCAGTAGGCCAACTGCATGCCAATGCGTAATCAAAAAAGATTAATTTACCTTTTTACCTTTTATCATTTCATTATCTTTAAATTGAAAAACAACAGATTATTGTACAACTGCACAGGGGTGGGCAGAAGGGCTCGTACCAACTTGGCGCCCCCGATCAAAAGGCCGACACCAACGATGGCGCCCGCTATTTTGAAATGGTTTCGCTTGGGCCTGTACGGTGGGCGTGCACTCATCCTCGCTCTCTGTGTCCCTGCGTACGCCTCCAACAAAGTCACCTGTGCTGGCCGTTACTCATGCGTACGCGTGCGTAGGTTGTGCGTTGTGTTTTGATTTTTAGTTGTCGGAAGAGTAGAAAGGAGAGGAAAAACGGCAGTACCGGACGAGTGGCGCAATAAGGCAGGCGGCTGTCGGATACGGCCATACTGCGCAGAAAGCACCGCTTCCCATCCGAACAGCGAAGTTAAGCTGCGCCAGGCGGTGTTAGTACTGGGGTGGGCGACCACCCGGGAATCCACCGTGCCGTATCCTCCTTTTTGCTCTCTTCACTTCCTTCCCTCGCCCGCACTCTCTCCTCCACCCTTTCATTTCTCCCACCTTGGCGTGATATGGTAGTGTGCCCACCTCGAACAATAAATAGGAGTTTATTTACAACCCTTCGATGGTGCGGCCGACACCACTGCCCAGAGCTCTGGGAAGGAGAGAGACGCAAGCCGCATAGAGCTGAGTCGCGCGTGACTTGCGTCTCTCTCCTTCCCAGAGTTCAGTCGCGCGCGGCCAAAACGTGCTGCTTACATCTCGCCTCTCCCTCACTCACCGTCGGTGTTCAATCCTCGCTTTCCAGGTCGTCCACGTCGAGCTCTCCCTCGCCGTCGCCGTCGTCGCCCTCACCTTCACCTTCACCCTCGTATTCGCCTTCGCCGTCTCCATCACCGTCGCCGTAGAGATCTAGACCTTCGTCTTCGATCTTCATCGCCACCCCATGCTGGTGCTGCTGATGGTGGTGGTGGGCGTGGCCGTGCACGTCCCCCGCCGAGCTCCGCAGATCCAGCTGCTCCCCGGTGCCACTCGGCCTGCCGCTACCACTTGTCTCCGCCTTCGTTGTCGGCATCATCGTCGCCGTAGCTGTGGTGGCCGTTGTCGGCATCATCGACGCTTCCCCGCCGCCGCCTTCCCCGGCCGTCGCTGCTGGCGCCAGCCTGAATTGGTGAGCCGCCGCACCGCTGCTGCCGGGCTCCTCTCGCTCTGACGGTGGTGGTTGGGGCCGGAAGGCATCTGGGCCGCCCACGTTCATACTCAACCACTGGCCGCCTTCGCCTTCGCCCTTGGAGCGCCGTCCTCGCCTGCTCTGGCTACTCGCGCACCACACGATCAGCACACAGCACACGCCAGATACACGACAGACGCCACACGCGGCACGGCACGGCACGGCACGGCACGACACGACACGACACGACACGACACGACACGACACGACACGAAGAGTCGTGATGACTTACATTGGTTTGGGTAGGTCCTGGATCTTGCCGGTCCTGATGAGGTACTGGCCGTGGCTTTGGACCTGCTCCCGTGTCTTGTTGGGCAGCGACTCGTGGATGGCCTTCCAGCTCTTCCCATGCTGTCCACCACCCACCACCCAATTAAGTCAGTAATGATGACGTCAGCATCATTCAAGCGGTTTCGGGCGAAGGGTACCATGCGATAGGCGCGCAGGAATTTGGCGTCGTCCTCGGGCGTCCACAGGGTACTCCGCCGGCCCTTCCGTCGCCGATCCTTGCCCGAGAGGCCCGTGCCGACCGAGAAGCCGCCGCCGCCGGCCGTGGTAGGCGACGACGACGGCGAGACGGGCGAGAAGTGGGCCGAGGGCGGCTCGAAGACGAATCCGGTCGTGGTCGTGGCCGTGGCCGTGGCCGACGGTGCGGTGATGTCCTTCTTGGCAGACGCCAGCTGCAGCAGCTCGCGCTCCTTCTCTTCCTTGCTCTTCCGCCCGCGCTTGCGCTTCAGCGGCCGGTGGCTGGGGTCGTCGCTGCTGAAGTCGCGCACCGTAAACTGGGTGAAGGCCGCGGCTGTGGTGGAAGACGACGATGGGCGTCGCGGCGAAGGCGTGCTGGCGGTGTGCTGGCCGCCGCCTGCCTTCGGCAGGTTGTCGACGTCGATGCCGCCCGGCGTGTCCAGCAGCATGTCACTGGCCTCGTACTCGTTCGAGTCAAAACCGCCGCCGTAGGCTTCGTCCAGCAGATCGTCGTCGTCGTCGTAGATGTCGTCATCGGAGGCATCGAGCGACTCGAGCGTTTCGTGAAATGATCGCTTTCGCTGCCGCTTTTTCGTCCCGCTGCCGCCGCCATCACTGCCATGACGACCGGCTGACGACGATGACGAAGAGGTCGACGACGCCGCCGCCGATGCGGTGTGGCGGGTCGGCTGTCGAGCGGCGGGCGTTTGGTGGGTTTCCTTTGCCTGCCGCGATGGCGGCATCAGCGAGTACGTCGATTGCTCCTGGGTCTCGAACATCTGCACAAACCTACGCGGATGATACGCACAGAGGGTTGCGTCAATTCATTGCGAGACGTGTGTGTCGTTGTGTGTGTGTGTGTGTGTACCGTTTGCGGTATTTGGCGAGGACGACATTTTGCTTGAAGATGAGGTGCTCCTTCTCCTTGAGCTCCAGGATCAGGCGCATGTTTTGGTTCATCAGCGTGGCGTTCTTCTTTCGCAGAACGATGTTCTCTCGCATCAGCTCCACGTTTTCGGCCATGACAGCATTGTCTGCACAGACCACAACCCGCACCGTTAGTTAGTACTGTGAGCTAACACACGACACAAAATACATGACACAACACAGCGGCCGGAGACAAAGCGTGTGGCGTACTCGGGGCCGGTCCGCTGGTGCTGGCACTGCTGGGACGGGGAACGGTCGGTTCGGCCTCCGCCGAGATGACAGCAGCTGGCGGCGGTGCCGGAGCTGTCGATGGCTCGACGCCGCCCGGCGACGCGGCCATGGTCACCTTTGCGGCCGTGCTCGCGGTCGTCGTGGTGGTGGACGTAGTGCTCGCGGCCACCGCCATTGTCGCCGTCGAGCCGGGCACGGGCTTGGCCAGCTGGAACGCGCCGAATGCGCTCGGGGCGTTAGCGTTGCTGTTGGTGTCGATGGGGTAGTCGGTCTTCCTCCGCTTCTTCTGGCTCTTCGCCGCCTGGGCCGCTCTCTCCTCGTGTCCGTTGTCCTTGGCGCCGGCGCTAGCAGCGGTTGCGGTGCCGGCGCTGACCGGCGCAGGACTCGCAGGCAGCAGGTCCCGGGTCGGCGAGGGGTGTCTGTTGTTGGCGCTCGTCGCGGGTGGTTCCGCCGACGCAGAGACAGACCCGGCTGCGGGCGAGGAGACCACCGCAGCCACGGTGGCCGTGGCCGTGGTGGCCGTTGTCGCCGCGGCTGAGCGCTCCAGACTCGCGGAAGATGACGACGACGTCGACGAGGCAGAGCTCGACAGCGCCGAGAGCGACAATGGCGCCGAGTTCGACAGCGGCGTCGACGACGATAGGGGCGATGGAGTCGAGGAGGAGGCCGAGGGCACGGGCGGCGGCGAGAGCGGCAGGCTGCTCACCGGTGCCGTGCTCGGCGGCGACGGCATGGAGGCGGGCGACATGGTCACTGGCGCAGTCGGCGGCGTGCGCTGCTGTCGCTGCATATGCTGTTGCTGCTGGATGGGCGACAGCGGGTGGTGGAGGTGCGTGGGCTGCAGGTGGCCGTGGCCGTGGCCGTGGCTGCCGTAGGGAGAACCGGGCAAGCCCTGCTGCGGTTGGAGTGGCTGCTGCTGTTGCTGCTGCGGGTGGGCGTGGCTAAGGCCGAGTGCCGGGTGCTGCATGTCGTGGCCCATCAGCATGTGCGACGAAGGACCGAACCCGAACGGAAACCCGGCGCGGCCCTGCTGGTGCTGCTGCGCCTGGTGCATATGCTGCTGGTGCTGGAGGTGGTGGAAATGGCCGGGGCCGGCGCCCATCAGGCCACCCGAGGGATCAGGCGACATGTGGTGCTGCTGCTGTTGTTGGTGGCGATGATGCTGGTGGAGCTGGTGCTGCTGAAGCTGGTGCGGGTGCTGGTGAGACTGCATGTGATGTGGCATCAGGTGCGAAGGGCCTACACCCGACAGTGGCGGCAGGTGGAGGCCGCCGGCGTCGGGCGACATCAGCGACGACGATGACGATGGAGCCATGCCGAGCATGCGACTGCCGGGCATCGATGCGGGCTGTCCGCCGTGCAGTCCCAGCGGGTCGCTCGTGTAGTTGCTGTAGTCCCCCAACTGGTGGTGGCACGTGAAACACACAAGCCAACGAGGGGCGAAAGGGAGGGTTGAAAGAGAGGGGGGGGGGTGAGAAAACAAACGTAGAGAAAGTAGAAGAAGCCGTGAGGAGAGCAAGAGCGAAGGAAGAAGGACGGATTGCAGAGTGGGGTCTGGTTTGAGAGAGAAACGTGCAATCCACAAAAATGGGCAGAGAGGCTACCTTTTCATCGCCGAGCATGCTGGGATCTTTGCTGTGATCGCCCATTCCGCTGCCGTAGCCATCCATCCCGTGATAATCGCTGGGTAGAGAGATCGTGGGCGAGTTGGGTTTCGCGCTTGCGAGGGACCGGATTGAGCTCAGCGAACGATTTGAAGGGTGTAATGCGCTCTGCCGATCGCGCTGAGCATGAAGCTTGCCTCACTTTGCCTTCGCTCTCCTCCTTGCGTTTTTGATTGCAATGGCTACGCGAAAAGGGGCCTAAAGGCGACCGGCGAGCGGTAACGTGTGCAAGAGGCCACAGCCCCCGAGGGTACTGCCCAAACAATTAATAGTGGAATAAAATAATTAGAAAAAAGGAAAATGCACAACTGGTGTTTGAGACGCAGACTGGCTTTTACTCACGCCAGACACAACTTCATCTTCTCCGAGATGTGGAAGGAGGGCGGCATCACCGTCTACTCCACCCGCCAGTTCCTCGCCGACCGAGCACTCGGCCTTTGCTTCTGGCGGAAGCGGTGTTTGTTTTCTTGTCGGACAAGTTCCGCTGGGCGTCAGTGCACCACGGCAGCGACTTTGCCACGATCGGACCTCTCAACTTGCGCACCGACACGGATGCTCAGCACATGGTTGGTACGTGTGTGGGATGAAGTTTAAGCCACAGAGTTTGTCTGGCGATCCTGGTAGATGTTCGTCTTTTTCCCTGTTTGCAGCGCCACCTTAAATTCAGGCCAGCAAAATGGTGGGTGGCAAAGAAAGAGAGTTTCAGATTGGGAGAGAGACATCAAATCAATTCAGAAGCAGCTGACTTGCGTAGAGGCATAAAACATGGAAGAAATCGGACTCGCCCCCTCTGGCTCGCAGGTGCGTGAGTGCATCGCTGTGTGGAACGGAGTGCGGTAGATTGCTTGTTGCTCGACATGGGCAGATCTCTGCGTCGTGTTTGAGTGTACGCCAACGATGATGGCTAATCGTGAATCCTGCAACCGCGCGCAGACGATGGTTATCGATTCTCCTCACAGTGCGATGGACATCGAAACCAAGGAAGAGCGAGAAGACGATCTCTACCTCACACTCAAGGACTATGAGAAGCAGCTGCGATTCCTCGAGATCCAGGAGGAGTACGTCAAGGATGAGCACAAGAATCTCAAGCGCGAGCTGCTGCGCGCCCAGGAGGAGGTCAAGCGCATCCAGTCGGTGCCGCTCGTCATCGGCCAGTTCCTGGAGATGATCGACCAAAACACGGGCATCATCGGCTCCACCACTGGCTCCAACTACTACGTGCGCATCCTGTCCACGATCAACCGCGAGGAGCTCAAGCCCGCCGCCTCGGTGGCTCTGCACAGACACTCGAATGCGCTCGTCGACATCCTGCCGCCCGAGGCCGACTCGTCCATCCAGCTCATGGGTGCTGGCGAGAAGCCCAACGTGACCTACCAGATGATTGGCGGTCTCGACATACAGAAGCAGGAGATTCGGGAGGCCGTCGAGCTGCCCCTCACACACTTCGACCTCTACCGACAGATCGGCATTGACCCGCCTCGTGGTGTGCTTCTCTACGGCTCGCCTGGTACCGACTCCCCTCCCTGCTTCTCTCTTGGTTGCACTGTCTTCGTTACTCCCATCTCTTCTTGTTGTGCTTCTGCTTCTCACTTCTGCATGCATTTCTCTGCATTCGCTCGTGCCCGTTGCAGGTACGGGTAAGACCATGCTGGCCAAGGCCGTGGCGCACCACACATCCGCCTCCTTCATTGCCGTGGTCGGCTCCGAGTTTGTACAGAAGTATTTGGGTGAAGGCCCACGCATGGTCAGGTACGCATTCACCGTCACAACTACCTTTATCTTTATCACCTTCGCAGCACTCCTCTCCTCTCCTCTCCTTCATGAAGCTTTGCTGAGTGTGTCCTCTCCTCGCCCGTACAGGGACGTGTTCCGTCTCGCCAAGGAGAACGCGCCGGCGATCATCTTCGTGGACGAGGTGGACGCCATCGCCACCAAGCGTTTCGACGCCCAGACCGGTGCCGATCGCGAGGTCCAGCGTATCCTGCTGGAGCTGCTCAATCAGATGGACGGCTTCGACCAGAGCGTCAACGTCAAGGTGATCATGGCCACCAACCGCGCCGACACGCTCGATCCCGCGCTTCTGCGCCCCGGTCGTCTCGACAGGAAGATCGAGTTCCCTTCGCCCGACAGGCGGCAAAAGCGTCTCATCTTCTCCGTCCTCACCGGCAAGATGAACCTCAGCGAAGAGGTCGATCTCGAGGACTACGTCTCCAGGTACACTCTCTTCATCATCACCTCTTTCTTCGGGTCTGCGCGTGGCTCACAACACACAAACGCACAACAACAACAACAACAACAACACAGGCCCGACAAGCTCTCGGGTGCCGAGATCAACGCCATCTGCCAGGAGGCGGGCATGCAGGCCGTGCGCAAGAACCGCTACGTGATCCTGCCCAAGGACTTCGAGAAGGGCTACAAGTCGGTGGCCAGGGGCGGCGGCAACGAGTTCCTCTTCTACCAGTGAGCAGTGGTCGACCGCCAGCTGACCTCTCTCCTCTATACTAATGCATGGTCTCCCTTGCCCCACCTCTTCTTCTTCTTCAGCTCCTTGTTTTGTTGTTCTTCTTGATGAACATAGCCCTTCTTTCGCAGTTTGCCCACCACCACCTTAATGTGGCGCTCGGTCGGGGGTAAAATCCGGCCACCGGTTGAAGAGGTTGGAATCACAGTGCCCCTGCTCGAGCTTGCGCACAGCGGCAGGTCATCCAAGCGAGCAAGAAGATGAGCAAGAACAGCTGGCCCGAGGTGGTGGGAATGAGCGGAGAGGAGGCGCAGGCGCTGGTGGAGGCCGAGGAGGGCGTCAAGGCGCAGCTCGTGCCCGCTCCTGGGGGCGTGGTGCCCAAGGACCTGGCCATGGTGCGCGTGCAGTCGCGCGTCCGCATCTACGTCGACAACGAGGGAAAGGTGGTGGAGGCCCCCAAGCGAGGATAAGGCTCAACAGCAAACGCAAGATGGTCGGTTCCGCTCTGTCTCAGGTCCCTTCCGCCAACAACAGTTGCCTCTTTCACACTCTCAGATCCACGGTCCACCGATGACAGTTTGCGCTAGTCCATTTCTCCAGCCAGGGGCAACCACGGCGTCAAGCCACCGACAGTCTCACCCATTCATCCTGTAGAACTGTGCTGGCTTTCTCAAGCGCTTTGTGTGGTGGTAGTTCGCACCCTGGTGGGTGATCCCTTCTTGCGTTTCCTCGGTCTGATCCTCCCAGGATCGACGCTGAACCAAGAACACCTTCGTTCCTGCGGTCTCTGTTTGAATTGAATCTTTGCTCCGCGCCGATCTCTCGCTCAACTGTCAGAGGTGCTGTCGAGTTCTCCAGTCCCTTCCACCCACCCTCGGTCCTTCGCCACCTGAGATTCGAGAAATTCATTTTCCTTTGTTTTTTCTTGCTGTCAACAATCTCACCATTATCTCCTTGCCGAAGTTGCTGATGTGTTCCCTTGGTCTTTCTTCGTCTTGGACATGTGTGGCATCGAACGAACATGGAGTGGCGTTGCTTCGCGATCCCAGCGAAAAGCCGGTCCAGTCTCGCCCTCCGGCTCCCCCGGCCCGGATGGTGGTGCCAGCCACCATCTTGTGACGCACTTTGCCCTCGTGGCGCGTCATTCGCATTTGCCCACACGAACGCCAAATCCACAGAAAGAACACACCCTGACCGCGCCCCGGACATTTCACCGGTGCGACGGCGGCCCGTGATTGGAGGCGAGCTTCGAGGTGGGCCGGAGGGTGGAAGACGAGATAGCGACCCCATCTGCCGCATGGGAGCCGACCTCTTGGCTCACGATAAAATGGGTCGGTGTGCGGGTTGAGTTCAACATACCAACAAGCAGCCATCAGCTCAAGCAAAGCCAAGCAGCTTCGCTCTCTCCTTCTCGCTCACTTCCAATTATTTATTTTATCTTATTGTTTCACTACACACTTCAAGATGGGCGACCACGTTCAGATGATTAAGAAGATTGGCGAGGGTTCGACCGGCGCCGTGTACTACGGCTCGTGCGTCAAGGCCAAGAAGAAGCTCGCCGTGAAGGTGGTCCGCAAGGTGGACTCGACCAAGGGCCGCCGTACCACCGAGCGAGCCCGCTCCGAGGCGGCCATCATGGCCGAGCTCGTCCACAAGCACATCTGCAAGTGCTACGGCATCGTCGAGAACCCCGACCACGTCTTCCTCCTGCTCCAGTTCGCCAAGGGCGGCGACCTCCTCGACCGCATCAACAAGCACGGCGCCTTCTCCGAGCGCGAGGCGCGTCGTGTCTTCCAGCAGCTGGTGCTCGCCGTCAGCTACCTGCACAACAAAGGCTACATCCACCGCGACATCAAGGTAAAAGCTCCACCCTCTACATGTCTCTACACTCTTCTTTTTACTAACATTTTATTTCTTTTTGTTTCTCTCTACAGCCTGAGAACGTGTTCCTTGATGAGTCGGGCAACGTACTACTTGGTGACTTCGGCTTCGCCACGGCCTGGTCGCCCGACGTGCACCAGACCGAGTCGGTGGGCACCTTCCCCTACGCGGCGCCGGAGCTGCTCCTGGGCCACGGCTACTGCGGACCCGAGGTCGACCTCTTCTCCCTGGGCACCGTGCTGCTGGCCATGCTCAGCGCCACGATCCCCTTCAAGGCCGACAGCGAGGAGGAGTCGTTCAAGAAGGTGCAGCTGGGCGACTTCAAGTCGGACGTGCCCATCTCCGTCTCGCCGTCGGCCGTCGACCTGCTCACGCGCCTGCTCGACCCCAACCCCAAGACCCGCATCACCATGACCCAGCTCTGCCAGCACCCGTGGATGAAGATGCGGCCCAAGACCGCCAGCTCCTCTTCGCCCAACAGCAAGTCCGCCACCGTCGGCGCCTCGCCCAGCCAGTCGTCGTCGTCCAACGGCCCGCTCTCGTTCTTCGCCGCCACCAAGAAGAGGCTCATGCGCGAGTTCAACTCCACGTCGGTCCCGATCCCCGTCTCGGCCAGCCGATGACCCACACCCTAACCGGCAGCAGCGCAACGACGATGACCACCACCCATTCAACTTCTCGCTAGCCGAGCCTCGGCCTCCGCTCGAGTCACTCCGCAGCGCGCCGGGCGACAATCCGCGCCCGCAGGCAGGCCCCATTCGGCTCGACCGACCGAGAGGGAGTCTCGCCACCCACCCGCCGTACAGTCAGCGAAGTGAGTCGGCCGACACGACACACCTCCTTCGCTTCCGACCCCACGAGCGAGCTCCTTATCCACCGGCACCCCACCACAACCAAACCCAGCACTGGCCCCCACCCGCAACGAGGAGGCCTCTTCGACCCCTTTGAGTCACCACCCAGCGCTTTGTGTGTTTCTTGTATGAAAACAAAACAACACAAGAAACAAATCGATGCAACAAACCAGCAACGTCTCTCCTTTCTCGTTCGACATTGAAGAGTGCCAGAGAGACACTCCCCCACGCGGCACGAAACACACACGCACGAAACCAGACGACCTCTTGCTCCTCTTGCTCCACCCGATACTCCGTTGGCAGAAAAGGTGTGGAAGACGAACTGCACCGCCAAATCCGGTCACCTTTTTTAGGGAAGCGGTTCATAGGTAACCACAGCGAAATAGGGCCGAAGTGTAACGACCCAGGCGTCACCTGGCCGTCTTGCGCCCGGTTGCCAGTCGGCAAGAATAACCAGGGCTGCTTCCGATAGGGGGCTGGGCGACGTCATCCTGACGTTGATCGCAAAATGTCGTACTCTCAACGTCATCGCAAAATGTCGTACTCTCCTCGCTGATCTCCAATCCACCCCTTTAAAAGCAACCATCCGCCCCCGGCAACCGCCAACTCCTGTTTGCTTTGTTATATAAAGATCGTGCGCGCCCATCACACTCGAAATATCAGCAATTCAACAACAACAGCTGCTCACCCTCAACCACCACCAACACTACATGTATACGTCAACAGCGATGATGGCCACAGAAACGACACCGGTCATGCTCACGCGTAAGCTGGGTGAGGGCAGCTGCGGCTCGGTCTTTTGCGGCTCGCTGACTGCCTCGGGGAAGCGTGTGGCAGTCAAGGTGGTGCGCAAGGGCACCTCGGCCAAGGCCGCGCTCAACCTCCACCGGGTCCGCACCGAGGCCAACGTCATGGCGCGGCTCGACCACCGCAACGTGGCCCGATGCCTCGGCACCTGGGAGACATCAGAGCACTTCTACCTCTTCCTCAAGTTCGCGCGAGGCGGCGACCTGTGCGACCGCCTGCTGCACGGCGGCCCCATGACGGAGCGCTCGGCGAGAAGGCGCTTCGGACAGCTGCTGGCGGCCGTCGCACACCTCCACGCCAAGGGCTTGGCCCACAGGGACATCAAGCCGGAGAATATCCTGCTGGACGAGCTGGGCCACTTCATGCTGGCAGGTATGCCGAAGTTCTGTCATATATTTTCATATCTGATATCTCCTCTGCCACGCGACCAACACTCACGATTATGTCCGCGCCAGATTTTGGCCTGGCCGTCACGCACTCCCCGCAAAAGAAAGTCAGCGGGCGAGCGGGAACCGTAGGCTACGCCGCGCCCGAAGTTTGGGTCGACCGACCCTATGACGCAGCTGCTGCCGACGTTTTCTCCTGTGGCTCAGGTAACCGCTGCTTCCATGCAACATTTCCTTTTTTGCACATCACATCTCCTTTTATGTAGAAATGACACCAACAATGAGCTAATCTCTCTGTTGCTCGGGAATTTCAGTGTTGATGGCCATGGTGACGGCCCGATCGCCGTTCCAGGGTGCCACCGACCAGGAGACGCTGGCCAAGTCGCTGCGCGGTGAGCTCGACCTGCCGACAGGGTTGTCGCTCGAGGCCGTGCTCCTGATCAAGTCCATGGTGGCGCCCGACCCCGCCAAGCGGATCACTCTGGCCGACGCCCTCGACCACCCGTGGTTCACCGGCGAACACCCCGACAGCGTCAGCAGGTACCGGCCATGGGCGCCCCTGGAGGAAGACGACAGCGACTTCGACAGCGATGAGGATGATGACGACCAGGACGAAGGTGATGATGAGGTCGACCGCAACGATGATGGCGTTGATGACGACTCAGTGGATGACGCCCTCTACGAGCTCGTGCGTACCAAGCCAGCCAAGTGCGCGTAATCAATCGCGGGGCCTCAAAGAGAGTCGACTGTACAAAGAGACATTATTTATCTGTGCAAATGTAGCGTCTGCTGGGTGAGGGCCGCGGGGCTCGAGTCGAGCAGAAGGTGCCGTTCGGCTGCCACCTCGAGTTCCAGTCTCTGGTACTCGCGCAGCAGGCGCTCGCGCTCCGTCTCCCATTCTCGCTCGACATCGTCGCTGCTATCGTACCCACTTAACGGCGGCTCGCAGCAGGAATCTGCACTTCTCTGCACAAAATGGCTACCTCTACTTTTGCGAGCCCTCGTCCGGCCTCCTCACCTCCATCAACGCCAAGACGGGAGCAAAGGCGTGGTCCGTTCAGGTGGCCGGCATCACTGGGGTCGATAACGACTATTGCAGGGGAGGACCGTCGGTGGACCCCGACTCTGGTCTCGTGGTGGCGGGGTCGCGCATGTCCGGCAGACTGTTTGCCGTGCGCATGAGCGACGGCGGCAAGGCATGGACCTTAGAGGTAGAGTCCCACGTCACTGCCCAGATGACGCAGCCGGCCACCATATACGCTGGCACGGCCTACGTGGGCGTCGCCTCATCCGAAGAGAAGGCGGCGAGCGATCCCAGCTACGAATGCTGCTCCTTCCGTGGCAGTATTGTGGCCGTCCGCGTGGCCGACGGAACCCTCCTGTGGAAGACCTACACGCTCCCTGCCGGCTATGTGGGAGCGGGTGTGTGGGGTCCCGCACCGAGTATCGACATACAGAGGGGCCAGGTCTACGTGGCCACCGGCAACCTTTACCTCAACCCCCTGGTCTCACAGAGTGTCACGCGCGCATGGACGCTCTCGGAGCCCACTTTGACCAGGACCCGTGTCTGCCGGTGGAGGCCCACGCCGGGTCCGTTCTCGCGCTCGACATGATCACGGGCAACCCTCTGTGGTCCCGCCGCATATCGTCCAACGACGCGTGGAACACCGCGTGCGGAGTGTCGACGCCCATCCTCACGATGCCCGCCCTCTCGTTCAACTGTCCCACCGACAGCGGGCTCGAGTCCGACTTTGCCCAGGGGCCGATGATCGTCGAGCTGGAGAAGGGGCGCGACGTGCTCCTCGTGGGCCAGAAGAGCGGCGTGTGGAAGATCAACCCGGACAACGGCTACGTCATGCAGGCGTCGGTGCTTGGGCCAGGCGGCGTGGCGGGAGGCATCCAATGGAGCGGGGCCAACAACGGAACGCACGCCTTCTTCCCCGTCACCAACAGCGCCTCGGTCTCGCAGACGCTCAAGAACCCGTCCGTGCCCGGCGTCGTCGCCACCACCGGCTCCACCTACACGGCCGTGAACATCAAGAGCGGCGACATCGTGTGGCAGTACCCCCTGGAGAGCTGGCTCTACGCCTACCAGCCCCTCACCGTCGCCAACGACGTCCTGTTTGCCACGGCGGTGACGCGCATGTCCCCCGCCAACGGCAGCTCCTCCATCAAGGCCCTCCACACCAGCACGGGCGAGAAGCTGTGGGAGGACACCAACAGGTTCCACATCGCTGGCACGGGCGCCCTCGTCGTGGATGGCATGGTCTACGTGGGCGTGACGACCTCCAACCCTGTGACCACCACAAACACCCACTCCATTGCATTCGGTTTGCTGCCCTAAAAGAATGACACGAACACACCAATGAGTCAGCCGCACTGAAAATAATAACAATAATATTATTTTTATATTCTAAATTAAAGGTATGCCGGGAATGTGTAAACAAGTCGACAATATTTCCGCGCCAGAGCAGGGGGGAGGGGGGACGTTTTGCGTCGGAGGAGTGCCACGTCAGCAAAGTGCACCGATACGAGAACATTTCTTCTCTTTTTCATTATACGATTAATATTTTCCTGTCATTTTTTTCCTGATTTAAAAAATGATTTTCAAATTCTCGAAAAGCCGACGACAGAAAAGTGTTTGCGTGAGGGTTTGGCGCTGAATTCTGCTTTTCGGTGAGGAGGGGCTGTTCGAGAGAAACTTCGGAGGGGTCCTTCTCGCCGTACTCAACACCGGTGCTACGGTCCTTAAGGTTTGGACCGAGTGAAGCGCTAAGCGACGACGACGACGACGACAAGCAACTCAACGTTGAGATCACCACGGCGCTCACCGAAGGCAACGGCACCATCATCACCCAAGAACTGTGGATCGGAGGAGAACTTGTTTTTAGCGCGACTCTCACTACAATCGAATACAGCAAACCTCTCTCTCCATCAAGTGAGTACCACCCACCAAGCCACAGTCAGGCTAGTAGACTAGTAGACACTTTTCATTCAGTCTACTAGTAGTAGACATACCCATGCGCTACACTGCAATAATATTTTAAAATTCTAAATTAATGGTATGCAATGAAACAGAAATCAATTGTCACAGACACATCAACCTACTTCATTGTAAAGTGAACTTGCGGTGGGCACAAAGATCAGCAGGGAGTGAGCCTTCTGGTGTACTTGACGACGGCGCCGCCATATCCCACGGGGCAGTAGTCATTGGGCGGGTTGGGCATGTAGGTCACAGTCAGCAGGTTGGCATCCGCTACTACGACCACGATATCGGTCTGGGCCAGGGAGAAACAAGAAAGGGTCAGCCGAGTAGTTCTGTTGCATGCCAACATCCTCGCCCTGTGGTGGATTTTAAGATAAAGAAGAAATTCTGCACAGTACCTCGCCGCACATGGGGTAGCCGTTGTCAGGGACCTGACCGTAGCCCACACCGATGCCCTGGAAGAGCGAAGCATACCAACCAGTCTGACTTCTGTTTTTTTTTACACAGAGAATGATGTAAGTTGTCCATCTCCCAACTGTTGCTTTGTTGCGGGTGGCTGTACCCAGGGGCGGCAAGGAGGGTGATGTTGGGTCCGGACTGGACCAATCTCTCAGTGGTCACGCAGTCGTCGCTGCCTCCGCCGACCGACTCCCGGTACCAGACACCGCTAGAGTGGCACCAAATGGTCAGACGTGTGGGCGCCACAACTAAGGGAGAAGGTGGAGGTACGTGAGGCTATGGGCTGGGCTGAAGGAAGCGGCACACGCGTTGAGGAGACCAGCAACGATCAAGAGGCTGACGACGATGGAGAGGTGGGAGGTGTGGTGCATTGTGGTCGGGTTGGGAAGGCGATGGAACTGGATAAAGGCTTGCTTGGGTGTTGGTCGAGTTTATGTTGGGGCCGGGAACAAAGCAGCCAATTGGAAGCTCATCGGCCCTTGAAAAAGCTTCGGCTGTATGCTGCATTGACTCGCCGAAACTCACTGATTGGGCAGTCCGGCACATTTAGTTTCACCTCCCACTGTTTATGTTGGCGCCGTCAACCACTTCACCCCCACCAGCGTGAGCGGATGAGGCCGAGGTCGTGCACGATCTGGAACGCCAGCAGCGAGTCGGCCAGTTGGCGCCCGGCGGCGTCGATGCGATCCCGCTGCCGCATGTACATCTTCTTCCTGCGCAGGGCCGCCATCGCCTTCTCCCGCTCCTGCCCCTCACACAAGTCACTCTCTTTGCTCCAAACCGACATCAACCATTTCTTGTAATAGCTAAGATGCCGGGCGGGCTCGAAGTGTACGTTGAGTCGGATGTAGTGCTTGGCGTAGTGGTCCTTGTCTCGGATGCGCCGGTCCAGCACCATCTGGCGCTTCTCGAGCCACGCTGAACATATCGTCGTGCGACGCGTCAGTCTTTGTCAGAATGTTTTTGCCGAAGCATCAAAGAAGAGCAGAGAGTGGGGAGGGGGTTTGAACACACCGATGGTTTCGTGCATTCTTCGCACATTCTTGTGGATCGAAGGGATGAGCGACGTGGAGAAGAGGCTGAACGGATTGTAGGAGATGCCCTTCCTCTGCATGCTCAGAGCCTCAGTCATGCCCGGAAAGATGAACAGGCTGTGCTCCTGGTGCACCACCGCTGCACACACACACACACACACACCACACACACACACACACACACACACACACACACACACACACACACACACACACACACACACACATACCACATTAGAGCCTTGGCCCACGAGTTGCCGACCAGGGTGGTACCACGTACCGGTCTCGCGGGCCGGCGAGGGCAGGCACGCCAGTCCCTCCAAGGTGGTGTAGGTCCCGCAGGCGTGCAGGCGCTCGAGGCCTGTGAACGCCGCCAGGTGCTGAAGCAGCCCCAACAGCCACGTCAGTCAAGTATGGCGAGAGTGGCAGAGAAGCTGGGTGGTGGGTGCCTTGAGCCCGGCGTCGGTGATGTTGGTGCCGCACAGGAGGAGCAGCCGAAGGCTGGCCGCCAGGGACGGGGAGCGGGCGAGTACCGCGAGGTCGTCGTCGCTCACGGCTGAGCACCCGTAGAGGGAGAGCGAGGTGAGGCCCTTCATGCCCGCCACCCGCTCGAGGTGGACGCCAGAGGTCACCTTCGGCGGCAGCACCAAGCCTGAACGCCCCCCCCCCCGAAAAGAACGAAAACGAAGCCAAAGCGATCAGCGTCACCACTTCAACACAATGACCGTAAGGGCAGTTACCGCGCAGGTTGTGGCAGTTGCGGCCGAGGTGCTGCAGGAACCGATCGAGGCCTTCGGCCAGCTGGGCGAGCTTGGTCGAGGGCTGTTGCTGGGCGGCCGAGTCGCAGTCTGCGTGGTGGTGGTGGTGGTGCGCGCCCGAGGAGGAGAGGTCGAGGAAGCGGAGGTGGGAGCAGACGAGGGAGTGGAAGCGGTGGCACACCTGGGCCATGCGCATGCGGTCGGACAGGCGCGGCAGCCGCCCGATGACCTCCCACCACAGCTCGTTCGCCAGGTGGGGCAATGACGATGATGCCGATGATGAAAAAGACAGGGTTGAAGGACTCGGTGTAGTTGATGATGATGAGGTCGAAGAAGGAGAAGATCGTGCTAGAGAAGAAGATGAAGAAGAGGGCGTGGATAGGTCGTCGTTTGATGTTGAGGGTGAGAAAGGAGATCTGGTGTGCGTAGAGGAAGAAGCGAGAGGCGAGTGGAAGGAGGAGAGGGGTGAAGGGATGAGCTGGAGACGAGGAGGCGCGCCAGCGTCGCATGCAGCAGGTGCGAATGTGTGCCACGATGATGGTAGGGCGAGTAGCGACTCGCGACAAGTTGAAGAAAACGATGATGAAGAAGAGGTGCATGCAGGAGGAAGGCTGGGGGAGGACGAGGGCGATACCAGGGGAGGCAGCTGAAGTTCAAGCTCCATGATATTGCTGAGATATATCCAGAAATAAAGAGGAAATAAAACTGGAGAGGAGAATGTTGGGAGTGGAGGTACTGAGGCGCGAAATGAAGGTGAAGGTGCTGTTGGAGGTGAAGGGGTCAAGTCTCTAAGATAGCCATCCTTGCCCTACGGGAGACTGTAGGTGGTCCAAGGGGCGTGGCATGGTGGTGCACGACCAGGAGCAGAGGGACGGGAAGCGCCAGGAAACTTCGCCAGGATCCGTTGCGTTGGCTGTGGTGGAGAAACTAAGCGAAAAATTCGCCTGAAAACTGTGATCTTTGTTTCGGGTGTGCTCGCTTTTCGCGGGTTCGAACCCGAGGGCGAGGTGTCGAGGCGCGTGGCGACAAGAATAGGGGATATTGTGTACATTGGAGATTGGCGGCACAGATTACGAGCCTGAAGAAGACAAAGACCCGTGAGTTGTTGTGGCAACTGCTATGGCGGGTTGACGGGTTGAGTGGTGGGAGTGATGAAAGTACCTCGGTAGAGTCGTTCCCTGGTGGAGTGGATGACCTGCATCCACTCATCCTTCTCCTTGGGCGTGCGGGCCGCCATGAGGTACGTGTACTTGAAGCTCTTGATCTGAAACACGTTCTCACCATCTGCGCACGGAGCCCACAAAAGAACGAAAGCTAAGTCAGAAAGAGAACGAAAGCGAAAGCGAAGGCGACAACGAAAACGAAGCAGGAGACAGGGGAGAGGTACAAGATTCTGGAAGTCCGACCACGGCTTGGATCTTCCACAGCTCCTCGACTTCCTTCACCTTGAGCGTCGGACCGTTGAGAGGCGACGCGCCACCGCCCGGCGACAACATCGGCGCCGGCCCGCCTTCAGTGATGGTCTTACGGTGGCGCCGGCCCGACCCCGGCCCGTCAGCACCAGCGCCGCCCCCGGCCGCCTCGCCGGCCTGGTGTTCACCGGATTGGCCGCGACTCCCGGCGCTGTTGCGCATGCTCAGAACGCTGCCGCGTGCGCGCGGAGACAGGAACGGCGGCGTCGAGTCGGCGGCCTCGCGGCTCTCGCGCCGCGGCAGGAAGTTGCTCCACTCGGACAGGTTGATGGAGTGCCGGAAGGATCGCGTCCGGGACTCGGTGGTGACCGGCACGCCGGACGACGAGGTCGAGGTCGAGGGAGACGATGGCGAGGGCGGCAAGTTGGGTTGAATCGGCGAGCACAGCACGAGGAGGTCATTGAACAGCACCACACGACGCTCTGTATGTGCGAGTGTGCGGTGTGTGTCGTGTTTTTAGTGCTTGTCGTGTGCGTTTGCGGTAGTGCGTGTGCAGTGGATAGATAAGTGTGGGTGGTTACCTCGGCCGCGTTTGTTGGTGGAGGGCTTCTTCATGATGACGTTGCCGCCCATGTTCTTCTCCCGCTTGATCAGCACGGCGTCGCCCTCGCGGATGAACCGGCGCCGCTTCTTGGAGTCGGCGAGGAGCGGGTTCTTCTCGCCCTCCTTCACCGGGCGGAAGGGCGAGCCCTTCTTGGCCGACCCGGCCGACGACGACGTCGACGGGAACAGGAAGCGGGCGTAGAGGCGGTCAACGTAGTCCGCGTTCTCGGCGTCTCGCTTCTGCTCGTTGAAGTAGGAAGTCATGTCCCTCATCTTCTGCACCGCTTTGCTGCAAACGCCGCGAGACGAGACGGACGAGAGCCTTACGGTCAGCGGAGGTCCACCGCGACCCACCAAGGAATGCAGAGAATGTGTGGAGCGGTGCCATACCTCAGCTGCCGATAGGTTTTGTCGCCTTTGGCCGTCTTTCGCATGAGGTCGGCCAACAAGAGCACATACCTGGGGATCCGCTGTATGGGCTGTGGCGAGATGTTATTATCATACGACATTCACAATCAGCATGCAAAACAAATAGTAAATAATAAGAATAATAAATTAATAAATGCGAACCTGAATGAGGAAGGAGGGCAGATCCTGATACTCGCATTCTTCATTCGCCTCACACTGAATGCGAGCGAGACAAAAGCGAAAGCGACAGCCCAAAGAGCGAACGGCGAGTGTTCGGAGTTAGTTTTGCGAGTGGCGAGACCAACTGTGAATCGAGCGGAACGAAACGAAAACGTTTTCGAGCTCGAGCGCACCTTTGAAATGAACTTGGTAAAGTTTGGGTTGTCCTTCTTGCATCGCTTGAGCGTGCCGATGGAGGTGTCGTAGTTGTTGATGTAGGTGGTGTAGAGATCGAAGAAGGCCGTCTGCTCGAGGAAGATGTCGCCCACGCTGTGCCGGTCGAACCCGCGCAGGTCCATGATGCGCGCGCGCAGGGCGCCCAGGAACAGCTGCTGGCCCTCGTAGAGCTTACCAGCCACCGAGAAGATCGCCTCGACGTCCTTCTTGTCCAGCAGCGGCGACTTGCGCTCCTCGAGCATGAGCAGCGGGTAGTAGAACGAGTTGCACACGATCGACAGCGCGCGCACGTAGTTCTCCTCGGTCTTGAGCAGCTCGTTGGCGATCAGCAGCTTCTTGCGCAGGCGCCGGGCCAGCTGGCGCCGCCACGCCGACTGGAGGAGCACCACCTTCTTCAGCTTGGCCGGGTCCTCCAGGTCCGCGCCCTCCCACAGGTGCGACCAGGCTTGCTTCTTCTTGTAGTGGCCCACCGACGATCCCCTCAGGCCGGAGCGGAGGAAGCGGAGCATGCTCTTCTTGGACTGGGTGTCCTTGCGCGGCGAGGTGGGACCTGGTGGACCAGGCGGTGATAAATTAAAATTCAAAAAATAATAATAAAAGAGCCGCTTTTGTGCCCGCCCGTAAAAAGTTATGGTAAAAAATAATAAATACAAATAATAAATACATAAAATTACAAATAATAACTAAAAACCTGAAGGGCGGTGTACCATTGTTGGCGACTGCAGCGGCGCCGTCGCCTTTCTTGCCGGTGTCCTTGCCTCGCGGGCTGCGGCCGCCTTCTCTCTTATCCACGTTGGCCTTTTCGCTCTTGGCCTTCTCTTTTCGCTCTTTCTTGGTCGCTTTCTTTGTCGCTTTCGTTCTCTTGACCCTCTTCTCCTTTCCGCCTCGGCCGTTGTTGTTGCCTCCCTCCTCGCTTTCGTCCCCCGCAGAGTTCTCGTCGCCATCTCCTTCATCTTGTTGCTCCTGATCGAGCGCCTGCAGGGTGTCCTCTATCTGTGCCATCACCTCCCACGCCTCCCCCGCGTCGTCTTCGTTCGACGACGACGAAGATGAGTCTGAAGGCGCCTCCCCCCTCTCCTTCCATCTCTCACCATTTAATCGAATCTGGAGATCAACCCCGCCGGGCGATTTACTTCTCCTTTCTGCCACGTCCGCCATCCCCGGGAGAAACAATCTGTTGAGAGCCTGTGGCTTCGTCTGGTGGAAGAGCAAGCTGAAGCTTGGACCTCACCTTCCCGTGCTGGGTTTGTGAGTTGGCTCTGCGATACTTGAAGCCAATACTTGCGGGGGGCGAGGCAACAAGCGAAAACTGGTGGCAAGCTCGAGACATAATAATTATAATAAGTATAATTATTATCAATATTTTATGAGAGGAATGAAAACTATGAAGGAATTCATGGCGTTTTGTTAAAATTCGTTTAACCGAAAGCGATTTGAAATTTTTAGGATTCTCGTCGACATCATGCTAGGAAGAAAATCCAACCGGCTCTAGAAGTGTTCTGCGCCTTTTCCGATTTTTGCCGGGTGACACTTGCGATAGGGTGACTGTGACACTCGGGCGTTTGATTCGAAATACCCCAACAACCGTGCCTTGATGCTCCGATCTACCATCGCAAGTGATGCGAAGAAGACGGTGCGGTGGCAAGAGAAAGAAGAACGAAGGCGATCGGGGATGTTGATGTAGAGCTTGTCTAGGAGTGTATTGTTGTTGTTGACATTATGTGCTATCAGATAATGAAATAAATAAATAAATAAGTCGAGTTATCTAACTCTTGCCGTCTCGTCTCGTCTCGTTTCGTCTCCTCTTTCGCTATCGTTCTGCGCTCTTCTCACCGGGTGAGAATGCTGGAGCCGGCCGTCTTCTTGGCCTTGCCGCAAGTCTTCTGGGCAGTTTCCAGCACCGCCAGGTCGGTCCGTCGTCGCTTGAGCGCGGGCGACGACGAGGGCGACGCGGCAGCGGACGAAGACGAAGACGAGGAGAAGGCCAGCAGCTGGCGGATGGCCAGGGCGCCGGCGCGGCTCGAGCCCTGCACCCACGGGTGCCTCAGGGCGTCGTCGACCGTGTAGCGCTGGAGCGGGTCCGGGTGGAGCAGGTGCGCGAGAAGGTCGGCCGCGCGGGGCGAGCCGTGCTCGGGCAGGAGCGTGAACTCGCCCTTGCGGAGGAGTGCTAGGGACTGCTTCTTGGTGGGCGCGGCGAAGGGGATGCGGGCGGTGAGCATGGCCAGCAGGACGGTGCCGCAGGAGAAGGCGTCGACCTCGGGGCCGACGTAGGGTCGCTGGTCGAGGACCTCGGGCGCGGTGTAGGGAAAGGTGCCCACGCAGGCGTCGAGGGTGTGGTCCGGCCGCCAGCGGGTGGCGAAGCCAAAGTCGCCCAGCTTGATGCTCTTGAGGCCCTCGGTCATGAAGATGTTTTCGGGCTTGACGTCGCGGTGCACGTAGCCGGCGCGGTGGAGGAACTGGAGCGACTGGAGGAGCTGCTTAAAGATGCGGCGGGCCTTCTTCTCCGGCATGGGTCCCTGCGAGTTGATGTAGTCGAGCAGGTCGCCGCCCTTGGCGTACTCCATGAGCAGGTAGGAGGCCTCGTCCGACTCCACGCGGCCGTAGTACTGGCAGATGTACTTGTGGTGCACCGACGACATGACCTTGGCCTCCTTGTCCAGGCGCTGCAGCAGACGCCCGCTCCGCGTCGAGCCGTCCTTGCGCACCTCCTTCACCGCCACCAGCTTCTTCGTCGCCTGGTGGCTCCCGAGGTAGACGGAGCCGCACGAGCCCTCGCCGATGAGTCTGTCTATCACCACTTCGCCCATGGCTATGCGTTGTGTGTGTCTTGGCCGGAGCGGAGAGAAGAGTTGAGGTCTGCGCTGTGCTGGGTGTGCTGAGGCTTTGAGCTGATGCTGCGACGTTGTGGCAAGCTGCGGCCGTGAATGTTATGAAGAGGACAAGCAGAGCCCCGGTTTTATGCTGCGGTGCCTCGGCAGTTCGTCCGACGCACGGACAGTAGCGTCAAGCACACGGGCAGGGACTACGGTGACTAAGGTGGTTGCGTTGGCACCACGTCACCGAGCTCTGCCCATTGGCCGCCGGATTAAACTATTCCGCACCGAGCAACCAATCGGCACATATTTACACCGCCGATATGTGCGTGTCGCAATGGATGTTACACTGTGTCGGCAGTGTTACGTGTACTTCAACAACCATAAAGTGATCAGGGGCAACCCACGTGACTCAGGCCGGGTCAATCAGGAGAGGGGGCTGCGCCTGGCACTTTGTCACTTCTTAGCTATGTGACGTCATCTTCGCGCACAATGCAAGGTTTTGCGTTTTGCCGTGAAGAGATCCTTGCCTTCGTGTGGTCTGCCAAGTTTCTTCGAAGGCCCCGCGGCAAAAGAACTCTCCAAAGAGCTCTGCCCTGTTGTGTTTGGTCTGCAAAGGGCTGGTCAGCGAAAAGGGACCGTTACACCGAGTGGTTGCGGGAGGTTGGTCGTGGAGAGAAGACGGATTCAACCACTCCCCCTGCGAACACTGAAGACGGAGTGGCAGAGAAAGTGCGTCGGGGGGATCGACCCCCGGCTGTAATGCAACCAACACAGTTCTTCCCCAGGCCTACGCCCCCGTGCTTGATCGCTGATTGGGGCCTCCGGCCTGGTAGCACAAGATCGCGGACCCCTTGTGTGCTGGACATTCAGGAGAGATTGCTCGAAGTGGTGCATGTCTCTTCCCCTTGCCCAGTCCCTCGCCAATCGATCAACAACGAGCAAAGATTGGATTGGCGCCTCCTCATGAGCCGCCGCTTTGGAATGCAGGTCCCCCCCTTCGCGCTCTTCGCTCTTGTCGTCACTCCTTACCTGCCAAGCGATGCCCAAACTGGTGCCGTCGCTCTCCCGGTCCCAGGTCAGGTTTGAGCGAGTTCTCCTCTCTCTCAACTCTCCCCGATAATGCGTCCTCCCAAGGACTTGACCCTCGTTCCTTGCCGCCGGCGCCGAGGACTCCTCTCGCTGGCGTAAGAGCTCCCAAGCCCGGAGCTTGGTGGAATTCTGTCGATCTGGGATAAAACCGACCACGGTAGGGCGAATTCAGACAGTGGAAATCGTGTGAACATCAGGTGGGCGCAGCACAGGAAGCGATGCAAGAAGAAGGAGCAGGAGTTCGTTGAAGGGGTTTATTTGTCAAATACCTCGGGGGTCGTGGATTGATCCACGAATTGTGGGGGTCATCGAGCGGTGGGTGGTGCACGCCTTGCGGGGGGTCAAAACCACAACCTCTGCTGTGGTCTCTCTCATCTTTCTGGGTGTGGCTTCGCTTGGGGGGTTGGCGCTACCGATGCTGGAGAGGGTTCGAGGGTGAAGACGAATGAACCCACGACGCCCGACTTGGCGTCACCGCTGGCGTACGGTGCACGCGTACTCCTTCTTGTCGAGCAGGCCTAGGGCGGCGACCTGGTTGGCCTGGGCCTCGGCTGAGGTCGAGGGGTACTTGAGGCCGCTACCGCCGCACATGGCCGCCATGTCGTCCGAGCAGCGCGGCGAGAGCGAGACCACCCGCGCTCGCTGGACCGCGTCGTCGCTGCTGCCGCGGCGCCCGGCGCGGAAGCCCGCCGGCAGCTTCTTGTCAGCCGCAGCCTCTGCGCTCTCCGAGGAGGAGGTCGACGACGTCTTGCTGCCGAAGGGGAACAGGGATCCGAGCTTCATTGATGTGAAGGTGATGATGGTGCTCGCCGGGTGTAGTAGAGCAAGCTGATCAGGCCGGTGGTTGTGAGGGCTGAAGTGTGGGGATAGAACAAAGGCGCTCGGCCCCGCCGGTTTTACGGTAAGGGGCGTTGTTCCGTCCCACCAAGCTCCTGGAGTGAGATGTATGAAAGGGCGATGTTTGTTCACGAACACCCGTATCTGCATCATCAAGCTCATCCGTGTGCTAGCAGCCAGCCAATGCGATCCGCAAACCGAACTCCTGCCACTCTGCACGTGCGTCACGTATGCGCCATAGACCCGAATTCCTTCTGAATACCGCCTGTTGCACTGCCTTGCTGGCTTGGTTCAAATAATCGCATTATTGACATTTTTTCATGGAACACACATTCCACAAGGCCAACATTCTTGGCATTATGTCAAAACCAACAAGTTGGCCAATGGCTGTAGCCGTCCGCCGAGCGAAGAAGTTCTTCGAAGAAGTACGAACAAACACCAGAGGTCGAGGGACAGAGGTCAAAGCATCAACGAACACAACAACGACTGCGCACACACAGATGAAGCGAATCACCACCACTCCAGTTTCTCGCACGCTCACACCCCGCCTGGCGCGCTCAGCCTGGCCGCAAGCCTCGACTCTGCTGCGCAGCGGAACAGCCAGCCGCCCACTCACCACCACAACAGGCGCTGGCCTCCGATCCGCAATGACTGCCGGAGCAGCTCGGCGTAGCGTGCCCTTGGCCAGTGGCCAGCGCCTAGCCCGCCGGGCCTTCTCCACATCCACCTCCTCGCCCGAGCGGGAGGCCCTGCAGATGGTACTCGACTCGATGCCCAAGGGCAGCAAGCGCTTCTGGCGGGCGTTGGCCGGGCTGGGAGCCACCGCCGTGGTCCTTGCTACCTGCCAGCCCTGGTGCGTGGTGCCGGCCGGACACGTCGGCATTCTCGACTTCTTCGGCGACGTCTCCGACCAGAGCCTCTCGCCTGGTTTCCATCTCAAGGTACAGCGCGTGGCATACACCATTGCTCTTAGTTTTACAAATGCTGATCACGTGATTGGGCGTTCAGAATCCGTTGGCCAAGTGCGTGGTGTTCTCCACGCAGACGCAGCGGGTGGAGACCACCGCTTCGGTGCCCTCGCGCGAGGGACTGACCGTGCAGCTCGAGGTCTCCGCTCTCTACCGCCTCGACCCGCTCAAGGTCCAGCACATCTACAAGGTACTCCACAACTTGAACGGGGCTGGTTGCTGCGCTCACTGACTAACGTAGGCGGCCGGCACATGTGCAGACCGTGGGTCGGAACTACGCCGATGTGGTGTTGCTGCCCCACTTCAAGTCGATCATTCGCGAGCTCACGTCGGCGCATGAGGCCAAGGGGCTCTACACGGCCCAGGTGCGCACCGAGATCAGCACCTTCCTCACCAAGCAGCTCAACGACGTGCTCCGCGAGCGGGGCATCATCATCGACGAAACGCCCATCAACGGCATCACCATGCCCCAGCGCCTGGTTCACGGTACGCGGCCGGTGTTTCGTGGTCTGTCCCAGCCTCTCATGTTTCCTGATTCTTCTCTTGGTTCTTCGTTCTTTTTTCGTTTTCGTCTTCTTTCTTTTTGTCGGGTGTGCAGCCATCGAGGAGAAGCTGCGGGCCGAGCAGGAGTCGGAGCGGATGTCGTGGGTGCTGCAGCGGGAGGAGGCCGAGGCCAAGCGCAAGGTCATCGAGGCCAAGGGCATCGCCGACTTCCAGAAGATCGTCACGCAGGGCATCTCCGAACAGCTCCTCCGCTGGAAGGGCATCGAAGGTACGTCGTCGTCTAGTCACCCTCACCACCGGTGCATCACGACCAGACTGACACTGACCCACGCACACCACCTCTTGCAGCCACGGAAAAGCTGGCCACCTCGTCCAACGCCAAGATGGTGGTCATCGGCAAGAGCGACGGCTTGCCGCTCGTCCTCGCCCCTTGAAGCCCTCGAAAGCTCCCTTCTTTGTACTTCTCTCCAGCGCCATACATCATACATACATCATCAGCGGTTTGCGCACACGCGACGAGACGAAGGCTCCTCAGGGCTGCGGGGCGGGGCGGCCGAGTAGGGGCCGGAGGGGCACGTAGTCGAGCCAGATGTCGGTGAGGGCCTCCTTCCTGAACGTGCCCGGCGTGTGGGCCACGCTCGATAGCCGGAAGTACACCGCGTAGCGGATGTTGGGCGACACATTGGGCGCCACCTAATGTACGGAGGCAGCACAACAAGTGTGTTGTCGGTCGTGTGTCGTGTCGTGTCGTGTCGTGTCGTGTCGTGTGTTGTGTCAAACGTACGGTGTGCGGCATGCAGTAGTGGGCGAGCACGATGTCGCCGGCCTTACCCCGGATCTGGTGCGGAGGCGCGAGAGCGAGACGGTCTCGCGGGATGCCCTTGTCCCTGCATACAGGGGCAGAATGGGGGGGGGGAGCACACAGCGTCAGGAGGCAGCCGCGGGTGGAAGAGGGAGGGGCGATGGTGGTCGTGATGGCGCACCCTTCGTTGTGGATGGCCTGGGTGCCCTCCTTGCGGAAGTGGTTCTGCAGCGCCAGGTGGCCGCCGGGGAAGACGGTCAGGTTGCCGCTCATTGGCTCTGCTCGCATGACAGCAACACGATCAATTTGACTGTTATGTGAGGCGAAAAGGGAGTGCGCGCGGAAGCTCACCTGGCACGTCGCCCAGCAGGACGCCTAGCAGGATGGTGAAATTGTGCACCTGACCGCGCGGCACTCCGCTGAAAGGAGAGTGCAGGCCTGGTGTGTGTGTGTGTGTGTGTGTGTGTGTGTGTGTGTGTGTGTGTGTGTGTGTGTGTTCGTATGTGTGTTCGTGTGTGTGCGTTGGATCAGCCTTGGTTGGTGAGCATTGGCAAAAGCCCAGGCCCATTGGTCGTGCGCCGCGGGTACCGTCGATGTGCCAGCCCTGGTGCCAGCCCTCGGGGTACACAAAGGACGTGGCGGAGCCGAGCCAAGGGACGTCGCCCGAGGGAATGCAGCTGAAGCCCGGAAACCTGCGCGCACGTGAGGCGCGTGTGAGTCATCCCCCCCGCGACACAAAAGAATGAAAACGACAGATGGCGCGCACCTCAGGGCGATCTGGCCGCCGAAGCCCGGGTGTGTTTTGCCGATCAAGCTCTGGGCCAGCGGCAGCGCGGCCGTCTTGTAGAGCAAGTCTGCAAGAAGAAGGAGAAGAAGTCTTGTTATCAACAAAGAAAGAAAGTGGGGGCTGGCTGAAGCGCTGCACATACCCGTGATCTGCCAACCGCCCTCGACGTGCGGTCTGCGGAAGGCGAGGAGCTCCTCCGGTCGGAACCCCTTGCTCAGCTCGAAACTGTGACAAAAACCAACATTCGTTACCAGAAAAGTAAGTTGAAGGGTGAAGGCCCACAACGACTTGTGGTCGTACTTGATGAGCTTGAGCGCCTCTTGGAGTAACTCTGGTGGGACAACCCCTGGCACCTGCGGAGGGAAAAGGTGGTCAATTGAACGCTGATCGCATGCGAAAGAAGGTGCATGTATGTTGTGTGTGGTTGGGCGGGGCAAGAAGAGAGTAAAAAGGATACGGCACGGTGGATTCCCGGGTGGTCGCCCACCCCAGTACTAACACCGCCTGGCGCAGCTTAACTTCGCTGTTCGGATGGGAAGCGGTGCTTTCTGCGCAGTATGGCCGTATCCGACATTCACACCGTCGCACCTCCCACGGCACTCGACCCAACTCGAATAAACAAAAAAATGAGGGCGGGAAGAGAGCGTACGTGAACGAAGCCCTGCGAGATGAAGTGCCGCTTCTGCTCGTCGGTGAGTTGGCAGTGGGCGAAGCGCGGGTCGGGATCGAACAGCTGCTCCTTCTCCCGTTCGACCGTCCGTTGGATTTCCTTCTGGAGCTGTGATGACACGATACGGGACACGCACACGCGCACACGCACACACACGCACACACACGCACGCGTTCACAACACAGGGGAAGTCGCGAATGAGACTGCAATCGAATGAGAAATGAGAAACGAGAAGCGAAGGGTGGGCGCGTACCTCTTCCACCTTGCTCTGTATGTCCTTGGCGGCTTGGGCCTGCTCCCTTTTGAACTCCTCCACAGCCTGGCGGACGTGCGAGTGAGAAAAAACCGGAACGACCGCGAGACGAGGGCTGCTGTTCTTGAACAACGCGCACCTTGGCGATACGAGCCCCCGTGGCCTGTTGAAACGCGAGGCCCTCTTGGATGTGCCGCTGGGCGAGCACTGTCGAGCGGTTAGAGAAATGTGGTTTGGCCCAATCCATGCGCGAACGTGCTGAAGGGGGTTGCGAGTACCTTGGTAGGCCTCCATGCCCTCCTTGGTCTTTGCCGCTACGCGCTCCATGATCCCGCCCATGCCCAAAGTGAACGCTGTCGTGGACCACCAGAGTCAGCAGCGCCCTTGCATTGTGCCTATCGTATCAACAGTGCGTGTGCGTGCGTGTGCGTGTGCGTGTGCGTGTGCGTGTGCGTGTGCGTGTGCGGTGTTGCGTGTGATCAGACCTTGAGAGCGCATGCTCTGTTCGAACGCCACCTTCTCCCGTTCCATCTTCTGTCTGAACTCTTCCCCCTCTTTTTGGTGTCTGGTCAACTCAACCAACGTCAGCTCTTCGAAGAAACGGAACCACGCCACACACGACACGACACGCACGATAACGCACGACGCACGTGGGGTGAGCACGGACCTTCGCTTCATGTCGTCGGCCTCGCTCGTTATCTGGCGGTGCATGTCCGCCTGCCGTTGTCTCATCTTCTCCTCAAACTAACGCGCGCGCAGGCCGTAGAGCAAGTCAAGCAGTGTGGGGCTGCAGCGATGGGTCGGAGCGGTGGATCGACGTACGTTGGCCTGGAGCTGGCGCAGGTGGACCCGTAGCCGCTGCTCCTCTTCCCGCAGTCGCCGCTGAACCTGCGCCGCCGCCTGTTGCATCCTGTTGTGGTACTGCCTGTGGTCGTCATGACTGCTCCCTCCTGCCATAGATTGGTATATACAATATAAAATTACACTTTTGAAGTAATTCTTCAGAGCATATGATAAAAAATGCAAATGGGGGGGGGCAACCATTATCGCTGGCGGCCTCAGGTAGCGCTGGGCTGGATGCAACTTGCGCGGTCCCCTCCATCTTAGGACCCAATGGCCAATAAATTTCTTTTCTTTTCTTTTGTCTTCATTTTTTCTTTTATTCTTTTTTTGGATTGTCCAGCCAATCCCAGCATTTCCCACCATTTACGGTTGCCAGCGTGCTTCGAACGTGCTTCGGTGACCCGGGTGTGCGAACAACGCGAGCTGATATTTTATTTGTTTTATTTTTTATGCTCTGGAAAAAAACCAGATTTCATCAAATCGTGAGGGGAGGCGATGAACATCTGGCAGTTGGCCCGCGTGGGCGACCTCAAAAAGTTCAAGAGCGTCGTCAAGGGCAAATCCGTCCACGAACTCAACGAAACCGATCAGTTCGGCTTCACCTGCTTCCACTGGTTCCTCCGCCTCCCTCTCCCGCTCTTCGTTCTCTGCCCCCCCCCCCTTCGCTCTTCGCTTCGCTCTTCGCTCTTGCCTTTGAATTTTACTCATGCAGAGCCCTTGCCGATGGTGGTGCATGTACCGCCCAACCGCAGGGCGGCGCAGAAGGGCGAGGATGGAATTGTGGCGCTGCTTACCAAGCGTGAGGCGGACCTCGACGTCGTGGATGGCGACCTACAGACTCCGTTGGTACGTACCTGCCTCAGCCTGGATCTTATCTCTCTGCGATCATCCACCACACAACACACACAACACACAGTCGACCAGCTCACCACTCTCTCACTCTCTGTCTGCTGTCAGCACTGGGCCATTGACAAGGGACACAAGGCCATCGCCAGGCACCTCATCGAACACGGGGCCGCCTTGGACATTCAAGACAAATTCGGGCATTCTGGTATTCACCCATCCACCATCAACACTCTTTTTCTCTGTGTGGTTTGTTTTATTTGTGCTGACCACGCGCGCACGGCGAAAAAAAACAGCGCTGCATAGGGCGGCGGCGTTGGGCCAGCGGGACGTGGTGGGCCTCCTGCTACGATCCAACGCCAATCCCAACCTACAGAACCAAAACGGTTCGTATGCGTGTAGCACCTGGTGGCTGGCTCCATGAGAGTCTCCCAAAAATTAATTGACGTGTGTGCAGGGTGGACGGCGCTGCATGTGACGTGCTACTACGCGCACCACAAGATTGTGAGCGAGCTGCTCTCGTGCTCCCGCACGGATGTAAACATACCCAACAAAGACGGGTGGACTCCACGTACGCTTAGCGAGTGTTGCCGCTGGGCTTAAAGTGATCAATCAATCAATCGATCGACTCACTCCGGTGTCGTGTCGTGTCGTGTCGTGTCGTGTCGTGCACAGTGCATTGCGCGGCGATGCAGGGCTACACCGAACTATGCGATCTGCTCATCCGACATCAGGCCAACATCGACTTTGCCTCTCGAGACGGAAGTACCTCTACCCCCAACTCCTTCGTTTGGCTGCATGTCTTTACCAACAACTTTATATCACCGCAGGTACGCCGCTGCACCTTGCCGTGCAGGAAAATAGGGAAATCGTCGTCCAGCTTCTCATCAACTATGGTACGTACCCTTCCATTTGTCTGTTTTTATTACATACGTATACACACAAAACAAAATTAACTTCCAATGTTCCCACGCGAATGCAGGTGCGAATGTCAACCTGAGGAATGCCAGAGGCAGGCGGGCGGTGGACCTCGCCTCCGAGAGCCTGAAGCCCGTCATCAAAGGTGATTCACGAGCACTGTTAGCTTTCCCTCTTTTCCTCCGCGCTCACACTCGTGTGTTGCGGCTCGCCTCCCACGCAGGCGCCGGGAAGCCCGTCTATGCGGCCTGCGCCCTCTTCGGCGGGGAAGTGGACAAGGCGCTCGTGGCCACCAAGGCCTCCTTCCTCATTCTGGTTCGCTTGTTTCCCATTACTGCCCATTTATTTCTCTATAATTCTCGATACATCTTTATTTGTTTTCATTCTCGAGAAGTAATGGTCTTCCTTTGCGTGGCGGCCTCGTGTGTGCAGCCCTCGCAGCAGATTGCGGCGTCGATGGAGGCGAAGCACTTCACGGTGGAGCTGGTGCACATCGAGGGCGACAACGAAAACGAAAGCGAAGGCGACAAAGACGGAGGAGGAAAGAAGGACAAGGGAGGCAGTCACGGCTCCGGAGGCAAGGGCAAGGGAGGCAGCGGCCGCGGCGTGCTTCGGCGCGGGTCCAAGTCGGCCGCGGTGCCGCGGATTCGGGGCCAGGTCACGCGGCTCGTTCACGCCGACGAAGACGATCACCACGCCGCCGTCGACCCGGCCACGTCGGCCAGGGACAAGGGAAAGGAAAGGAGGGAGAGCAGCGGCGAGGTGGTCACCGATGCAGCCGAGGCCGGCGACGGCGGCATCGCGAAGCTGGCGTCGTCCTCGCTGCGGGTCGTTACGCCGCGACGAAGGGCGGGGCACATGTTCGTGGCCACCTACACGCCGAGCGTGGCCGGCCGGTACCGCCTGACGGTGTCCTACGACGGCGAAGACGTGCACCAGTGCCCCATCAAAGTGACCGTGACCGAAGGTGCGCACACACCCCCGCCCGGGCGGGTTGCGGTGGGCGGCGGGCGGCGGGCGGAGGTGTGCGCTGACGTTTTCGGGGGGGGGGGCAGCCGTGACGGATCCGACCAAGTGCGAGGTGGTCACCGAGCTGGAGGGCACGCGCGCCGTGCTCGTTGGCAAACCGAACAGCCTCATGATCCAGGCCAAGGACCAACTCGGTCCGCCACCTCTTCTGTTGTCGTGGCGTGTCGTGGCGTGGCGTGTATCGTATGTTGTGTCGTGTCGCTCATGCGAACAGATGGATTGGTTGATGCAATGCGCAGGCGGCAATCGGACGGTGGGCGGAGATGTGTTCGACGTGGAGCTGATCAGGCAGGAGCGGGATGAAGGCACGAGCAAACGAAACATTCTCCTGCGAGCCGATGAAACACACGCTCGCATCGAAGATCTTCGAGACGGTACGGACGACTTTCCCCCACCCACCCACCGCTCCTTCTTGGTCTTGCTGCTTCGGTCATCTCATGCCGTCGAGCGTCGTCCCCATCAGGCCGATATGTGGTGTGGTTCTCCATTCCGGCGGGGGGCGTGCACTTTGTTGATATCAAGCTGCGCAACATACGACTACCCGGGTCCCCCTTCAAGGTGAACGCCGCTGAGGGTACGCGCGGGCCTACTTCGTACTGTGTGTCGCGTGTGTCGTGCCTGTCGTGTGTGTCGTATTTCACTGATGCAACGCGCGCGCAGTGCTGAGTCCGGGGCGAAGGAAGACGCCGCGCTCGCCCAAGAGCCCCAAGACCAAGGCCAGCAAGGAGGGCAAGCAACCGTCGGTCGGCTTGCAGCTGCCGGCGGGGGAGGAGAAGGACCGTCAGCTGCCGCCGCTCCTCAGCCCCCGATCTCTCATCGCCAACAACAAAAAGGATAAACGGTTCACTCTCCGCCTTCTGTCACCCAACGCCTTCGCTTATGCTGACCTTTTTGGCCTTTCGTAGGTTATCGACCAAGAATGCTGGCCAGTTCATCATGCCCTCATCCTCCAATAACGGTGCGTGCCCGTCGCTTTTCGTTCTTGTCTTCGTTCTTTTTCCTTTTTATGTATTTCTTTTTCCTCGCGAGCTGAAGCAGAGGTGGTGACCATCGGCGGTGCGTGCATGTACAGACAGCAGCAGCAACAACGAGAGCGCCGTGTGGGAGCGCTTGGGCGAGCTGGAGCAGGCCAACTCCGAGCTTCAGCAGAAGCAGCTCGAGTTCGAACGCGAGAAATACGACCTCCACAAACAGATCGCCCAGCTCCAGCGCAAGCTCGAAAAGCGTACGCTCTACTCCGATTTCGTGTCACTTCTCGCAACTCTCACACTTGGCGCCGCCGCCGCCGGTGAATAGGAGGGCGGGAGTCAGTGCCGAGTGCGGTGCCGCGCGAGGAGGTGGCGAGCCTGCAGCAAAAGGTGGACAGGCTGGCGGCGCAGGCGCAGGAGGCGGAGCGGGAGCTGAGGCGAGAGCAGGCCCGGCAGCGGTGTCGCGTGTGCGCCACCAACCGGCGGGAGATGGTGGTGCTCCCGTGCCTCCACGCCTCCTTCTGCGCGCTCTGCGTCTCGCGCATGAAGCTCTGCGCACTGTGCGAGGCCCCGCTCCAGGGCTTCCTGCGCATCAAGCCCGAGTGAAAAGAAGGAAATCCAAAATTAAATGCAGTGAAACAAAGAAGGAAACAACAGCACCAAGGAAATAGGGAAAGAAAATTGCTAAGAAAAAATTGTAGAGCAGCAAGATGAAGGCCAGCGCCTGCAGCCAACCCTCCTTCAGGGTGCCTCTGGTGCGCACCACTACTTCTATGTTTGGTTTGCGGGTGCACTACTCGTGAAGACAAGCATGCTTCAACATCAAAAATCGCTGTAAGATGCGATTGTAAATTATGTGTCACTGGTAGTTGGGCTACGCAGCAGTGGGCGATCTTGAGCGCTTCAACATCGTCGTCTTACCATCAGCCTTTTCTAATGGCCTCTCTCTACGTTCGTGCATGCGCAGGTGGTAGCAGTGCTGGTGGCAGTTGCGGTGGTCGTGGGGTGGGGCGCTACGGCTGTGGACGCGCATGGAGACCACGACATCAAGAACTTCCATCGGAGCCGAGGCAGCCTCTACGGCGGCGGAGCGTTGGAGGCCGCCCACCACCAGATGCCCACCACCGACCGCGCGCTCGTTGAACACGTCCCGCCCTCCGGTTCGCCTCCACCCCAGCCCCATTACGTGTGTCGCATTGCTGCGGCAGCCAAGTGCTCACTATCACTGTGTGCGTCTCCATGGAGCAGCCATCGTGATGCCCGAGAACGCGACGGAGGAGGAGATCTGGCTGATGGCCGGTATGACGTCCGAGCGCCACTGTAGTGCGCACTGTGATCGATCGGCTATCGATGCTCACGCGTGTTGTTGTCCTGAAATGCAGGTGACATGGCCAACTACCGCTCGCTCTCGGAGATCATTTCCGTGTCTCTTCCTCTTCCCATCAACTTGATATTCGTCGGCTTCGACGGTGATGGCGAGCACGGTACTGTGACAATCAATCAACTTTTCTCGTAACACAATCAGCAATGCGAGGCGCGGTGTTCACTCATTGCCTGAAACACTCCCAGGGCTCGAACTGGTGGAGGATAACTTCAACGAGTGGTTCGAGCACATCGACCACTTTGTGCGTCACCGCATTGTGCCCGTGGGCGAGGAACAGACCACCACCGAGCGACGCAAGACCCCCAAGACGCACGTCAAGTATCAGTACGTCCGCTTCGCTCTCTCTCTCTCTCTCTCGTTTCTGTAGGTTTGTCTTGGCTTCCTGTAACTTTCGCGGCGCGCCACACCAACAGGCTGAATTACAACCTGGTGAAGCTGGACCCGTTGGTGAACACGATCGTGGAGGACACCATCTACTGGCATCTCCGACCGGAAGACCCCAAGTAAGTTGCTCTCCCTTCTCCTCTCGGCCCGCCTTGCTCATCGCAGCTGCTTGTCCTTCCTCTCTCTCGTGTATGTGTGTGTGTGTGTGTGTGTGTGCGCGCGCGCGCGCGCGTATGTGTGTGTGTGCATGTGTGCGTGCGTGTGTTCGAAAACAGTTACAAAAAGGCCGGGGAAGACTTCCATGCGGGTGAGCACGAACAGAAGGACGAGCCAAAGGGCGGTAATGAGAAGTTCTACGTCGATGCCTTCAAGCTGTCGCGCGTGCTCTATCACCTCATCCTCTCGGTCAACCTCACCGACAGCTACACGCTCTTCATCATGAACCCCAAGAAGGCGGTCGGGTCCGACCAAACCTACGGATACCGGTGCGCTCCTTCTTCTGCCCCTGCGGTGCGGTCCCAGCGATCACTGGTAGCTCACACAACCTCCCTGTTGTGCGCACATTGGCCTGCAGCGTCGGATTCTCGGAGGCGGAGATCTCCGAACTGCAGAAGGTACGTTGGTGCCAGCAGTGGTCAGCAGCGCCAACTCCTCATATCATTCGCAGCTGACGGCGTACTCGTTATACTGCAGCGCACCGCTGAATGGTCGGTCGACCCGCAACGCTTCCAAACGGTCTCCGAGATGCCTGGTATGTTGCATTCCGCTCAAAAAGGGCCGAAGCTACAGTGGCTGAAGTAACTGTTATACCATCATGACGGCACCACCGGGTAGACAAGGGCCTGAATCTGGAGCAAAAGACCGACCTCTTCCCCAAGTCAAACATCGCATCCAAGAATGGGACTTATCGCACCGTTGACCTCGTTGAACGTTCGCAGGTGTGGCGCCCACTATTGCTGGAGCCTGCGACCCCGGCCGCCAGGGCTTACCTTGTGCACTGTGAACAGGAATGGGCGCACTGGTATATCAAGCACATGGTGGAGGGCGGGGTCAAGCTGGCCCACCTCTGCGCTGAGGGCAGCGGGGAGGATGACCCCAACTGCCTATGGAAGACCCAGCGCGCCGAGGAGCATGACATCGTCAAGCTCGCCCAGGCGGTATGTGAGGCACTGCTTTATTTGGTCTTGTAACATTTATCTGTTCTATTATTTATTTATTTATTTATTTATTTGCATTCAGATTGCCGCGTCAGGCAGCAAGGCGCAAGTGGAGTATCTTGCCAGCATCAAGGAAGGCAAGGCCCAAGAGGACTGCCTCGTCGATAACTGGGTTGGTCACGCCAGGTGCGTTTCGGCTCGGGGGCTTCTCCTTCCAACTTGCATCGCCGCACTATAGTCTATGGTTCGCTCAAGTACCCTTGTGGGGCGATCCAGGTACGCGTGGCTGGACCTCTCGGCTGGGCCGTTCAAGTGGGGTCCCGTGGTGGCAGGACAGGGCGTTCGGTCTCACTCGACACTTCCCCGCGTGCCGTCGCACTACGCTCTGCACCCCGAAGCCGACCCAAATGCGTACGTGCTACCCTGCGTGGTGTGCGTGTAGCGTGTGTGTGGTGTGTGCCGTGTGAGCACGCAGGCATCCCGTGAAAGCTCACGTTCTGCGTGGCAGTGAGCAAGAGGAGCTGCAGGCCTCGCCCAGCCCAGTCGGAAACGTGATCGCCAGCAAGGCCGCGGCGGAGGAGCGTACGGCTCTGCTGGCCAGGCTGAAGCAGGATCTAGTGGTGCTGCAAGGCGTGTATGAGCAGCGCTGCGCAGTCTCACGGACCCAATACTGTGACCGTACGATCAGCACGCCTTCACCCCGCACCACTCTCCACTCTCACCAACTGAGCATGTGTTCACCTCCTTGGGTCTTTTTCTTCAGATATGGCCTCCACGATCCAAAATCTCGAAGAACAGGTCCGGAACTCGCAGGGTGAGCTGGCGGATCTCATGATCGTGGGCGATGAGGTACGTCTCCAGACGTATACACTCATTACGGTGGTGGGTAGCGGGCGGCGGCGGTGGGAGTTGATACTGAGTGTGTTGGATGACAGCACGAGGGTGAGGGCGCTCTGTTGATGCTCGACAACTTCCTGGCCCACCTGGCCAGCGTCATTTCGCGCACCATTTCGCACCTGATCACGCCGGCCAGCCCTCTATTCCGGGCCTACTACACCCCGCGCATCACGTTCCACTTTTTCCTCATCGCCAACCACCGGGTACGCTCTACAACGTGTTTCCTTTATGTATTTATTTTTATAACAATAAGCGATGATAATAACAATCACTAATCTGGTAGCAGGAGTTCAACCCACGAAAGACGTTTGACTTCGAACAGTTCAAGGCTGAGATGATCAAGTTCAAGCTCCCCAACCAAGAGTTCGCCTTCGTTTTCAAAGAGTACGCGGTCGCTCTCGGCCAGAGCAGGCTCCGCAAGCAGTCATTGCTCACATGCTTGTGTTCTACAGGCTGGATATGTCCTCGGACAAGGAGCTGACGATGGCGTTCACCCACTCACTCCGCACGGGTGTGATGCCCACGCTCTCGGTCGACGGCACGTTTGCTGCGCAGACCATCCGCTACCTCGACTCCATGGACCTACAACACCAGCTTCACCTCCTCAACATCCACTCTCACGCTGGTGCGTCCCCCTTATGCACCCGCCATTTCATACAGGTCGTTGTGGTACTCATCGCCATGTCGGTCGGTAACACACACACACACACACACACACACAGATGAGGAGTTGGAGAAGGTGGTGCCCAAGGATGGCAAGGTGAGCACCGCTCCGACGCACGACGATGAATCAGATGACGACCACGAAGGCGACAACCGCTTGCCCGACGAGGTGTTCGGCGCAACGGCTCTTCCCGAGCGTTCCGGTTCGTTTCTTTCTCCTATTTCCAGAACACAGGCGTGGGTCATTATTGGGCTCACATGCGTGTGTGCACCACAGGCAAGGGCCAGACTTCGCGGCACATTCCCGTCTTCTTCTTCTCCCTCAACGATGTGGTGCCGGTATGTTCGCTTTCGCTTTTCGCAGAGTGCGACTGATTGACTGACGGACTGGACTGGGTGTGATGTGGTGTGGTATGGTGCGCAGGTGTTTATCGACAAGTACTACCAGGCCAAGGCCCTGAGCAACGTGGTTCTTGCGGTGCAATCGCAGCACTTCAACTGGACCAGCAAGCTTGCCTGCAACGACAAGCCCATCCGCTGGGACCTGCGGTACACTCCTCAATCCACCCACCATTTCATGTTGACATCGAGGTTCTGACCATGTCTCTCGCCTCTGTTTCGCCCTACGTAGGGACCCGTTGAAGCCGCTGTTGGCCGCCACGGCCCTGCACTACGGTGGGCTCGTCCCGATGCACATCACCTACGACGAGCCCAACCAATGCGCCGCCCAGGTAATTCGCTATAGGCGTTGTGTATGCACGAAATTGTGCTCACCACCATCTCGCACATCCTCTGATGCAGGACTGGCTGTGGTCTGTCGGTGACAGCCCACTAGCGCACACGAGCCAGCACCATCGTTTCTCCCTGCTCCAGCGGGTACGACCACGCCATGACAATTTGCCCTAGGGTGCGTCTAACGCGCGCGTGCGCAATGCAGGACCTGGCCTACCGCAGCTTCGTCACGAACGCCATCGAAGACTCGATCAAGAGCCTCAACGCGGGCATCAAGACGTTGAGCAAACTGCGCACCAGTACGTGTCTCAGTTCGTGTGCGTTCAATACAGTTACCTTACCTTGGTGTTGAGGCTAACCTGTCAATATTGCGCCAACCAACAGCCAAGGCCAACCTCGCGGCGTCGCAGGAACTGCCTTTCGCCGAGCTCTCCTACAGCTACAAGGCTGTGAGACGACTCTGGGACAACGTACGCTTGCTGAAGCCTTGGTCCTCCCTCTGGGGCTCGGGAAACTGATCGCCACTTCCCGCCACACAGCATGCCAGGGCCTTCGCCACCCTCAATTTCGAGTCTGCTCTCTCCTTCACCGAACGCCTGCACGAACAAGTCACCAGGTGCGTCTCTCTCTCCGCGCGCACACAACACACAACACAAACACACACACACACACAACACCAGACTCACGCACAGCACACAACACGGGTTGGGGTCACCGATGGCTCACCTCATACACTTCACACGTAAAGATTCCAGGAGCTGGTGCTGCAGACCGAAGAGTATCTCGATGTGACGCAGTGCGCAGTCGACATCGGCGAGGAGGCCTCGGTGGCGGACATTCTCCTGTCGTCGGACGACAGCTCGTCGTGGTGGATCCTGCCGGCCTCGCTCGTGTTCAACTTCGTCCTCGCGCTCCTCTGGATCCTCCTTCGGAAGCGCTCGCGCAAGGTCAAGACCAACTGAGCGCGCAACGAGTGGGTATGAAAAAGGAAACCACAAAAATAAAAGAGAAAAGGCAAGGAAAAGATAACAAAACGACTTCGCGCTTTTTTCCACCGTCGGTTGCACCAACACAGAGGATCCGGCATTGCATTTTAGGCTGGAGAATTAGAAGTAAATTACAGCGATGGCGGAGGAGCTTATGTTCAAATGTCTTTCGGCCCTTCTGCTGCCGGACCAATCCATCCGTCAGGCGGCAGAGCAGCAGCTTAATGAGCTATCCTCTCAGTCCGGTAGGCTCCTGATTATTTCAATTACGGCAATGATTGAGATTTGATTTTGTTTCATCTCCACACTAATCAGGCTTTGGCGTGACGCTCGCTCGTTTGTCCCTGAGTTCTGGCTGCCCATTGCCCATCCGCCAGGTGTGCACACACTTTTCTCCTAACGCCCTAACCCCTCCTGCTCACCCGCCGTCTCGTACGTGCAGCTAGCTGGCGTAGTGCTGAAGGGCTACATCAACGCTCACTGGGACTCAGCAGACGTCAAGTTTGTAGAGCCTCAAACTACCCCACAAGACAAGGTCCGCCTCCCGGCCCTTTGTACCTGTGCTGGGCTCCATGATGACTGGGGGCTGTGCTTTGGCAGGCGGCCATCCGTGCGATACTGCCCCAGGGACTCGCTGATCCCGAGAGCAAGATCCGTACGGCGTCGGTACTGCACACCGCACCTCTCTCCTTGCACTCTTGAGCCGTGTGGCCAGTCTCACACCCACTGCTCTCGCGTGCAGGCCATGGCGATCGCTTCGATCGCGCACTGGGACTGGCCCGGCGAATGGCCCAACCTCATCGAAGAGCTCAGTAATGTGCCCACCTTTACTCACGTTCCTCGTGGTGCATAGGCTGATGTTTGTTTGTTTGTGTGAATTGGTCTGCTTCAAAAACAGTCAAGTGCCTCGACATGAACAACGCGCAGCTCATGGACGGCGCCATCAAGTGCCTCGAAATGTTCGCCTCGGGCGACAACCTGAGCGATGAGCACCTGCCCCGACTTATCCCCCTCCTCTTCCCGCACCTCTTGCGCATCTTCTCCTCGGTAAGTTCTCTCTCTCTCTCTCTCTTCTCTCTCTGGGCTGTCTCGTTCGGGCGTGTAGTAAACTCATCACATTGTCTTATCAGAAGGACTACCCCGAGCGCATCCGAGCTCGTGCCGGTTCGATCTTCTACTCGTGTCTCGAATGGCTCTCTGTGATCAAGAGTACGAGCCTCGTTCCTCCAGTAATCAGCGCTCTATGGTTAGTCGCCTTCCGGCAGGCAAGCCAAACTGAACTGACACGCGAGGCTTCGACGGTCAAGGTGTGCACGCCGAGAGCACCGAAGCCTTCCGACCATTCCTTCCCCAGTGGACAGCGCACTTTGCCGAGATCCTCGCTGCCCCGCTGACCTCACCCGACGCTGACTACGGACTCAAGATCGTCGTGTTGCAGGTAACGTGCACGTGCGCGTGCATGCGTGCGTTGCAAGCCAGCTTGTGGCCATAGCGCTGCGTCTATTCGCAATCCGGCATCTGATCCCCTTTGCTCTGCGATGTGTGCAGATTCTGACGATCCTGGTGATGAGGTTCCCGAAGCAATTGGGTCCTTTCCTCAACGGAATCGTGCCTCAAGTCTGGAACTCTCTGGTTTCGGCGCTCGCGATGTGCGTAACCCACACTGGCATACAAACCCGCTGGGTAAAATATTAACATTTTGTTTTTTTATTGTGCTGGCGCACAGTTACGAAGAGTTTGTTGTCGAGGGCGACGGGATTGAGGCTGCCCAGGACGAGGAAGGCGAGATGCGCGGGCTGGAGATGTTGATCATGCTGCTGCTTGACTTTGTGCAATGCCTTCTCTCCAAGGTACGTTGATACTCCTTTCAGGGCACGCCAAGTGTAGTGTTGCGCTGTGTGACCGTTACTGAGTCTCTCTCCACGCATCACAGAAAGCGTTTGCCCAGGTCTTCGCCACTTCTCTGCCCAGCCTGTGCGCCCTGCTCATTTCCTACATGCAGATCACTCAAAACCAGGTCTCGCCCACTTCCCACTCGCTCTTGCTTCCACCTACCGAGACTGACACGAACCGAACGATGGACACGCAACACCACACACACACACACACACACACACACAGCTGGAGACATGGACGGATGACCCCAATGAGTACGTCGCGGACGAGGACGATGAAATCCGCTTCAACGCACGCGCATCCTGCACCCATCTCCTGCGCGAGATTGCCCAGCAGTTTGGTCAGGTACCAGGCGAACCACCTACTTGGCCTCGGATCGCTGGTGCTCACTAGCGTTCTTCTTCTTCTTCTTCTTTCTTCTCCAGGCGGCGACCCAAGCCATCGCTCTGGGTGTGGGGAAGCGACTTCAGGAGTCGGTCAAGCAGCAGCAGAGCGGCAACCGTTCGTGGTGGAAGCTGCGGGAGGCTTCCGTATTGGCCGTGGGCTCCACGGCGGAGGTGCTTATCAACGCACCGCAGGGCTTCGACCACCATCAGTTCATGGCAGCCATCCTGCAGCCCGACCTGCAAACTACCGGTACCTCACCTGCTATTCGTTGCACATGTGCTCAGTCAACTCAGTTAATCAGCACTCACCTCGTTGACACGCGCAGCCTCGCCCTTCCTCCGGGGTCGTGCTCTGTGGTGCGCGTCGCAGTTCAGCCACGCAGTGGCGGCCGACAAGTCTCTGCCCTTCATCCAGGCAGCTGTCGCTTCGCTGCAATCACAGCAGGACCCACTCCCGGTCAAGATTTGCGCCTGCCGCGCTCTTGCCAGCTACTGCCCCAAGGTTCTTTTGTGTGCTAGTTCTCAAGATCTTGGCGAGGCTTACACACTGCGTGTACTGACCGTATTACCACACGCACACACACACACACAGCTCGAAGATAAGGGCGTGATTGGACAGATGGTCCCTCCCACCGTCCAAGGTTTGGCCGTGCTTCTCGGACAGACGTCGGAGGAGACCCTGCACCTCACCCTGGAGACACTGCTCGTGGTCCTCTCCACCGCCGGCGAGGTACCTTCTGCTGCTGCACGCGTGCCCCCCCCCTTTCCGGTCATTAACGGCAGTGGTCTCATTTTTTGTCCTGTGCTCTGTGGCGAAGGCGGTCCGCCCCTTTGTTGAGGGTTTGACGCAGCAGCTGATCCGAGTGTGGGGCCAGTGCATCAATGATCCCCTCATCACTGCCGTACGGCTTCCCCTCGGCTTCTTCTTCCCCCCCCCACCCACGGAGTGCTTACCCGCTCTTTCCGACTTCTCAGGATATTCAAGACTGCTTGCGCGTGCTGGCCAAGATTCCCGACTGTGCCGCTATGCTCAAGGTTTGTCCGGACTACTGCTGACCGCCCGGGCCGACACCACCGTTCTCACCTGGGCTCGCCCATTTTCTCTTTTTGCTGTGTATAGGCTGCCCTGCTCCCCTATCTGATCCAGCTGATCAGCCCGGCGCCCGAAGGCAAGGACGAGGTCATCTACGGAGCCAGAGAGGTGAGTGTCCGCCACGCCGGCCCTGTGTGCACCAGCCTTATGTGGGCGGTCGATTGGGCTGACGTCTAGAGTGCAATCCAGGCATCAGTGCAGCTGCTCACCATGCTGGTCCACGCCACGCCCGACATGCAGCCCAGCGACCCGCTCTTGACCAAGTATGTGCGCGACTTGCAGTGTCGCCCCACAAATGGTTTCTCATCTCACTTTCTTTGGCGTCTACTTAAGGGCCTTCCCGGTGCTGGTCCAGCAGCTCATCACCACCGCCGACAACAGCCTCCTCAACGAAGGCTGCGCGTGCTTGTCGGCCTACGTGTCCCGCGCTCCAGGCCTGCTCCTGCAGTGGTGCGTCCACCACTCTCTGTTTGGTGGCCCGGCCCCCGAGGCACGATGGCTGAGCAAATTCCTTCTTGCTCTCTCTACGCATATGCCTTCAACAGGAACGACGGTAGGTCCAACGGCATCGGCTACATTCTCCAATTCGTCGGAAGGCTGCTGCAGCCCTCGACGTCCGACATGGCGGCCCTCTACGTGGGCCCTCTGGTCACGAAGATCATCAGCAAGGTAACGAACGCGCCACCTCGATTGAGCGCAATCCTCCAGTTTAAGACTGTCAAGGCCTTCCAACTCATGGACCTACATACTGATCCACACCTACAGCTGGGAGGTCAACTCGGTGCTGGCACGCTGACGGACATGCTCAAGGCCGTGCTCGCTCGGTTGCAGACTCAGTGCATGCCATCGCTCGCTCAGGTTCGCTCTCTAACTCTCCCATCCCGGGACCTCCAGGCCCGAGAATCTGACGGACTACTCCTCTCTACTTGCAGTCGCTGGTGTTGATCTTCGCTCGCTTGATGATGGGCGGCATCGTCCCCGGTATCGGATCTCCGGCCCAGACCAAGGAGATCCGCGATTTTCTCAGCTCGATTCAGGTATGTCGCCCGCAGTGTGTTTGGTACCGGTGGCTCAACGGTCAGCGTAAACTCACGAGTCTCTTGTTGAAACGACGCAGGTCGCGGAGAACACCACAGCGTTGACATTCGTATTCCAGACCTGGGCCAAGGTACTCCTGAGTGCAGGCTCACCTGCGCTTCATTGCCAATGAAGGGAGGACTCACTCACTCGAGCTGTTCCCTCTCAGCAACAAGATGACTTCCATGGCACGCTCAACATCAAGGCCAGCATTCTGGGCCTGCTCAACCTCTTCTGCCTGCAGGACCAACAGGTTTTCCTTCCCTTCTTGCCTTGGCAAGAACAACGGCCTGGCCTGACTCTGTTTCTGTCCGTGTGTCGCCGCAGCTGTTGAGCATGCCCGTGGAGGGCGATATAATCGTACAGAGGGATCAGGGCAGGTCTTCCCGATCCAAGGCTAAGGCCGGCCAGACCCCTGGTGCGTCTTGCGCACGCACGCACGCACGCACTGTGCCTGAAGAGCGCATGGCTTATATTGCGGGTGCGCGAGTGTGCAGTTCAGCGACAAACGGTGCCGCTCGCGGTGAAGGCCCTTAAGGCCGCCGTGCAGGAGCTCATGGTGATGGCCGAGCAGAAGGAAGGCGGAGGCGAAGATGACGGAAGCGACGACTCCGACGTCGACGAATACCAAGACGACATGAAGGCCCTCATGGTGCGTCACCGCCTTTTTCTCGTCTTTCAACGGAAATGTAACACTGCTCTGTTGGCTGGCTTGTGCCGCGCGCAGGCCGAGATGGGCGCAGACCCGTCGACGGGAGGTTGGTTGATGGACCAGCTCCTCGACGACCATCTCGATGAAGAGGAAGAGGAGGATCCCGACTGCGTCAACGATCCCCTTTATCAGCTGGACCTCAAGGTAACGACTTTGGTTAACCTTACCTCGCTTTCTCTGTGAAAGTACCGCACACGCACCCACTCACGTGTTGCTGATGATGTCTGGGGGTCATTCTGGGGCAGGCGTTCCTGGAGGGATTCCTGAAGAACTTCGCAACGCAGAACCGGGAGGCGTTCGGGATGGTGGCCAACATGCTGCCGTCCCTCGAGCAGCGGTTCCTCATCGATCTCCTCAAGCGGCTCGCCTCCACCTCTTCGTAGTCACCCAACTGTGCTCGTACGAAAAAGTATTTTCTTTTTACTTTTCTTTTCTTTCGCGGTTTTCTTCGGTTGAGTTTCGGGGGAAGCCCGTCTCCACCAACCCCAACGTCGCACCGGCAATAATGGGCCGAACGAAATGGCCGAGTTTGTGGCCGAGAGCGGGCTGCTTCTCTAACCCTCGACAACCCGCAACTCCCGCCAACCTTGAAGGCAATATATACGGCCATGGCACTGCACTGACGAAGACGAATACTACACACAGACACACAGCGATGCGATGCCTCCACCTTGCGCTGTTTCTGCTGCTGGTGCTATGCACCGCGCGGGGACAGCAAGCGGAAGAAGGCCCTGCCGTTGTGGCTCCGCAGCCCCCCGGAACGAGGCAGCTCAGTCTGCCCCAGATGGAACGGTTGATGGGTCGCCTGCCCCCCGTTCCGGCCTGGTGGCTCAACGGCTCGAGCCCGGAGCTGCCCCAATTGCCCCCTCACTCGGCCTACGCCCGCCCTCCTCAAGCCCTTCTCGAGGCCGGCGACAAGCTGGGCGGCATGACAGACGATCTCGCCACCGCCCTCAACGCCAGCACCGGCAACACCACGGCCAGCCGCGTCTGCTCTGCGCTGCTACACAACAACAACGATGAGGGGGACAATCTCTACCAGCACCTGCTGTGCTCGGACGAGGTGGTTCAGGCCCTGGCCAAGGGCAGCAGCGCCAGCTACTACGACCTCACCCGCTGCTCGCCGTCCAACTACGACCTCGGGTGCCTGGCCGGCTTTTTCTCGCTCGACCCGGCCGAGGCCAGCCAGCGCCGCCTGTTCCTCAACGCCTTCTACCCGACCGTCCAGTGCTGCCCGGGCCACTACTGCCCGATGGGCGTCGTGTGCATGATCCCCTGCTCAGCCGGGGCCTACTGCCCGCCGGTGCGCGCCGTCGACAACGACACCTTCTGCGACCCGTACGCCACCGTGGCCACGCCCTACCTCGGCTGCGGCGGCGCCGTCGACAACCACGCCTGCCCGGCCGGCTCCTACTGCCCCAACACCACGACCACCCTCCTCTGCCCTGCGAACCACTACTGTCCCTCGGGTTCACGGTGCGTGCTTGGCATTCCCGGCAGTGGTCATGAGATTGACTGGTGGCTGATGGGAACTGTGTGCGTGTTGCGTGTCGTGCGGTCGTGCGTGTGCAGGAGGCCGCAGCGCTGCCCGCAGCTGGCGGCGTGTCCGCCCGGGGCGTCGGCGCCCGAGCTGGACCTGGGCGGGCTGGCCAAGGTGCTGGGCGTGCTGGGCGTGCTGTTCCTCTTCGTGCTGCTCGGCCGCCGCCGATCCAACCGCAGCTGGGAACGCGACATCACCGCCCGGCGGTCGCAGAACGCCGGCGTCAAAAAGACCGCCGAACCGATCGATGAACAGGAAGCGGATGTCGACATGCTCAAGCTCCATGAGGCCGAGGAGCAGTGCCTGCTGCTGCCCAGCCGCGAGGTGCTGCACCGGATCGATATCGAGCTGGACAACGTCGGCGTGCAGCTCGCCGGCAGGTGGGCGCTCAACGGAGTCACCGGCAGGCTGTCGGCCGGGCGGGTCACCGCCATCATGGGTCCGTCGGGCGCCGGCAAGTCGGTGCTGCTCCACACCCTGGCCGGCCGGCAGGTCGGCGGCAAGGCCAAGCTCAGCGGTACCATCCGCCTCAACGGCAGCGACTGCGTATCGCTGGCCGACTGCCGGAGCGTGGTGGGCTTCGTGCCGCAGGAGGACGTCATGCACCGCTCGCTCACCGTGTTCGAGAACGTCGACTTCAACGCGCAGTGGCGCCTGCCCCGCGCCATGAGCCGGCGGCAGAAGACCGACGTCGTGTTCGCCGCGCTGGACGTGCTGGGCCTGGACAACCCGCGCGTCATGCGAACCCGCATTGGCGACGACGCCGAGCGCGGGGTATCGGGCGGCGAGCGCAAGCGCGTGAACATCGGAATGGAGCTGGTGGCCCAGCCCAGCCTGCTGCTGCTCGACGAGCCCACGTCGGGCCTCGACGCCTCGACCAGCATCGACGTGGTGCGCGGGCTCAAGTCCGTCGCGCAGTCGGGGGTCAACGTGGTGGTGGTGCTGCACCAGCCCCGGGTGGAGATTCTGCGCCTGTTCGACGACCTACTGCTCCTCGCGCCCGGCGGCCGCACCGTCTACGCCGGGCCGACCCAAAACGCCGTCGCGTACTTCAACGGCCTGGGCTACGCGCTGCCCGACCAATGCAACCCTGGTACCGCAACCTCATTATTGATATATTGATATTAGAAGATTCTGGCTATGTAGGCTCTAGCGTTGCTAACCGTCAACTTTGCAGCGGACTTCTTCCTCGACGTCATCTCTGGGTCGTTGCCGCGCAACAACGGCGATGGGTCATTGGCTGCGGCGGCAGGCAGCAAGAACGACCATGCGACCTACCTGGTCGAGCAGTGGGAAGCGCAGCGAGCCGTAGCGGGAGCGTACAAGGACGATCGTCTTCATCACAGCTGGTCCCGCAGCCTGGTCGATCTGCAGTGCCTCGACCGTCAGACGGCGGGCGTGCTTGCACAGACCTGGCTGTGCACCAAGCGCGCGGTCATCCAGCGCACGCGGGAACTCAACACGGCCCTCACCGACTACTGCCTCGTGGCCACCGCCGGCCTCGTTCTCGGCCTTCTCTTTCACGCCGTGGAACTCGACAAGGTAGACCCACATGCATCACCGCACACATCTCACATGGACACACACGACCGCACACACTCATCACCGCACGCACACGCACGAGACACACTCTCACGACATGAGTGTGAACAGGTGCCCAGCGTCAACTTGTTCATCAGCATGGCACTCGGCTTCGCGGCCACGCAACAGGCACTTCGGCTGTTCGGCGCCGAGCGCACGGTGTTCGCTCGCGAGGCCGACACCGGCATCAGCCGCCTGGCCTACTTCCTCGGCAAGAACCTGGCCGCGCTGCCCGACCTCTTCATCCTCCCCTTCATCTTCCTCTCCATGTTCTACTCCTTCTCCAACCCGCGCGGCGCCTTCGTCGACTACCTCGTGCTCCTGCTCGCCGCTCAGTGGGCGCTGAGCGGCGTGGGCCACGTCATCTCGGTGGTGCTCGACCCGGCCAAGGCCCAGCTCGCCGCCGTCGTCGTTACGCTGGTGCTCAACGGCATCAGCGGCTTCTCGCCGCTCAAGAGCGAGCTGGGCCGGTTCGGGGCGGTCTGCTACGCGTCGTACGGCTTCTGGCTCACCGAGGCCCTCTTCTTGATCGAGGCCCAGCACTACCCGGACATCTACGCCCCGGCCAAGAGCGACATTGCGGCCATGTTCGACTTTGACGCGGCGCGCGGGGTGGGCGTGCACGTGGGCGTGCTGGTGGCCATGGGCGCCGGGTGCCGTCTGGTCTGCCTGCTGGCGCTTGAGCTCACCCGTCGGGCCTGGCCCTCGCCCCGCCGCCTCTGGCAAAGCGTCGCCAGCATGTCGGCCTGCTCCTATCACACTATTTGATTTTCCCTTTTCTTTTTATTTTTGAAATAGAATCAAATTGTATATGCTTGATGGAGCGCCCAAGGGTGGGGGTGGTGCAGGATGAGGCAAGGGTGGAGTGGCTCGGTGACTCGCCAGAAGCTGAAGAAGAAGATGAAGAAGAATGGCGGCTGTTGAGGCAATCAGAAAATAGTGCAACGATTAACGTCGAGCCGCCTCTGACGGGCGACGGCATAAAGGAAGCAGCTTGTTTCGAAGATCTGGAGCAGCTGCAGGACCGCCCTGACCTGCTTCGCGGCCTCTATGCGGAAGGGTTCGAGGCGCCCAGCAGGCTACAGCGCACCCTGCTGCCCATTCTGCTGGGCACCTGTAGTGGTGCTCCGCCGCACAACAATGTGGTGGTCCACTGCGCCATGAACGGGACGGGCAAGTCGGCTGCCCTCGCGCTGGCCTTGCTCGCCCGGGTCGACGCAGCCAATCCCGCCACCCAGGTACCCCAACCCGCGCTTCGCCTCTGACAGACGCTGACCGTGTGCCGTGCGGGACCGTGTGCCGTGCGTGTCGTGCGTCGTGCGTGCGGGCTGATGGAGTAGTCAGAGCTAACCCATCTCTCCTTTGCGTGCGTGCGGCACAGTGCGTGTGTATATGCCCAGTGAGGGAAATAGCTTATGGCCTGTGCAGCCTCATGCGCGCTCTGGGCAAGTTCACAGCCACCACATTCCTCCTCGTTGTGCCCGGCAGTACACACACACACCACACACGACACACGACACACACACACACACACACACACACACACCACACAGAAAGAGAGAGAGACAGTCATTCTTCCTTTATTTTTGGTGTTCAGTGGCCAAGCCCGAGGGAGGACCCCACCACATCGTCATCGGCACGGCCGGCCGGATAGCCGACATGGCCCGCAAGCGGCTGCTCGACCTGCGCCAGGTCCGCCTATTCGCGGCCGACGAGGCCGACCGTTTGCTCGAGGAGCCACGTAATGACCTGAGGCTCGTTCAGCGGTACCGCTCGCATATCGTTAACAAAAAAGCTGCAACATATCAACATGACACTCACTCATATATCTATTCTCGGATTTTGTCATATATCAAAACAGTAATATACATTAATATATCTTTATATGCAGGATGCTCCCGCGCGACTGCCGGGCCGTGTGGGTCGCGGGGACGAAGGTGCAGGTCGAGCTGGTGCCCCAGCCGCGGACGGTCGTGAGCATGCAGCGGAACCGATTGGCCCTGACCGGGCGCCAGTTCTACATTTCGGTCACCGACACTGACGAGTGCAGGCTCGCGGCCCTCGCCGCGCTCTACGCGCGCGTGGTGGTGCCCCGCAGCCTGGTCTTCTGCAGCTCCGACGATGTGGCCGACCGCCTGGTGCGGGCGCTGAGCGCGGCCGGACACGCCGTGGGGCAGCTGCGCAGCGACGCGGCGAGCGAGGAGTGCCACGCCACCACCCTCGACGTGTTCACGTAGGCGCGCCCTCTCGCACTCTCCGCCGCACACACGGCGCTCACGAACGACTGTTATACTGTCGTGTGTGTGTGTGTGCGTGCCCTCGCGTGTGCGCAGGTCCGGCAAAACGCGCGTGCTCATCGCAACGCAGCTGCTGGAAGGCGAAGGCGGCATGGCGGAGGCGATGCTGGTCGTCAACTTCGACGTGCCGCAAGCCGAGCTGCGCAGTGGGCGGGCCTACGCCTCGGCGCAGCACTACATACGCCGCCCGGGCGTCTTCGGCCGTCCGGGGCTGGCGCTCCACTTTGTCCCCGCCTACTCCACCTCCGGAGAGCTTTGGCAGCGATCCGGGTACGTGTCCACTCGACGTCACATGCTGTACGCCACCACACACATACAACACACACACAAGACACACACACGACACACACTCCCTCGCACGCCGCATACCAACGCTGACAATGCGAGCTTGGCGGGGTCAACAACGCAGATTCGACCCACCGCTTCAGGAGCTCTCTCTGGACGCCCTGCCGCACCTGGCCCACAGGCTGCTCAACAGATTGTCGTAACGGCTTTCCTTTGTGGTCGAGCAAGCGGGGTTAGGGTGCTGGACCCAGCAGGAACAGTTTGCAGAGCCCTAACGCTCAGCCGACCCGACAAGTTAGCTTGACTTGCACCTTCACCCGGGCCTTGTCAAGCAAAAGGTGGGGACCAGGGAATTCCTTGCTCAAGCAGGCACGCCCTCCAGCGGAATAACATCGTGCGTCGTTGTGTGTGTTGTGTGTTGTGTGTGATCATGTCGGATTGTTTATTGGTGGTACATGGAAATCGATCGCCAGGTGATCAGTCGAGGTAGGTGACCACAATATTGACGGCTCCTCCTCCCTGGGGCTGGGTAAGAACGACTGAATGGTGGAAGACGAGCTCTCTTGGCCGCGACAGGTCGAGCTCCACGCCAGAACGCCGCGCTCTGGCCCGCTGGTTCTGGAACCAGAGCTGCACCTGGCGCGTGGTCATGTCGAGCTGGTGCCCCAGCCGCCGCTTGGTGGGCGTCGAGGGCATCGGGTCGTGGGCAAAGTGGCTGCGTAGCACTTGGCTCCGATAGTCGCTTGACCTGATCTTCTCTTCTGCTTCACCAGCGCCAGAGCAACGAGAGCTTCTTGTCTTCTTGAAGGACTTGGTCTTCATGTTGCTGGTGGTGGTGGTGGTCCGACGAGGTACGTTGTGGGCAAGATGAGGAGAGCTGGGTGGGGTGGGGATGTCGTCGCTGAAGGGCTCTGGGTTGAGGAGGAAGTGGATGCTGGCCTTCTCGCTAGCGCCGTCAGAGGTGGTCATGGTTGTCGGTCTAGCAAGTGGATAATGAACTACTTGGTCTCTCCTGCGTGCATTTCAGTTGGGCCGCTTCTTTTGTTTTTTAAAGAGCGAAGGGCTTGGCCTGGACCTGTAAGTGACGTTATTCGTCATCGGCTAAAAGCCAGGAAAGGGAAGGGGTGCAGTGTTCGGGAACGCGTGACGGCTTGGGTGGCACAGATTAGGTCCGTTAGACGCAACCGCCGCGCTAGTGATCGGTGATGGCCCTCAGCCGCTGTTGTGTGACAACACGGAACAACCTGTCGCAGTTTCGTAGCAGAACAAGGTGGTCGTTGGACCCATCGAAGACATGGATCTTCAGCCGTGAGCCCGATATACAGACAACGGGAGTAAAGGGGAGGTGATGGGGTACCTCATCGATGCGAAAGGTGTGTAGCCGCTAGCGGGCCAATTCCCCTTGAAACATTTTCGGCAGCACATGTGCATATGTCATGCAGGCGGCTACCGAGAGCGGCGGAAGACAGGGATAAGTTGGTTGTTAGCGTTCCCATCTTCGTCTGGGGAAAGCAAGGAGAAGCGGAACGTGGATTTTGTTTGTGGTCTTTTATGATGGCCATTGACCTCGCGTGTTTCGCGTTGTGCACAGTCTCGAGTCTGTGAGACTGCGGGAAGACCCAGTCCCGACCACACGCCTTCCACCAAAACGTAAACTGCTTCTTAACAGTTTCGGTTTGCTGCGCTTTGGCGAGAAAACACACCAACATCACATTTTGTACAAACAACACGATGGCGGCCGTCTCTTTGACCCCACTGTAATCACGTGCGCTCGCTTGGCCTTCACTTGGCCGCTCCGCCTCGGCCTCGGCCTCGACCTCGGCCGGCCAGCTTGCCCTTCCTCTTGGCCGTTGTCTTCTCCTCGTGCTCGTCGCTGGCCGCGGCCAGGCCGTCCTCCTCCACCTCGACCATGTCGTACAGGTGCTGCCCATCACCTGCCACGCCGGCCTCCATCTCCTCCACCACCTCGATGTCATCACCGTCGGCAAAGGCCTCGTCGTCATCGATACCGAACGAAATGAGCGCCGACTCGGCCTCCGGCGCCGAGGCTCGGCCCTTCTTCTTGGGCGGCTGCTTGCGCACGACTCCTCCCCTGGCTTTGGCGACCGCAGCCGAGGCGAGACCCGCGCCGCCTCCACCGAGGGCTGCCGCCGCCCGCTTGCCCTGGTGCTGCTTGGCCGTGAGGCCGGGGCCGCCGCGAGTACCGCTGGTGCCGTGCTGCTCGTCCGGTGGCAGCATAGCAGCATGGAGCAGCTCATCGCCGGTGTGCGCCTCTTCTTTGAGCATGAGCAGCGCTCGCTGCTTGCCGTGTTCGCCGTACGTGGCATCGTCGTCGTCTTCGTCATCATCGTCCTCTGTCGCGCGCGGTGAATGGTGTGATGTGAGTGGCCAAGAAAGTGAGAGAATGGAACGAAGTGGTCGGCCGAAACGCACCAAAGGATGGGCTGGCCATGTACAGCGAAGGGTTGGGCGTGTAGACGTCGTCGTCCAAGGCCTTCATCCGCCGCGAGGCGATGCGCGACGAGTTGCGCGCCATGCGCCCGATCCCCATACACTTCTCGAGGTGCGGGGCGTAGCGCGACGCCACCTGCTCACGTGGTTACTTAGCCGTCTCATGTCTTGTGGCATCACAGTGGAGGCTGGCTCGGGCGACGACGGGGGAGAGAACGCACCACTGTGCGCCCGCAGTTGAGACAGTCGAAGCGGACTTCTCCGGTGACCACCTTGCCGCTGACCGCCTGCCCGAAGATGTCGTAGCCGTTCTTGTCCAGAATGCCGCTCGGGTACTGATCTTCACAGTTGAAGCACGTCAACCCCATCTTCGCCTTGCTGTTGCGCGTTGTGCGTGTGCGGTGGTGCGTGTGCGGTGGTGCGTGTGCGGTGACGCACGAGCTTTAGTCGAAGCGTTCCAGGCGAATGGAAGGGGGTGGACGTGCCGATGCATTTCAAAGACGACTTCGCGCAGGAGGTCGTCGACGAGGTCCTGGAACACTTCGGCCACCATGGCCTCCTTGGTCTGCTGCACCTGCTCCGGTCGGCCCCAGGTCCCGTTGCGATGCTCCCGATGCTGGGCCTCGGCTCCTCCTCCTCCTCCACCCGCGCCCACGTCTCCGTCGTCCACCACCTCCTCCCCACTCCCACCTTCGCTACCACTCGCAGCACCGCGGCTCGCGGGCGATGGAGTCGCAGCACCTCCTTCGCCGTCAGCTGCTGCTGATGCTGCGGCCGTTGCTGCGACGCTTCTGGCCCCGCCCCGCCCGCGCCCTCGCCCAGCCGCGCCGCCAGCAGCAGCAGCGGCGCCTCGTCCCCGCCCTGCCCCTGCAGCGCGGGTCTTGCCCGCCCCGCGCCCAGCGGCTGCTGCACCGCCTCTGCGCCGTACGCCCCCGGGGGCCGAGGCTGCGGTGGTGGGGGCGGCCACGCTGAAGCTGAACGTGTCGCCCTCGTCGCCCCCGTCCACCGTCCGCTCCATGGATTCGTCGTGCGCGGGTACGGGTACAGATGCTCGGCGCGCTGTGACCGTCCAACGTTCAACGAGAAGAGGGTGCCCGAAGGGAAGAGAGGATACGGAGACAAACCGGAAGCTGAAGCAGTGCTGTCCCGCCTCCTTTGCTGTGTTTTCCTTTTGAGTTTCTTTTGCATTCCTGGTTCTGGGGTACCAAAAGACATAAAAGAAATAAATTAAATAAATACAGCTAGAAGGCAGAGCTGCGGCCTTGCTCGGTTCTTGTCAAATCAACATGGAAGCTGTCTTTACTCAGAACTCGAAACTGGCGGCGTTGCTCAGCTCCTGGTAGTCGCTCGCGAGGGTGGTGATGATCTCGCAGGCCTCGGTGAACTCGCCTTCGTCAATGCCCTCGCCCACGTACCAGTGGACGAAGGCCCGCTTGGCCAACATGAGGCGGTACTGGCGGTACACGCGGGAGAACACTTCGACGATCGCGGTGGTGTTGGACACCATGCAGCACGCGCGGGGCACCTGGGCAAGGTCGCCTCCGGGCACCGCCGCGGGCGGCTCCTTGTTGACGCCGCACTTGGGGCTCGTCGGGCACCAGTCCACGAACTAACAAAGCGAGGATCAGGCAAGGTTGAGCACGAGACTGCTCTGTCGACTTCGCAAAGCCTCACTCTGCTTACCTGGACGGTCTTGGAGGTCTTGATCTTAGCAACGGAGGCGTGAACGTCCTTGGCCACTATGTCGCCACGGTACATCATGCACACGGCCATGTATTTGCCTGAAGATGAAGCCCCTGAGAGTCAGACAAGCTAGAACTGTGGCAGGCCTGCTGGCATACCGTGGCGACGTCGTGGAGAGGCGTACCATTACGCGGGTCACATTTCGCCATTATGGAAGAGGGATCGAAAGCTGCGCTGGTGAGCTCCTCGACCGTGAGCCTCTCGCGGTCCACATTGGCGGCGCCAACGATTGGTGCATACGAGCATAGCAGGAGGTGGATACGCGGGAAGGGAATCAAGCCGACCTGGAACTCGTTGATGACGTCGATTTTGAGCGCACCTTCGAAGCGGAGGGAGACGGTGAGCGAGGAGATGACCTGCGCGATCAACCTGTTCAGGTTGCTGTACGTCGGGCGCTCTACATTGAGCTTGGTCTTGCAGATGTCATAGAGGGCCTGGGCGAGGAAAAGCAGCATTGGCATCGTCAGCGCCTTTGAACAGTTACATCAGGAATTGTGCATACCTCATTGTCGAACATGAAGGCCATGTTGGCGTGCTCGAGAAGAAAACGGGTCGAGAACATGGCGTTGTAGGGTTCAACGACGCTGGTGCTGGCCTGAGGCGACGGAAACACGCAGAAGTCGAGCTTGCTCTTTTTGGGGAAGTCGAAGGAGAGCCGCTCGAGCAGAAGCGAGCCGAAGCCAGAACCGGTACCGCCGCCAACGGAATGGAACAGGAAGAAGCCCTGAAGGCCATCGCACTGCTCAGTGAGCTTACGGACGCGCTCGCTTACCATCTCGATGTTCTCTTTGCCAACCGTGTAGTGGCCGCGAGCGTAGTTGCTCGCGGCGTCCTCGTAGGCGTTCAGCAGCTGGTCGGGGTGGTAGAGCTGGGCCATCGGTCCGTTTCTGATCTGGTCGATCACCGATGGCTCTAAGTCGAAGTGCAGCGCACGCGGCACATACTGCACAAAGGGCAAGAAAAGAAAGCTTGTTGGGAGAGGCGAAACTAGAAGTAGACGAGTGAAGTTGTGCAATACCTTGCCAGAGCTGGTCTCGTTGAAGAAGGTGCCGAGGCCGGACTCCGTACGCCCTGGGAGCAGGGTGCCGTCGCTGTGGATGCCGTGTTCGAGACAGTACAGCTCCCAACAAGCGTTGCCGACCTGCACGCCGGCCTGCCCTACGTGCAACGAGATGATTTCCCTCATGTGTCTCACTTCGGCACGTCTGCGCCCTCCCTCGCTCGAGCCCGGGCCTCGGTCTAGGCCAATCCGCACGTGCAAGGGAAGAGGTAACCTCTTAACTGAAGTGCCAGTAAGGCGCTTCAGTGAAGAGTACCAAAAAAGCGCGGGAAAACCTTTTAGTTGTGTTGTCTCATCAGCAGCGCTCAAAGACCTTGTAGAGCTTCTCGAGACAGGCGATCTGCACGACGGCGCCGTTGTTGCTCAGGCAGCTGGGTGGCGTGAAGTTGTTGCGCATCACCCGGAAGATGACGTGTTCCACCTTCCTCTCGTACGTAGCCCAGTCCTCTGCTCATGAGAGAACGAGAGAGCAAAAGTGGTGTGCACGTCAACATCCGGACTAGTCGGGTGGGGAGAGGAGGGAGGGCCGCGGGGCACCTTCGCCTTCGGCAGGAGGTTCGTTGAGGAGAAGATGCTGCGGTGGCCGAATGGCGTAGAAACGTGCGATCTCCTGCGCTACGGTCTCGAAGCACTTCTGCTCCTCGTTCCAGTTGCAGCCACCCAGCGTCAGCAGGAAGCGCGGGAGGTGCTGCATGTCTGCATTATCATTTCGTCACAAGCACACATGATGAGCTCCATCTTCAACTGTTGTCAGCGCTCAATGGTAAGCTCAGGTTGTTGTGGCCGTACCTGGCACGAAATCGTCGAGCACCTGGGGTAGTGTGTGCAGCTCGCCCTCGCTGTCGATCTCAATCTTGAAATACTCGCTGAGCATTGGCGCGCGGCTCACGAAGATGGCCATGATGTACTACACGCGTCACGATTCAAGGGTGCCCAGCGGTCGGTGAGCAAGGCTCTCCCTTGGGAGCACACGGGAATCATCCGGATATGAGTACCTGGATAATCTCCTCCTTCGCGCCGTCTTCTTCAACCCACCCACTTTCTGGGTCGTCGAGTGCCATCTGCAGCAGGACGGCGATCGGAATTGGACGAGCGAAGCGGATGGGCATGAAAGTGGAGAACCGGCGCAGGGTTTCCTCGTAGAGCAGCTTCTTACTGCACCGCACCATCAAAAAAAAAAATCAGAGCCGACGTGTCAGCCTCCAACACGTGGGTAGGAATGAACAATCACCACGTTACACGTACGCTAGCGGTCGAATCTTGCAGACATAAAGCTTGGTACGATGCTGTATGCAGGCCAACTCCGCATTCGCAAGGCCCACCCATGTGTGGTGCTTCAGAAGCTCGGCCAGACCTGAACGCAACAGCAGCAGAAACAACATTCCGCTCAAATATATAATCTGTTCTGACCGAAGATCTGGCGAGTGCTGGATGACGCACCTTCGTGGCATTGTTCGTCGATTTGTTCCAGTAGGTTGCGTACGCTGGTGAGCATTGACGGGCGGTACGTCCTGTGAGGTTACAGTACGCGGACAAGGCGATCAGTCCTCAGTGTCATACTAACTTGAACGGAAGGAAAGAAGAGACCTGCGCGGTCGCTGTGAGCTAACTGTCTGTGATCCAGCAACCTCGCCTCGCGGCTGTCGTTGGGAACCCGAGCCCTGATAGGAGGCAGAATGAGTCGGCAAATGTACGCTGAGAATATTGCATGTGGTCAGTACCCTTTGAGGAGTAAGGAAGGCATCTAAAGTCTGCATCCTATCGTCAGTGCGCACAAGCTTGTTCTGGCTCATCGCTGTATTCGCACCACGGCAAATTAGCCTCTACCGGGTGGTCCTGTAGACCAATGGGTTGGCGCACCTGCTCTTGGCGTTGTGCTGCTGGGTCGCTGAGCGGGGGTCAAGACTAAGAGTAAATAGTGGTCAGTGAGGCCAGCAGCTCAATTAGGGTACAGAGTTGTTTGAGGGCGCCAAACGTACAATCATCGTCATTTACGTCATCCAGCAGATCGATATCGGGGGGCGTTTGCGTTGGTCGGGGTCTCGACGACGACGACGATGAGGAAGAGGAGGAAGAACTGGAAGATCCGGGCTGAATAGGATAACGAATTAAGAACCGGTACACGTCGCAGCACGGCAGCTGCAGATCCGAAAGACGGGAAGGCACTGTACCGTACTACTCACAGTAAACGTGCGGGAGCTGTTTGCGCCGACCAACTTGGCTTTGATCGTATTCTGAATTGACTCTATGATGGTGTCTTCGCTGAGGAAATGCACCTTGTGTATGAGAGAGAGACCAGTGAGTTCATGCAGTTGAAACGCAGGTGCCATTAGTGACAAGTCTTACTGTACCACTTTCTTGGTCGGATGCACATTGACGTCGACGTTTTGCGGCGCCATAGTGAGCGATAGGTAGAGGAACGGATGCGAGTTCTTCGGCAGGTAGGTGGAGTAAACCTCCTCCACCGCCCTCTTGATCGCAGGCGACTCCACCCAACGGTCTGAACAAAAAGGACGTGTGTTAAATCAAGTGTGCAGCGCCTCACGTAAGCGATGAAGCCATAAGGGAGTGTACGGTTGATGAAGAGAATGAAGACGGATTTCTTCTTGTTGTAGTTGGCATTGGAGGCGTAGCCCTCGAGCGAGAACTTCAGGCCAGGGTCGTCGTGCTTGATGGGCAGAAGCTCGCGCGATACTTCCACCCCGTACAGAAGTCGGATGTTGTCCAACGTGCTCGAGTCCGGTTGTGTGTGAATGACGGCTGCGCTTTGACCATGCTGCAAATGTAGAGGAAGAGAAACATTGAGGTTCCGAAGTGGAAGGGCAAGCAAGAGACGAGGCGGGCGGCGACCTTCTTGAGAGAGAAGCTTATGTTTGCGTTGTGGATGGCATAGCGAACGATCAGATCGTGTATCTTGTTAAACTCCTCGTTCGGGTTCTTTAGCGCCTTGCGACGGGCGGGAGCGTTATAGAACAAGTCCTCCACCTTTGCGTCCAACGTGTGAGTCATATTATAGGCCATGGGCTGTACAACTCTATGATCCACTGTTGTGAGCGTACCGTTATTTGAGTGCCGGGCTTGCCGGCACAAGCCTTGGGTTCGGCAGGAGCACCAGGCTGCAGCGGCACAAGCTTGCTGTCAGCGTACTTGGCCCTAGTGTGCAGCAAAAGATTGAGCGACGACGTAGTGACGATGAAAGGGTGGGCTCCTCAAGGAGAGAGGTGATTCGAGAGAGGGAGAGAGATAGAGACGTACTTGTAGGCCACGGGCGAGCCTGCGGTCATGGTGGTGATGGTGACGTGGGCGACATGGCTGATGCTGGCCAGGGCTTCCCCACGAAAGCCGTAGGTGGCGATCTGTCGCAGGTCCTCATACTGCACCAGCTTGCTCGTAGTGAATCGCTCACACACGATTTCCATGTCCTCTTTCTGTTTCGTTTGCAGAGCATCGCAGTTGCGGTCAAAAGAGGAACAAACAACCCTGGAGATTGAAGGTTGAGAACCTTGATGCCATGCCCATTGTCTTGGATTTGCAGGAGCTTGAGGCCGCCTTCCTTGACCATAACGTTGATGTGCGTTGATTTGGCGTCGATGCAGTTCTCCATCATCTCCTTGAGGGCGTTCGCTGGCCGCAGCACTACCTCACCAGCCGCGATTCTGTTCACAACGGTCTCATCGAGCTTCTGGATGCGCCTCGGAAGTAGAGCTGGGGGCGGCACCGAACCCGCCGCTGATGTTGGTGTTGCTGTTGCTGATGCGGTTTGGCCCGAGCTTGGCATCACAGGCGAAGCACTGGGCTGATTACCGGTCTGCTCTCCCCCTGCATCCATCTCCATCTTCTCAACCGCTCTTTGCCGGTTGCCCCCTTCCCGCCCAAATTGTTTTCCTCGCAATTTGTCCTTTGTTTTCCAAATTTTCATTGTTTTCCTTTTGTTTTTCCTTCAAATCTAGATCTTTTTCTTGTTGAGGAAGCGCAGGGAGAGGTAGGCCAGCGTGTGGGCCAACACGATGGAGCCCGCGAGGAAGAGGAAGTCGGCCCAGATCTTGGTTTCGACGTTGGCATGGTCGAGCACGGCCTCGCCCGTAATGACGCCGCCGGTCAAATCAGTCGCGTACTGGCTGTTGACCGTGGATGGCGTGAAGGTGTCGTGTCCGATGTGGTACTCGTTGAGGAGAGCCAGTTCGTAGGTGTACTTCATGAACGAGGTCCAGCGCGCCCAGAAGATCCAATCTCGCAGCGTCCTCCTGCTGATGAAGAATCCACCTGAACAAGAGAAGATAATGCTGTGATGTGAGCACCGAAATTATGAAGAAGACGAAGGGGCCAAAGCGTACCGAGAAGTATAGTGACCAGGAGAATGATGACGGAGAGCACCATCGCCTTGGACATGTCGGGAATGGTAGTCCCGATGAGGAGGCCCATGACGCTGCTGAAGACGGCGAGCATGCAGATCGTGAGGACGTACAGGAAGAAGGCCCCGGCGTGTTCCGTAAGTCCCACCTGCAGGAAAAGAACGAAGAAGAACGAATAGAACGAAGATTGATGAACACCGGCACTGATGATGCCACCTATTCATGGGTAGTACTCGTGGTGTAACGTACCATCCAGTAGGTGATTACGGCGTAAACGAAGGGGAGAACCAGCATGAGTGGGACCTCAGCAAGGACCTTGGCCAAGTAGTACGCCGAGAGGCGGTAGGTGCCCGTGTCCCGCTCCTTGTTCAGCACCGCTCGCTCCGCAGGGACTAGAAGGCAGAGATTACTTGGGCGTCAGGCTCCAATCAACTCGCATTTGGCTGGCGTGTGAGCACGTACATGCCATCAACGTCTCGAACCAGGGCATCATCAGCCATTGCATCGTACTACATTGAGGCAAATGTGGAAAAGAAGTCAACACAAGCAAGTGAGTAGCTCGAGTAGGCAGAGTAAGGGACCATACCTGAAGAACAAGAATCCGTTTCGGTCGCCGATTTGTCTTTCTGTGGTGTTTGTGCATCCAGCTTCAGCAGATGCAGAGGGCCAAGGTTGTCGAGTTCAGGGAGTAAAGGGAGCGCACCGTCCTTGCCAAGACGCAACCACAGCAGGCCCGAAAGCACGGCGAGCGCCACGACGAGGACTACTTGCCGCCAGCACAAAATCTCGGCCCGCCGCTGCTTGAATGTGCGCTGGGCCAGGATCCAAAGCTGCAACCAGAAGGGCGTCGTGTACTTCTTCCCCTTTCTCAGGTCTTGCACCGTCCGCTCCAGCTCACTCTGGTCCTCTTCTTCTTGCATCTCCTTCTCCGCCGGCTGCTCCTGCTTCTGCTCCTGGGCAGCGTAGGAGTCGATCAGGAGCTGCCGCACGGTTCGTCCGTCCTTGCTCGGCTTGTGGCAGCTCACCACCTCGACTGCAGAACCGGCCTCGCATTCGCATCAGCAAAAAACGGGGAGACAATGACCATAGGCAATGAATGGGAGCCGTACGCATGAAGTCAGCCGCGTTGTAGCCGATTGGCGCGTGGAGGCCGAGCGAGGCAAAGTAGGAGAGGACGTCTTTGGTGGGACCCGAGTAGACCGTCCACCCGCCCTCGGCCAGCAGGATCACCCGGTCGAACATGAGGAACATGGCCGACGACGGCTGGTGGATGGTCGACACCACCGTGTGTCCGCTCTGGGCCAGCGCGCGCATCGACACCACAAGGCCCAGCGACGTCGCCGCATCCAACCCTGTTGTTGTTGGTATTCATGCATGAGGAGCGCATCAGACAAGGCACTTCTGCAGATGGAATGGAAGATGGGTGGGTACCGGTGGTGGGCTCGTCCAGGAAGACGAGTGGTCGGTTACCGACGATCTCCGTGGCGATGTTCGTTCGCTTTCTCTCGCCTCCGGACACGCCCCTCTGTTTCGTCACGATTAGTTCTTGTACGTGGGTAAGATCGAGGGCTGGGTGAATGATGCCCGTACGGTCCAGCCGTCGCCAACGATCGTGTTGGCGCATCGCGAGATGCCCAACTCGTTCAACACGTCCTCCACGGCAGCCTTCTTGTCGGCGGCCGACATCTTGCGCGGCAGCTTGAGCATGGCCGCCGTGCGCACCGTCTCCCGCACGCTGATCTCCGGGAAGAAAATATCCTCCTGCAGCACGTAGGCCATGCGCCGCTTGAGCCGTGCGGCCGTAATCTTGTCGTTGCCGTTGATCAGCACCTGGCCCGTGAGATGGTTGGCGCCGCCGTGGGTGATGCGCTTGGAGAGCACGTTGAGGAGGGTGGTCTTGCCCGAGCCGGTGGGACCCATGATGGCAACGAGCTCGCCCGCGCCCACACTCCCGCTCACGTTGTTCAGGATCGGTATCTCGCCGGTCTTGTAGAGGCCTAAGCGCGTGAGAAGCGCGGGCGGGAGCGGGAGGAACTTGAGCGCCGTCTGGAAGAAGCGGTTTTCGAAGGCCGGCTGTGCGTAGGTGATCTTGTAGTTGATGTCGCGCCACTCGAGGTTGAGCCTGTTCTTAGGCGGGCGGCAGGAGAAGGGTGTGTCCTGGTCTATTCGCGCGAAGATCGACGCCCCGAACTCGTTGGCAAGCTCCTCCTCATCCTGCTCGCGCCATACAGGGCATAATAATTTATTATTATTAGCATTATTATTATTACTATTATTACTACATTATTATTTTATAAAACATTCAAGTGAGGGTGGGGGGTGGCGCACGTCAAAGAGGTCTGTGGAGGGGCGGGCGGTGTATGGTCCGTGGTCCGCGGTGAGCGCATCGCCCACGTCTTCTGCCAAAGACCCGGAAGAAGAGCTCGAGCTGGTATCGGATAGCATGTGTGGTTGGTGTCCTCCGGTGCAGAACTCGGGTGTGAAGTAGACAAGACTGCCGCATTTCCGGCCGTATAAAAAGATAGCAACTCCGGGAGTTTCAAGCGACGGAGCCAACCAGAAAACGAAGCGCTAGACCAATCCAAATTTTGGCGAGGGTAGAGGAGGAAGAAACTCCAGGCCGGAATCAAAGAAGAAGATGGAGCCAGCCACGCCGACAACCCCAGCGCGCCACGGGCCTTGTATGACGTGCCGCCTTCGGCATGTGTTGTGCGACCGCCAGCGCCCCTGCGGCCGCTGTGCGCGACTGGGCGAGACAGACCACTGCGTGGACCCGCCCCGCGCGCACAAGAGAGGCCGCCCTCGCAAGGAGCACCCGCCCCCGCCTCCCACTCGAGCCGCAATCACCACCGCGGCACCACCCCTGCGCCCGGCCGCAAGGTCCACGACCGCTGAGCCCGTAGCCAGCAGCCCGCCCAGTTTGCAGGCGCCGACCAACGCGGGGAGCCACCAGCTCAGGGAAGAAGGGGAGGAGGGCCACCACGGCTTGGACAGACAAGGCGCGGAGGGAAGAGGGGGGCCGGTGCCACCGCTGGACACGACACTCTCGCTTGCCCTCCTGGTCGAGCTGAAGAAGGTGCGCCGCGAGTGCGCGGCCATGGCGGGCAAGCTCGACCGGATGGCCAAGCGGCAGAAGCTGATGCAGGGCCAGCTCGACAACCTTCTCCAATCTCCTTCCCGCTCTTCATCATCTTCAGCTTCTTCTTCTCCATCTTCAGCCTCTTCTTCTCCATCTTCTTCATCTTCTACTTTTTCTCCTTGGCGCCCTCTCGATCCTTCTCGCCTGCCGACTGGCTCGAAGGCGTGAGGCCCTCCCCCACCACCCATTTTCGCCTCCTATCCGCCCAGCCGTCGAGCAACCTGCTCAGCTGCCTGTCCGACCGGCCGTGGATGATCGAGCGCGTGGTGCCTCTCTCCGAACTGCGCCTGCCCAAGCACCGCTTCCCGGCAGGTAGCGAACAGTACCTCCGGCCAGGCCAGGAGATGCCCGCCACGCTGGTCACAGGCTTCAACGACCAGTTCTGCAACCTCTTCAAGTACTCTCGGGTTCGTGGCCCCACCTGTTATGTTCCGATGGAGTTTGTTTTGATGGTGTTGCTGATCTGTTGCTGAGGGGTGATGGGTGGATTGCAGGAGGAGCTAGAGGAGCTGAACGGGCTCCGCCTGTATCCGCGGTCAGTCTGGGAAGCGTTGACTCCTCTTGCCGAGGAGGTGTTCTGCAAGTGCCCCACTAGCGCTGGCCCCATTTACACCTTCGTGGCGCCCATGATCGACAAGCAAGGCGGCATCCTCTACACTGAGTGCCGCTGGCAGGGCTTCTACGACTGGCAAGGCACCATCTCCTGGGGCGTGAGCATCCTTGACCGCTGGAGCGAATCTTTCGTCAATCACCCCGAGCACCACCATCATCACCAGCCCGCCCTCCCACAACCAGCAGCACAAGAAGAGGCGGCGCCTGCCAGCCAACCCCATCATCTTCACGCCGACCCTACACCTGCTCATCACCACGACCCAAACAGCTTCCTTGACCACCACCACCACCCTCCTCCCACGCTCGATGACCTGTTGTATGCTCACTTCTTTCAAGACCCCCCTCCAACATAAACCACCCAAGCTGTTGTCCGTGGGTTCCTCTTCGCCGCATGGCTGGTACACTTGGTTGCACGTCGACCAGACCGGAGTCCAAGTACTCTGGAGCGGTGGCTGGCCAAGACACAGCCATTTCAAAAACAATTCTAAGATTTATATCGGTATCTAAGTGAAGACCTGCTACATCTGAGCCATTAGCCCGGAAGCAGGCGCACATTCAACGACGACAGTGATGCGCTTGTTTAGGTAGTAGCAAGGGTCGCCAAGGATGTTCAACTCGCTTGGGTGGCTGATGGTGCAGCTCTTCTTGCCCAAGCAGCGCGAGGCTGCAATGTGCATGATCGCTGTCGAGTGGCAATTGGGGTCGATCGCGTAGTTTGGACAGACGCCTGTTGGCAGACCATACGAGGCAAACGGAATCCTGACAACCACCTGAACACAGTCACACCTACGGTCAGCCATTGGTCTTAACACTATCACCCCCAAACTCTCTTCTGCTTCTTCTTCTCTTTCATCTTCTGCGCTTGGCGGTGTTTGGTTGTACCGAGCCGGCTGGGCATGTGATGGTGGTTTGCTGCCACTCGGGCGCAGTGCCACACGCGTACGTGTGGGACGGCGGCAGGGCCGGCAAGGGCGAGATCGAGGGCTTGGGGGCGAGCGGTGCGCATTGGGCCACCAAGCGCAGGCGCTTGTAAACTTTGGTGCAGGTGCCACCCAAAGGACCGAATTTCTCCGCGTTCTGCACCACGGAGCAGTTGTTGCGACCCACGCAGAGGCTCGCCACGGTGCCAAAGACAGTGTGCGACTCGCAGACAGGTTCACTGACGTAGTTGGGGCAAGTGCCCGTCGGCAGGCCGTACGACACGAAGGGGATTCCCACAATCACCTGGTGCGCAAGAACAATGACAATGGCAACAGCAAGAAAGTAAGCGACCGTTGCAAATGACGAACACAATCCGATGGAAAGAACATGCTTTTAAATGGAGGGATTAATGCAAAGGGTCAGCATACCCAGTCGGAGGGGCAAACAATGGAGGCTGAAGCGCCCTCAATGTCCGATGCGCCACATACCAGGGTTTCAGCAGACGCGCTTACCACCAGCAGTACGAGGGCCGCTACGAAGAAGACGAACGAAGGGCGGTTGTCACTTCTCATCTTGTGCGCGGGTTGTGGTGCTAGTTTTCCTGCTCGGGTATTAAAAGCTTGGCCAAATGCATTTCGAAAATTTAACGTGATCGAGGAAAAATTGCAGATGAGGCTGGTGGAGGTGAGAAAGAAGAAAGAAAAGAGAGGGGGGGGGCAAGAAGAACAAGGCCAATGCGTCGCCAGTGGCGCCTACGCCAATTCAATGACCACGCCTACAAACCCCAGCGCGCCACCGGCCTTGCATGACGTGCCGCCTCCGACATGTGTTGTGCGACCGCCAGCGCCCCTGCGGCCGCTGCGTGCGGCTGGGCGAGACTGACCACTGCGAGGACCCACCTCACGCGCACAAGAGAGGCCGCCCTCGCAAGGAGCCCCCGCCTCCGCCTCACCCACTTCCTGCTCCCTACACCACAACCACCACCGCCGCCATGGCTCCATTCCCGCAGCACCCAGCCCCAGTCCCAACCAACCACAACAGCATCCACGAGGAGGGCGAGGAGGGCCACCACGACTTCAGCAGACAAGGCGTGGAGGGAAGAGGGGGGTCGGCGCCACCGCTGGGCACGACACTCTCGCTTGCACTGCTGGTCGAGCTGAAGAAGGTGCGCCGCGAGTGCGCGACCATGGCGGGCAAGCTCGACCGGGTGGCCAAGCGGCAGAAGCTGACGCAGGGCCAGCTCGACACCAAGATGATTACGTCTCCTTCCTCCTCTCCATCATCTTTTACTTCTACTTCACCGTCCACTTCATCGTCCTCTCCACCTCCACGACTCTTCGCCGACTGGCTCAAAGGCGTGCGACTCTCCACCGCCACCTCCGCCCACATCCACGTCCGCGTCCTCTCTTCTCGGCCGTCGAGCAACCTGCTCAGCTGCCTGGCCGACCAGCCGTGGTTGATCGAGCGCGTGGTGCCTCTCTCCGAACTGCGCCTGCCCAAGCACCGCTTCCCTGCGGGCATCGAACCGTACCTCTCGGCAGGCCTCCGACCAGGCCAGAAGGTGCCCGCCACGCTGGTCACAGGCTTCAACGACCAGTGCTGCAACCTCTTCAAGTACTCTCGGGTTCGTGGCCCCATCTGCTGCGTGGTGGCGGGCATGCGTGTGTGGGCGGGGGTGATGATGACATGGTGTGGCTGATGTGGGTACTACATGTGCGACTCGCAGGAGGAGCTAGAGGGACTGAACGCCCTCCGCCTGTATTCACGGTCAGTCTGGGAAGTGTTGCCCGCCATCGCCGAGGTGGTGTTCAGCAAGTGGCCCACCACCGATGGCCCCGTGTACCACTTCACGACGCCCATGATCGACAAGCAAGGCGGCATCCTCTGCACCGAGTGCCGCTGGCAGGGCTTCTACGACTTGCAAGGCAACTTCTCCTGGGGCGTGACGGTGGTCGACCGCTGGAGCGGACCGTTCATCAATCACCTCGAGCACCACCAGCAACCTCCAGAACCTGTGGAAGAGGCGGCGCCCACCAGCCAACCCCATCACAACCCAACCAACTTCGTTGACCATCCTCCAACACTCGATGACTTGCTGTACAGTCACTTCTTTCAAGACGATCCACCAACATGAAACCATCCGTATGCACTTGACAGACATGATGTCGAGCAAGAACTCATCTCAGTGTGTTAAAACTGCTTCTTGTTGAGGAAGCGCAGAGCCAAGTAGGCCAGTAGCCGTGTGACAATGATCATGCCCACCAGGAACAGGACGTCGGCCCAGATGTTGGTTTCGACGTTGAGGTAGTCCAGCACGTCGTCGCCCGTGATCACGCCGCCCGTCGTCGGGTACTGGTTGTTCACCGCCGCCGGCGTGTAGGTGTCGTCGCCCACCTTGTACTCGGTGAGGAGGAGCAGCTCGTAGCTGTACTTGATGATTGAGATCCACCGGGCCCACGCAATCCACACGCGCAGGGTCTGCTGGGACAGGAAGAACCCGCCTGCACACACCTGTGTCAATAACCGGCGAGCAACCTCAATTGCTCAGCAGCCGCCCATGGGCTCGTACAAGCGTGACGTACCAAGGATGATGGAGCTGAGGATGAAGATGACCGAGATGGTGATGGCCTGCTGCATGTTGGGGATCGCTGCGCCCACTATGAGGCCCAATCCGCTTCCCAGGAGCGTGAACAGGCACAGGCTCAGGAGCCACAGGAAGAAGGCCCCCGCGTGCGCGGACAAGCCCACCTGTGTGACGCGCAAGCCAAGCAAACGAAAAGAGTGGGTGGTGAGAGGCTCGGCATAGAGGAGAAGTGGATTGGGGTGTGTGGCCACTGCGTACCACCCAGTAGGTGATGCAACCGAAGAAGAGCGGAAGGACGAGATCAAGCGGCGTCTCGGCGAGGACCTTGGCCAGGAAGTAGGAGGACAGGCGGTAGGTACCCGTGTCCCGCTCCTTGTTCAGCACTGCCCGCTCTCCGGGGACTGTGGCGAGCATTGTGTCAGCTAAGTTATCTGCGTGGGAGATAAGGTGGTTCTCGCGAGAACACGTACAAGCCAGCATGGTCATGAACATCGTCTCCATCGTCCAATACATGGCACTGTAAAACAGGAACGCGTTGCGATCGGCCAAGCTCTCCTCTGGTTGTCGCCCCCGCGTCAGTGGAACAGGTCAACGATCATGATTCAGATAGAAGGGGGGTCGGTCGGTACCGTCTTTGTCCATTCGCAGCCAGAAGAGGCCGGAGACGATGGCGAAGACAACCACGACGATGATCTGGGGAGTGGAGAGGATCGCTGGTCGGCGCTGCTTGAAGGTGCGCACGGTGAGCACCCGCAGTTGCTGGAGGAAGTGCGTCGGGTACTTGGCCCCCTTCCGCACGTCCTTGAGCGACGCCTCTTCTCCCCACTGGCCCGTGTCGTTCTTCGTAGTGGTACTCTTCTCGTGCTGATCGTCGTCGTCGTCGGCGGCGATGAGCAGGGGCTGCTTCTTGTCCCCGTCGTCCGTGGTGGGGTGGTTGGCAGCGTAGGAGTCGATCAGGAGCTGCCGCACGGTTCGTCCGTCCTTGATCGTGCGCGTCGAGCTCACCACCTCGACTGCAGCGCCCAGCACCGCAGTGTCAGCAAAAGCAAAGCCAAAACAAAAAGACACAACTGATGAACTGTGGAGTGGGGGCCTACGCATGAAGTCGGCTGCGTTGTATTGTGGGCCGGGCGTGTGGAGGCCGAGCGAGGCAAAGTAGGAGAGGACGTCTTTGGTGGGACCCGAGTAGACCGTCCACCCGCCCTCGGCCAGCAGGATCACCCGGTCGAACATGAGGAACATGGCCGACGACGGCTGGTGGATGGTCGACACCACCGTGTGTCCGCTCTGGGCCAGCGCGCGCATCGACACCACAAGGCCCAGCGACGTCGCCGCATCCAACCCTGTTGTTGTTCATGCGCGCACCAAGCAAGGTCAGTCGACTGGTGCTTCCCTCGACACACTCGCACACGCACACAGGCACGTACCCGATGTGGGCTCGTCAAGGAAGACGAGGGAGCGGTTGCCTACGATCTCCGTGGCGATGTTTGTTCGCTTCTTCTCGCCGCCAGATATGCCCCTCTGTGGCCCACGATCGCGCACACCGTGGTCAGGGGATCAGCTCCAATCTCTAATCATAGATCGAGGGAGGGCGGGTGGAGGCACTGTACCTTCCAGGCGTCGCCCACGATCGTGTTGGCGCACCGCACAATGCCGAGCTCGCTCAGCACGCTCTCGACCGCGGCCTTCTTATCGGCGGCCGACATCTTGCGAGGCAGCTTGAGCATGGCCGCCGTGCGCACCGTCTCCCGCACGCTGATCTCCGGGAAGAAGATGTCCTCCTGCATCACGTAGGCCATGCGCCGCTTGAGCCGCGCCGGCGTGACCTTGTCGTTGCCGTTGATCAGCACCTGGCCCGTGAGGTGCTTGGCGCCGCCGTGGGTGATGCGCTTGGAGAGCACGTTGAGGAGGGTGGTCTTGCCCGAGCCGGTGGGACCCATGATGGCAACGAGCTCGCCCGCGCGCACGCTTCCGCTCACGTTGTTCAGGATCGGAATCTCCATGGTCGAGCCCAGGCAGCCCGTCAGGGCACCGGGCAGGGGGAGGAAGCCGAGCAGGAGGCGGAGCACGGGGTTGGCGGGCGGCGTGGGCACGACGAACTTGAGGATGAGGTTGCGCCACTCGAGGTTGAGTCGAAGTCGCGGCGGGACTTGCGAGCAGGGCGTGGGCTGATCGATGCGGGCGTACTGGGAGACCCCGAGCCTGGAGTAATCCTGCACCACGCGGGGGGGGATAGATGTTATCAAATGATAAGTAGAGTTTGGGGGGGGGAAGTGTAAGTGAAAAGATGGTAGCTTGCTCACCTCGGGCAGCTGCTCTTCGGTTGCCAACTCTGTCATCTCGAGGTCTCTGTCGTCATCGCTGCTTGTGCTCGATGTCATGGCGGCGGGTAAGGGGGTGTGGTGATAGCAGTATGGAGTCTCGGCGGAGGCTCTTGAGTTGTTTGCCTCGGCCCGTCGGGCTCCGGCTTTTTGTGTCGGCGGGGTTTAAGCTTAGCAGCGACGAGCCAACCACCGAACGAAGCGAGTTGGCCAATCAGACAAATCCCTGATGGTAGCGAAATTTCATCGTAGTGATCAACCGTGTGTGGAATAACGCTGTCATCCATCTATTGGTCCTGCCGGCAGCTTCACAGCGCGATAGTCGTAGTAGTTGGTGGGAGGCCCAAACGTGTCGAGCCACTCCAGGGTCGCCATCTCGGTACCCTCCCTGCCCGGCTGTGGCTTACTGTCGCTGCTACTGCGGCATTCGTCCCCCGACACGCAGCAGAGCAGAGCCCGGAAGCGTGGGTCGGCAGGCCGGCCCTGACCGTCGCGGCGTTCGGGTCCGCCGTGGATCACGGAACAGCCCCCCTCGCCGTAGCACTGCCATCGATAGGAGCACCACACCCTCTCGTAGAAGCCCTCCTGCAGCAATGCGCGCGGCGGGTGGAACGGCAGGTGGTGGGAGTTGGTGGGCCGGCCCAGACAGGCGTGCTCGGCCACGGTGAAGCCGCAGGCGATACAGGTCATCGCGGGGGTCTTGCACCGCAGGGGCTGGTCCCACCACCACTCCGGCACGTCGTCACCGGTGAAGGAGCCCTTCGATTTGGCGGCCAGCTGGGCCAGGGAGTCGCGTAGTGGGCTCGGGGCCGGTCCGGCGTAGGTCATCACCGAATAGCGCGAGCCGTGGTCGCCCAACTTCTTCTCCTCCTCTTCGTCGCGCATGTAGGCCTTGCACGCGCAGGTGGGCGCCACGAGGGACCCGCAGCCGGCCGGGCACCTGAGGCGCCCCTGCTTCGGATCCCACATCAGGTAGTGGCCGCAGCCGGTCGGCACCGGGACCGGCGGCAGGTCCGGCTCGATGTCGTTCCTGTCGTCGACGTTGGCCTCCCAGCCGCGGACCGGGGCGGGCGGGCGGCGGCCCTGGCACCTGAACCCACCCACGCGCCACTGGCACCTGGGGCAGGAGAAGACGGGCACGGACTCGTCCATGTGGTAGAGCAGGCCCTTGAAGTTGCTGGCCAGCGGCAGCGGCGCGGCCTCGTCGTAGAGCGCGGGCTCGAGCCGTGGGTGACGGGCTGCCAGCTTCATCCGGGCGGCCTGTTCGGTGGGCGACGGGGCGGCGCCCGTACGGAACCGCGAGCAGGCCAGCTCGAGGGCCACCAGGTCGCGCGCCTTGATAGCCGGCGTGCAGCAGATGAGGATGAGGAGCTCTATGGGCAGCTTGAGCATCAGGTCGCCGTTGGCGCCCTGGTTTAAACGAGACCACGCCACAGTGGCCGACGTCGACTTGGTGGGTTTGGTGCCACTCTTCGGCTGGCCAGGCTGCGGAGGCGGGGCAGAGGGGTTCCTCGCCGCTCGTCGCGTCCAGCGGTCCTTGACCGAGGAAAAGTCTTCTTCGCCTCCCGGTGCGCTCATGTATGTGGTGGTCTCTTCTTCTTCTCTCTTTCTCTCTTGAGTGTTTTTGCTTTCCTCTTCCTGCTGTCGTGTTGTCTATCGCTTGACTTCAAGGAAAGCCTGATTCTCGGATGGCTAAAGAGAAGAAGAAAAAGAAAAAGAAACTTGTTGAGGGCAGCGAATGGAATGCTTGGAATTTTGACTTCGTCTGCGTCTTCGTGGGAAAGCTTGCGCGAAACCTCCATCACGCGCTCACGAAGATGCACCGCCTTGCCGTCGTTGTCGCCCTTTGTTTGGGTATTGCCTGCGCGGCCGCTGTCGCTCCGCCGAAGTGGCCTACCACGGTACCAACTCTTCCGACGCCGGCACACTGCGCTACTTTTTTTCTTTGGGAATCATTAACCATTAGTTAAATTCTCAACCCATGTTCTTTCTTCATGCCTTGCTCTTGTCTCCGAACCCAATAGTATCTCGTGGAGGGCACCATTAGCATTCCGTACTTCAACATTACGGAGCCTGTGACCACCAACTACGACGGGCTCAACAACCGTCAGCGCTTCGATTTCTACAATGAGCTGGTACCTCTCCCCAATCGCTGTCCATTCCCACTGTGCACAGATTCTGAGGCCAAGAAGTGCAACATCAACATCATCATCGTCCGACTCCGGATGGAGTTTTTGTGTCCGGATCTTCTTCTTGATGCTAAATTCCCTCTCTTCGCGCTCGCAAGACCACGAACATCTACGATTACCGCAACGGTGCCGGATTCGAAGTCGTGCCCCGTATCGACCGCAAGGTGTGCTTCAAGTCCAACGTTGCCGGCGGCTCGCTCATCAACGTCCTTCCGGACCTCTCCAACTACCAGTATCAAGGTCAGTTGCGCCCTCGCTCTCTATGCACTCGTTGCGTTGCTTCTCTCTTAAGACACGTGTCTTGTGTGGCCCGCGCACAGGCTTGACCCGTGTGAACGGTTGGCTTGTGGAGAACTGGGAGCTCACGCTCAGGAACTTCAGCGCCGTGCAGAAGTACAACATGTACCTCTACAGGGAGCCCGGACACCAGGGTGTTGCTCGGCCCATTCAGTTCTACATGAGCGGCCGCAACGCCATCTTCGACTCCCACAGCGGTGCTGCTTCTTCTTCTGCGCTCCGCTGGCCTCCCATTCGAAGGCCGCCCCTCACCCATCGTGATGGCTTTGTGGGCGGCACACATACATACAGACATCTACATCATGAACTACCACCTGTACCAGCCCGGCTTCAGCACGCCTCAGGCCTACGCCATTCCCTCCGTTTGCTCCCAGTCGGCCGCCCTGCCCGCCACCCCTTCGGGTAAGTACCCTTCGCGTTCCGCCTCGTGCACATTCCCCCCCCCCACCGCCACCGCCACCTAACTGTTGACTGCGTGCCACCGCGAACTAGTTCAACACGCTAGCCGCAGGAAGCTGTCCGTTCTCCGCAAGATGTTCCAGGCCAGCCCCGTGCCGGACCACAACGACGAGGTACACAAAGGCATCCGGAGAAGTGCACCCGTGGTGTCAGGCGGGAAACTAATTTTTCGTGTGTACGATCTACCTTCTGGTCTCGCGCAAATAGGTCGCCGCCCAGTTCGCTGCCCACGCGCACAAGTTCGGCAAGGTCTACGCCGACCACAGCGAGTACTCGATGAGGCTCAACATCTTCAGGAAGAACCTGGAGTACATCGAGCAGTACAACAAGAAGGACACTGGCATGAAGCGTACGGCAGCAGCCCGTCTCGTCTTGCTATCCGCCCATTTCCATCACTTGATGGTGCTGATGCGCATGTCGTGAGCACGTGCAGTTGCCATGAACCACTTTGGCGACATGACCTACGACGAAATCGTGGACGTCATGCTCCCCTTGGCCAAGAAGTACTGCATGCCCGCTCGCGCACAGCCGCAACACACTCGCTGCGTACTACATAGTCCGCTAACCAAACCGTATTGATTGGCACGTGTCCACACTTCAGGCAGGATAAGGCCGTCAGGCGCGCTCCTTCCACCCCCGTCGACCACCAGATCGACCCGAGGGAGCTCGCTGCTCTGCCCGGCGCCATCGATTGGGTTGCCAAGGGTGCCGTCACGCCGGTCAAGGATCAGGGCTCGTGCGGTTCCTGGTATGGAGCGTCTTCCTGCTTTCCATGTCCTCTGACTAGTCTCAGATTACCCGTTTACCTCCGATTGACTCGATTGTGCGGTGCATCACATCATCAGCTGGACCTTTGGTACCACCGGTACGCTGGAGGGTGCCTGGTTCCTTAAGACGGGCAAGCTCGTGTCCCTGTCCGAGCAGCAGATCGTCGACTGCGCCTGGGTGCGTGCCATGCCGCCACAGGGCCGTTTTGGAGTCGTTCCTCTCCAGCGTGTTCGTACCAAGGCACTACTGACGCACAGCTGTGCTCTTCAGGGCTACGAGTGGTCTGGCCCCAGCGGCAATCTTGGCTGTGATGGCGGCTATGCTTCGGGTGCCATCCAATGTACGTGCCGTTTCGAGGGCAGAGACCTCCCCCCCCATTAGGTGTGGGCCGATTCGCTCACAACTCTTCGCGGTTCTGATGATGGTCATGGCGTGGGGGCATGCAGGGGTCATCGACAACGGCGGTATCGCCCTGGAGGAAAGCTACCCTTACCTCATGCAGGACGCTTGGTGCCTCAAGACCGACCGCAGCTCTGGTGTCAAGGTACCTAACCGGATACGAGCGAAGCGCAGTTCAGTTTGGGCGGTATCGGTACATGCGAAGCGTTGATATTGACGGCCCATGTCTGTCCCTCTGCGCTCTACAGGTCCAAGCCTACGTCAACGTGTCGGCCTCCGAGGCGGCCCTCCAGATGGCCGTGGCCACTGCTGGCCCCGTCGCCGTGGCGATTGACGCCTCGCACCCCGAGTTCCTCTTCTACTCCAGCGGTGTCTTCTACCTCGCCGAGTGCAAGAACGACGCCAACGACCTGGACCACGGTATCGCCTTGCTGCAATCACCACCTCCCCCACTAAACTCAAATCCTAACGCTTCGCGCGGGTGCAGAGGTGCTGGCCGTGGGCTACGGTACCGAGAACGGCCAGGACTACTGGCTCGTCAAGAAGTACGGCTCCTTCTTACCAGTTGTGCGCTGATGACCACCTGTCTCACAAACCGTCTTCACAATTACAACTCGCAATAGCTCGTGGTCCACTCACTGGGGAGAGAACGGCTATGTCAAGATGGCAAGGAACCGCGGCAACAACTGTGGCATTGCTGTACGTACCCCTCTCTCTCTCTCTCTCTCTCTCTCTGCGCTGGCGCTCTCTTGACGATGTCGCGACATGCTCTCTTCATTGGTTTCGGCTGAGATGTTGATCCTTTTTTTCGCGCACGCACGCACCAGACTCAAGCCAACTACGCCATCATCTAAAGCGGCCGCTTCCTGCTTGCTTTATTTTATTGCTGCTCAACGTTGTGGTCTCGCGTTGCAGTCAACTTCTTCAATACAGTACGGGTACACGGCTACCGTTTTGTTTCAAACCATCGTCGTGTGCCATCCATGCCATCGCCTCCCTATCTCCATCATCATCATGTCCAGTAACGTTCTCAACAGATCTAGAGGGTGACACTTGTGGTACACTCATGCTTGTATCGGGCTGGATTGTCGCCGCCACAAGGAGAGAAGCCTCGTCGACGATCCCCTTCCATCGCGACCAGTAGGGGTCGGGGGGTGGAGGGAGCAATGCGTTTTCTTTTCTAACGCCGATTTCTTTTCCCCTTTCCAGAAGGCCTTGGTCTTTGCTGCTGTTGTTGTTTGTACGGAACGCGGAACACAAACAGAGGAGGACGGAGGGACAGGGTCCATCCTTCGATCTTTTACGTCAGTCGAGATACAACGCCACCAAGTGAGTCGGAGCGCCACCGGGAGAGCGAAGGCAGGAGGAATGAAGGAGGTCACGCACAGATACGAAAAAATTACACCCGAATCTCGGGCCAACTTCTCAGATGACGAGGGCAGCCTTACGGGCTACAACGAACCACCTCCTGACAAGGTACTCGAGCCGTAATACTGCCACAATTTCTTATCATCCCCTCAGATTTTGGTTTTTACAAATCTGTTGAAAATTTCCATTCAATTTCCATCTCTGTGCTTGACTCACCCGCTACTCATGTGCACCTCCAGTTCAATCTGGCATGGCTCATCTTCTGCCTGTTGGGGGTGGGGCTGCTCTTCCCGTGGAACGCCCTCCTGACCGCTGCCGATTACTTTGCCACCCTCTACCCCAAATTTGCCTTCTCATTTGGTGTGTACTCCCTGCCACATTTCCTGATTTTTATTTTTCCCCCCTATTTTTTAATACCGAGATATATTTTATTGTACTCCATAAGCTTGCAATGTTTTTTAATCAAAAAACAATTTATTCTTTATTTCTATGCAGCGCTGTCGCTGGCCTACAACTGGCCCTCCGTGATCATGCTCCTCCTGACCATCCGATGGGGCCGCAACTTCTCCTTCACCTCCCGAGTACGCGCCTGCCTTCAAGCAGCATTTCAAGTGACCTTCTTGGTTGTTGTTCTTCCCGGAGCGCTGACCAGTCTTCTCGGTGGGTGGTGGGTCTTCTTCCCCGAAAAGATTGTTGTCGGTTTCACGATCGACGTGATCGTGCAGGTCATGGTTCCCCTCATCAACCTCGACGGTGTCCCCTATCCCGTTAATCTCATCGTCACCCTTGGTGGAGTGTTCGCCACAGGTCACCTCTCCTACCACCCCTCGCACGCGCTCGTGCTGTGTTTTTCTCACACCGCGGCCGGTTGTTGTTTTTCTGTTTGTTGAACAGGATGCGCCACAGCGATGCTGTTTGGAACTATCCTGGGCTTGGCCTCGATGTTTCCGCCCACGTACGCGCCAATGATCAATATCTCTGAGTTGATGGTGGCGCCGCTGTGCGCAGATCCGCCGCGACGACGACGAAATACTAACCTGGTTGTCCGATCGTCCATGCCGCCTTCTCAGGTACATCACGGCTGTGATGAGCGGCAACGGAGTGGCAGGCATCATTGCGGGAGGCCTCCGCTGCATCACCAAGGGATCCCTGCCCAATGGTATGGTTATGTGGCCATTCAGAGACCAATCGCTGTCGCAGTACTCCCCCTCCTCCTCCTCCATGTGTGTTACTCACGCCTGTGGCGGTGTGCTGTGCGATCAGATATGCAGACGTCGTCGATGATTTACTTCGCTCTGTCGGGATTTATCCTCTTCCTCTGCATCGTCGGCTACTTTGTCCTCCTGCGACTGCCGATCACCAAGTACTACATGGCCCAGTCTCAGGTGCGTCTCGTCGCTTCTACTTCGCGTTCACTCTTTACTTGAATTCAATTTTGTCTCCTGATTAATTGAATTGTCATCGCGTTGTGCAGAAGGAATCGGGCCAGCCAAAGAAGGGTTCGATCAACGATAGCGTCGACCCGGTGTATTCCACCGACGACGAAGAGATCGTGGCCGGAGCCTCTCAGCAGAAGAAGGTCCACTACTTCTCGCTCATGAAGCGTATCTGGCGCGAGGCTCTCGTGGTCTTCACCATCTTCTTCGTATCGCTCTCGCTCTTCCCCGGTACGTACTACCATACATAACCACCCTATCCCTCGTTGGTTGACAGAGCCTGACGCAATTGATCGTCTTTCCAGGCATGACCGCACAAATTCACACGGCCACCCACTCGCTGTCGCAAGAGTGGTTCGTGATCCTGATGATCGTATCCTTAGACACACGACACGACACGACACGACACGACACGACACGACACGACACGACACGACACGACACGACACGACACGACACGACACGACACGACACGACACGACACGACACGACACGACACGACACGACACGACACGACACGACACGACACGACCAACGACACGACACGACCAACGACACGACACGACCAACGACACGACACGACCAACGACACGACACGACCAACGACACGACACGACCAACGACACGACACGACCAACGACACGACACGTGGCACGCACGACACGAGCACATTGTTCCCTCCTTGACTTGCCGACCCAAAGTTCAACTTCCAAATCTTCGATTTTATCGGTCGCACGCTGCCCAAGTTCTTCATCCTCTTCAGTGCCCGATGGCTGTGGGTCCCCACCTTCGCCAGGTACTTTATTCCGTCCTCCGTGGGGTGTGTGGTCCGTTTATCTGATCGCACCACCGTGTCACGCGCCATAATCCCAGGTGCGCGTTCTTTGCGCTGTTCATTCTGTGCATCAAGCCGCTCATCTTCAACCACGACGCCTGGTACCACGTGTTCATGGCCATCTTCGCGCTCACCAACGGCTACTGCGGCAGTACGCGCCCTCCTCCCAGATGATTTACGCGATTGCGGCTAAAACCGTGCGTGTGTGCTTTTTCTTCCACTGCTAGCGTTGGCGATGATGTACGGCCCAACCAATGCCAAGGATCACGAGAAGGAAACCGCTGGCGCCATCATGGTACCCGGCCTCTCTTCTCGTTCTCCTCAGCACTTTCGTGTCAACGGCTGATCGTTCCCCCCCCCCGCGTGCATACAGTCCTTCTTTCTCAACTTTGGCATCTTCCTGGCCGCCCACTTTGCCATCCTCCTCCTCTACGCCGTCGAAGGAACCCTTCCGTGGGACTCCTCCTAAACAACATCTCCACTTGCTTCGGCCACCGTCTGTTGTCCCTCCTTTCCTTTACATTTCCCCCCCCCCCAAAGTGGTGTTGTTGGCCACCAAGAAGGTTCCGTTGCGTGTTGTGAAAAAAAGAATCTGCGGTCATGTACAATGCTAGAAGGGGATGGGAGGCTCCAGCAACCTTTCAGCTGAGGAGGCACCTGGTGTTCTTGGTGTGGCCGTTGGGCTTGATGGACGGGCGTCGACCACTGCCGCTGATGGCGCTGTCATCGTAGGGGTCGCCTTTCCTGGCGCCACCCGCACCGGCGGCACCACTGCCGCCGTCCATGCCGTAGAGGATGAACTCCTCCATCTGGTGGACGTCTCGCATGGTCGTCTCGTTGGAGGCCGCGAGCACGAGCACCTCCTTGACCGCGTCGTGGAGGGCAAAGTCGTGGAGGGAGAGGCCCAGCTCGACCACCTCCTCGTTGTCCTTGACCTGCACGCTGCCCAGGAAGAACACGAACTCCTCGAGCCTGAGCGTCTGCTTGGCCCTCGCGCGCTTGCTGCTCTTCTTCGTCTTGTGCTGCTTGTAATGATCGGCGGCTGCCACCACGACCGTCGGTTTGTTGCCATCGTCGCCGTCGGCCTTGATGATGGTCTCCTCCGCGGGCGGCGCGCAGATGACGCTCCGGTTGCTGTCGGTGAGGTCGGAATCGTCCTCCTCGGGCCTGCGCGCTCGGTCCGTGGAGCTCCTCTTCTTCTTGCCGTCTGTGGCCGGGTCGGATATGCTGCGCAGAGTCTTCTTCTTGCGGCGACCAACGCTGGTCGACGAGGATGACGACATGAGCGACGTCATCGGACACCCACCGGGCGGCGTTGCGGTTGCGCTGGCGCTCGATGCACAGGCAGGCGACACGGATAAAGTGGTCGATCTGCGCGGGCTGGCCGCCAAAGACATGGGACACCGGGGCGACCTCGGCGTTTGCCGACGCTCGCGAGTGTGGGACTGCTGTGTAGGCTGCTGCTGCTGCGGCGGCGGCGGCGGCGGCTGGGCCTTCCTCCGGAGCGTCCCGCCGCTGTTGCTGACCTGGCAGCCCTCTGTCGAAGAGATGACGTTCATCTGCCCGCGCAGCTTGAGTCGCTTGTTGTGCTTCGACTCGAGCAGGAACAGCAGATCCCTGTTGTCCTTGATCGCCTGGAAGCTCACGCCACCGTTGTCGCTCTTGTCGCGCGTCTCCCCTTCCCCGCCGTTGTGGGCCTCAGGCTCGCTGTGGTGAGTGCCATGGCCGCGCGGCTGCGGTACGGGCACGACCATCTCGGGCCGCACGACGCGCCAGTGCTGGCCAAAGTCGGAGCCGAGGGCCATCTCCGGACACAGGCGCTGGAGGACCTCGCCGGCCTGCACGATCTTGAGGTCCTGCGACAGCACCAGGTGGAAGGGGAACGCCGCCGCGAAGCGAGTCGGCGGCAGGCAGAACTGCCAGCGGGCCTCGAACGCGCGCAGCTTGTCGTTCTCGTCGCTGCCGGCCGGGGCCGGGCATTCGCCACTGTAGTCGGGAATCGACGCGGTCGAGGCGCTGAGGTCTGCGCGGGTGGCGGTGGCGAGCAACGGCATGCCACCGATGCTGGAGTCCAGCGAGGACGGCTCGCCCTCCCAGCGCAGGAGAAAGACGTCGAAGTCGGCTCCTCCGTCGTCGTCGTCGGCGCCGTGGTGGCTGCGCTTGCCGGTGTGCTCGATCTCGAACTCCTCGAGATGAAAGAGGTCGGCGAGGCCCTTCATGAGGCCCACGACGAGCGGGGCGAGGCCGTTGCGCGTGGGCCGCCCGGGCCGGTAGTGCAGGGTGAGGGACTGGGGCGCGATGTCGGTGCACCAGAAGGTGGGCATGCGCAGCTTGGGGAACTGGGCCTGGATGTGCGTGTGCATGGCGTTCAGGTTGCATAGAAATTCGGGCAGCGATGACCCTCTGTGATTTATGTGTACATACATACGCCATTAGAGACCCTTCGGATCAATCTTAATCTTAAGATTGGGAGACGATGAGAAAGGGAAATGGAGACGATGGGGGAGTACCCGATATCGAAGAGAGATTTGTAGCCATGTTGACGTGTGTAGGAGACCCAGTAAAGGCCCACCCGCTCGAGCAGGTCAGGCGCCGGCACCTTCAACACCTCGCTCGCAGCACCCACCAACGCTGGACGAAGAAAGCCGTTAAGCAAAAAAGAAATTAACAGAGAAAAACGGAAACTAGCGCGAAACGGCAGCGAAAGAACGAAGGCAGAGACAACAGCCGCTTGCGACAGTGCTTCCAAAACCGGGAACAATGGGACAAATGCAGGCGTTGCTGCTTCACGACAAGGAAGTGCTTGAAGGGAAGAAGAAGATGAAGGAGGGAGGGGGCGCACCGTAGGTGGTTTCGTCGGGGTAGGAAGTGTTGGAGATGAAGAGGGCCTGGCAGCCGGCGAGTTTGACTATCTCGAGCCACGTCGCCTCCCCATAGTGCGACACAATTAGTGCTCGCACTGCCTTATTGATGAGCCCATACATGGCCCTCTCCGCGTGTCTCTTCTGCTTCTCTTTCCTTCTAATGCGTGTCTGCTACTATTGGTTTCTGGTGAAGAGAAAGAGAAAAGAGAGAAAAGAGGCTGCGCGTCTGCTTGAATGTTGGTTCTCTGCACACGAGTTAGAAGGAGATACGGGTGCTCGGTTTATGGTATAAACCTGGACTGCAGCGAAGAAGAGACACCGAATGGCTGGGCGGCCGTCACCCACACGGCCATAACCCAGCAGATGAGCCACCTGGAGGCTGGAAGTCTTGCGGGCCCGGTTCTCTTCATTGGACGTGCCCAGGTTGCCCGGCCTGCAGCTGTCTGTTCTTGACAGCCGCCACCCAAGCAGAAGCAGATTGACATTCCAGGTGAGTTTGTAGCTGTTGCCAATTGGTCATTATTTGAGCTATCAAGCACCAATGCCCTGGGGCCACTGCGGACACGATATATTTTGTTTGTGTTTTGTTGTATCTCTTTATCTGTTTTCGCCTCGACCCAATGGCAATGGAGCCCCTGACCTTGGTTGCTCTCGGCGTGGCCGCCGTCGTGGTCGCCCTTCTGGTCGCTAGGCGGTCCGTCAGTCCCGCCCCACCGCAGACAGGCCTCCTCAAGCCCTCAATCTTCAAGCCCACGCCGGAGATGAAGATTAGCGTACGCTTGTCCTCCCTCAATTTAATCCATTCAATTTTTTCTCATTTATTTATGAAACCCCACTCCCATTTTTATATATACTATTATTTTCACATGGTATAAAATTGTAAATAAAAAACCGAGTTAATACTTCTTCTCTGCGCCCCAACAGACCAAAGCGACTGGCCGGCGGTATTTGGTCGTGGGCGGCAGCGGTTTCCTCGGCTCACACATTGTCGAGGCGCTGCTTGCTCGCGGCGAGCAGCACGTGCGCATCTTCGACCAGCGGGAGACGCCTCTCTTCAAGGACCACCCGAAGGTCGAGTTTGTACTGGTACAGTCCACCTGCTGCTGCTTCACCATCATCATCGTCATCATCATCAGTCGCGACATGTGTGATGGTCACACATCGCGCAGGGTTGGCAATCCAAACTTACCCGTGTGCACACGTACACAAGGGCAACATTCTAAACAAGGATGACTGCAAGAAGGCGGTCAAGGGCATCGACAGCGTGTTCCACACGGCGGCCGTGATCGACTACTGGTCGCGCTTCGATTTCCAGCGCCCGCTCAGCTACGCGGTCAACGTGACTGGCCTCGAGGTACATACACCGTTGGCCTCGTCACTCCTGGCAATCAGTACCATTAAGATCTCGCGTTAATCGTTTCTCTTTTCGTCGACGAATGCAGAACGTGCTCTCCGCCAGCATCGCCGGGGGCGTAAAGCGCTTTGTCTACACCAGGTGCCCAGACCTGCGCTCACATTTTGAGCTCCTTCTCCGTTGCTTTTGGTGTGATCGACCACGCTGCTCACCTGAAACCACGGTCTTCCTGTCTCGTCTCGTCACAGCTCGTCGAATGTCATCCTGGGAAGCGGCGAGTCCATCAAGAACGGCGACGAATCCTGGCCGTACCCCGCCCGTCCCAACAACCACTACTCCGAGACCAAGGCCCTGGCCGAAAAGGTGCGCCTCGCATGGACCTCGATGAACTTAGATAAGGTGGCCTCACGTCTGATATTTCTCATCATCGATGCATTTCTCTCTCACTCTCTCCGGTCTTAGGCTGTCTTGGCCGCGAACGGGAAGCACGGCATACTGACTGGCGCGGTCAGGCCCAACGGCATCTTTGGTCCACGGGACAATGTACGACGCACCGCTGGGTGAAAAGCTCAGTGTTGGCTCACTCCCCCTGTTCACTTCGCCACGCAACAGATCATGGCCGAATCGGTATACAGGGCCGGCAAACCGGAGCCCATGCTCTGCAAAGGCAACCTACAGGTACAGTCCATACCACCTCTCTCCACTCCACCCCTTCTCTTCTCTCAACATGTTGTTGTTGAGCTGAGATCTAGGTGGACAACCAACAATGCAGGATTGGGTGTATGTTGAGAACGTGGTGCATGCTCAATTGCTGCTCGAAGGCGCGCTGAGCGACTCTCCCAACAGCCCTGCTGGCAAGGTGCGCGCTTCTTCTTCCTCCTTGCATCAGGTTTGATATTAAGAATGGTGTATGTACACCTTTTGTTGCAGACCTACTGCATTGCGGGAGACCGCCCGATGGAGTACATCGAGTTCTGGACCAAGCTGGTACGCAACATGGTGTTTGCACTTTGTGGGGGTTTGCTGTGATCCAATCTTGTGCCTGACCAACACTCGTCTTTCCAGAACCGAGCTGTTGGTGGCAAGGACGAGGACATCGTTGTGCTTCCCAAGCCCCTTGTGTGGACCCTGGCCATCATCAGCGAGTCCCTGACCTGGCTCTCGTTTGTTCCTCCTCCCATTGCGTGCGTGTGCGTGCGTGTATGTGTTGTATGTGTTGTATGTATTGTGGGTGGGTGGCTCACAACAATATATGCCACCAGGCGTGGCAATCTCAAGGGTCAGTTCTTCAAGCTCACACCAGCTGTGCTGACCATTGCCATGGCGGACATCTACCTCAACTACTCCCGTGCCAAGAGGGACTTTGGCTATGAGCCACCCTACACCATGGAGGAGGCCTTTGAGCAGTGCTCACACTACTACCAGCCTGAGCTCACAAGCCAGAAGCCCAAGACTCAACAATAACAATAACAGACCTGCAGTAGAAGGCAAAAAAGAAAGAGCCCGGCACGAGAACCGTGTGACGTGTCTCACTTTTTCTGGGGAGTTCTTGGGCGACTTTCTTTTGTTCCAAGGGAAAAAAAGATGAGCAGCAAGGCGACGATGCGCGCGGTGTCGGTGGGCGAGCCGGGGCACGGTGGACCAGAGCTGCTCTACGTGGCAGACGACGTGCCCAGGCCCGAACTGAAGCCTGCCCATCTGCTGGTCAAGATCAAGGCCACTGCACTCAATCGTGCCGACACGGTCCAGCGGTATAGGCCCCAACAAATAAAATACAAATAAAACGAATACAAATAAATCAATAAAATAAATAATCCTCGCAGGCTGGGCAAGTATCCGCCTCCGCCGGGCGAGTCGACGGTGCTGGGCCTCGAGATGGCGGGCGTGGTAGAAGAGGTAGGCGAAGGCGTGACCTCGTTCAAGGCCGGCGATCGCGTATGGTACAGTCTGAGCTCACCCTTAAATACAACATGTTCCCTCGTCCATGGCACCCACAACTCACTCACGCGATCGTCGCCTGAACATGTGTGCTCGTGTGGCATGTGCGTGTGCGTGCCGTGTGACATGGTCAGTGCGCTGCTTGGTGGCGGAGGCTATGCCGAGTACTGCGTCATCCACCAGGACACCGCCATGCATGTACATACCTCTGTCCATCACACACACACACACACACACACCACCACACCACACCGCTCTTTGTGTGTGTCGTATGTCGTGTAGTTGGCCTCATCCCACGACATGTTGTATTCTTCAGATTCCCGAGAACTTGTCCTTCGAAGAGGCGGCGGCCATTCCTGAGGCCTTTCTCACGGCCTACCAGGCGCTCGTGTGGATCGGCGGCCTCGCGGCCAACAAGCGCGTCCTTATCCACGCCGGGGTATGCTTGCCCCCTCTCCCTGCTGCCCTCTGCTTTACAGTGTACATGTGACATTGACTTGAGCTGTTGTCGCGTGTCTAGGCCAGCGGCGTGGGCACATCCGCCATTCAACTCGCCAAGCTGTTCGACAACATACAGGCATGTTGCACGTGTGCTGTGTGCTGTGTGCTGGTGCGCTGACGTTTCGTACACACGCAGGTAATCATCACGGCGTCGAAGGATAAGCTGAGCTTCTGTCATGAGTTGGGCGCCGACGAGACCATCGACCGCAATGAAAACGAGGGCAAGTGGGTCGACAAGGTGCTCTCGCTCACCGGAGGCAAGGGCGTCGACGTCATCATCGACTTCGTTGGAGCGTCCTACTGGGAGCAGAACCTGGCCGCTCTCGCCATGGGTACGCCCCTTCACTTTCGCTTTCGCTTTCTGTATCACTTTCATTTTTGCTTTTTGTGCTCAATTCAATTCAAATCAAATCAAAAATGCAGATGGCACAATGGTGATGCTGGCGTTCTTGAGCGGCTCCCAGATTCCCAGTTGTGATATTGCGGCCATCCTGCGCAAGCGGTACACATGCCTCACTTTAGAGAGATACTCAAACACCCTTTGTTTTTTAACACATCACACACACTGCGGTCATTGTGTTGTCTTTGTGCAGGTTGAACATTCGTGGATCAACGCTCAGGGCGCGCTCGCTTGACTACAAGGTGAAGCTTACCAAGGTAAGTTTTGAGATATGTGCATCCACATCGTCCAAATTTGTCTAGTGGCAATGTTGTGGCTGACCAGTTACACGATATGGGTCAGGAATTTGAGGCATTTGCAATGGACAAGTTCAAGGAGGGGTGGCTCAAGGCCCTCATCACCAAGACCTTCGCATGGGAGCATGTTGCTGATGCCCACAGGTACATGGAGAGCAATCAAAGTGTGGGCAAGATTGTGCTCAACGGCATGTAAGTTGTGGTAATACCACCATCGCAGCATAGTAGAATCACAGAGAAATAAAATGTTACAATTACCTCTTTACAGCATCTTCACACAATGTACATTGGTTTTGTATCTGGTTGAAGGCGATGCTGAGCAATCGGCCAAGCCCAAACGATCATCTCGACCGGGGTGGGAGGCGCGCTATGGCGGCGGTGTTGTGGTCGCCCACGCAGGGCGCCAGACTTGCGCAGACTGTCCAACGCCAACGCTCGATGTCGATGCACTTGGCCACGACATGTCTGCATGCGCCACCGCCAGGTTCAGCGCCAGCCAGCGGTAGAGGTGGGCGTGCCGGGCCTCATTGGCCAGCGCGTCCCGATGCTCGAACTACTAGAGCAGATTTTCGCACTGGCAGTCAGTGGCGCGCTGCCGCGTGGTCGCCCTTGAGAAGGGCCGCGAGCGCAAAGGCAGAGCCGTGTGCCCATGTAATGCGGCTTCGTTTTCGTTTTCGTTTTCGTTTTCTCGCTTTCGGGTCGTTTTCATTTCTCGTTCTTTTTCCTGCACTTCGCTGAACTCAAACTCGGAGAGGACAAAGTACGGTAACCTGTTGGGTGAGCCCGAGAGTCCATGCCCGAGGCATTTATAGTCAGGTTTGGGCGAGTGAAAAAAGCGCTTAGTTTTGGCATGGAAGAAGCAACACAAGATGCAAACCAGGTGCTGGTAGTGGCGTGCAACATCTACGGAAGCTCCGAGCAGGAGGTCAGCGTATCCCTGCCCGCCTCCACCACAACCAAGGCGCTCCATCGGCTCCTCACAGCCGAATTGGGTCCGCCGCCGACGCCAGGACATTCTCTCCACATCATCAACGTCAAGATCGACGACGACTCCACCCTGTCCACCGTGTGGCCGCAAAGCACAACGGTGACGCTATCCTGCCGATGGGATGCCTACGCCGTGCCCTATCCTCTCACGCGGAACCAAGATCAGGCAACCCTCGCCACTTTGGCCGATGACGTACGTTTTGCTCCCACTTTGTGGCCAGTTGGTTCAGTCAGGCTGCTGGGGAACTGACCTGATCATTCCACTTACTGCATGAGAAGGTACAACGACCCAGGCGGCAGAGGATGCCTAAGGAGCTGCAGGTCATGCTTGACCCCAACAGACATGTGGATAACATCACACCCTTCACCGAAGGCATATATGCGTGGGTAGCCGATCAGGGGGAATGGTCGCATGTCAAGTGGCTCGTCGAAGCGCCCCAAGGGTGCCCGTTCGAGGGTACGGCTTCCATGGATGCTCCTCATCATCTGCAAGAAGTGCTAACCTTTGAGAGGATCATCAGGCTGCGTGTTTGTGGTGCAGACCTACCTGCCGTACAACTACCCATACGCTATGCCGCATATGCGCGTCCTCACGCCAATGCACCATCCGTTGGTGCTGGGGCCTGATGGCAGTCTTCTCCTTTGGCAGGATCAAGGTAACTTGCACATGAGCATCCTTGGCCATTTGATTGAACCCACTCACGCGAAATCCGGCAGGGCTCTTCCTCCCCGACAGGTGGACTCCGCGAGGCTCAGTCGTTCAGCTGCTGCAGATGTTTCGGCAGCAGCTGAAGATGGAGAAGTTCAGCTCCTGGTGGGACCCAGTCATTACCGGACTGCCACATCTGGAAGCTGCCATCGGACTGTGGCAAACGGATACAGAAGGGCAGCTCAAGAAAGCCAGGGCCATGGCTGCATGCTTTGCACGACCTATGGCTAGAGTCCAAGAGTTGAGCAGGCGTGAGTTGCGCGGGTGGGCTGTCGTGATCAAGGTTCCGTACTTTTACTTCTATTATGCAGACTGCTGAGTGCTGACATAATCTGGCCAATGCAGAGCGCGTGCGCTCAAGAAGTGAGCGAACTGCTCATGGTCGTCGACCGCCATCGAAGAACTCGACTGATGGATGACGGTGATAAGGACAAGTCCGGCAGAATACCCCACAAGGAGTTGGGTGATCTGCCGCAAGAACTGATTGAGCTCATCATCGACAGGGTCATCATGTTGCACATCAAGGAGGAAGCAACGTCCACAGGCTTGGTGGTTCCATCGGACTGGAAGAGTCGAGTCATCACCTCCTGGCCTCCTCATACAACATAATGAATAACAATAACATTATCTTAGTTTATATCTTTACCTTTCTTGCAGCTGTTCAGTGGTGAAGCAGTGTAGTACCTTATGGACAACTTAGCAAGCATTGTGTGGTTTTCAATCCCGGGTGTCATGTTGACAGGCCCTGATGAAGGCGAGCTGGGGTACCTGATTGAAGAAAGGGGCTATTGGCCCCAGAAGTACAGCCCTTGCTCTCTTATCAAATAAACACTGACAAAAAAACCCCCACACATCACTGGGGTATCACTGTATCCAGTAGTATCTGCCAGCACCAGCATGCAGTCAGGCTTCTGGTGGGCGTCCGCGTCGGCGTTCCACTTTGGCGGCCAGATGACCTACACCTCAGATCTTCACTTCCCTCTTGCACTTGGATCAGTTCATGCCCCCCAGCTCATGCAGGCGACTTCGGGCATCAAGTACAAGAACTGCAACAACATCTGGCGCTTCTTGACCAATCCAGATCTTCACACCTACAAAGGCGGCGAGACTGTGTCCTGCCGCATGCAGAGCTGGCTCGACGCTGACGGCACTGCCTCACACACTGGATGCAGGACCATGACCAGTTCCGCATGGGCCAATGAGTGGTGGAAGATGCACAGCACCTGCACGCTTGACAATGAGCGGTGGGTGTGCCCCATGGACAGCAAGGACAGCAGCGCTGCCCTCAAGCTCTGCTTCAACCCAGCTCTCTACTATGAAATTGGCATGAGCATCTCGTCAATGGCAATGGAGACAGCACCAAGAACTGCACGGTCGTTGGCAAGGTCACCTTTTTTATGATCAAAATGTATTAGTATACTAATACATTTTAATGACAAGCATGCGTGTGCGAGATATCAGACAGCGTGTGGCTGACGCCTGTGGCACACTTATGGTAGTCTTGGTTGGTGGACTGTATGAGAGTTGAGCAAAGAGATAAAGTGGACAGGGCCAACCAACGGACGGCCGGAAGATTACGATACATTCGTTGCGCCTATCATGTGGTTCAATTAAAATACTGATTCCAGTAATGCTGTGCGGTAGTTTGGTTTTAATTCCGGGAGCACAACTGCGGAGGATTGTGGAATTAAGGTTGCCGCCGAGGAGTTGCCGCCGTTGGCCATCACGAGCGCCTGCGCTTACAGCCCACCGCAATTGGCCAGCGCTCCTCCGCCACACCCTTCAATAGCGTACCGCGGGCCAGACATGTTGCACTTGCAGTTTTTACCTCCGGCGCGTCAACACCATCATGCCGCGCTTCGGCCTCATCGGCCTTCTCCTCCTCCTCACGGTGGCGACCTACTTCATCTCTTCTGGTACCTCCCACCGTCACCACCACGCCTACACAACCCCACCACGTGACGTTTTTTGATCTCTCTCTCTCTCTCTCTCTTGATGGCGATGATTTGTCGATCTCTCGTGTTCACGCTTGCAGGTGAGGGCGCGGTCGACTTTGGTTACCCCGATCGGTGCTTCTTCTCCGTGGGCAAGTCGGCCAAGGGCGCCTGGTGGTTCATCGACCCCAAGGGCTCCCGTTTCTTCTCCAACGGCGTCGATGTCGTCAACTACGGCGGCGACCGAAGCACCACCGGTACGCACACGCGTGCGGAACGGAGCGATAGCCAGAACATAACACTCGCTCACCTACATCGTCCTCTCTCACATCTACACAGGTGTGTCTGCGTACAACGACGCTGTGAAGCGCAAGTTCGGCGGAAGCCAGTCGTCCTGGGCCGACTCGGTCACGTCGCGCCTCGTGTCGTGGAATCTCAACACGATGGGCGCGTGGTGCGACTCGGTGGCGATCAGCAAGGGCATGCCCTACACGCGCGAGATCGGTTTGGGCAAGAACTTCGGCACGTGGGCTCGTGGCATGTTCCCCGACGTGTTCGACCCGGCGTGGGAGACGCGCGTCAACGGCCTCGCCATGGATCGCTGCTCGCCCTATCGCACCGATCCGCTCTTGATCGGCTACTTCCTCGACAACGAGGTGACGACGCACCTTCTCCCCCCCTAACCCACCCATCCTCCAGTCCTAGCATGATGCATCATCGTCATCATCAGCTGACATCGCTCACACACGCACGCTCGCACAGATGTGGTGGGGTGACGACTGGCGGTTGGCGGGCAGCATTCTCGACAACATGCTCATCTCGCTCAACCTGACCTCGCCCGGACGCGTCCGCGCCGTCTCATTCCTCAAGACCAGGTATCCGACCATCACCGCGCTCAACAAGGCCTGGTACGTCCCCCTCGCCCCCCTCCTCCATCGGAATCGACCATTCGCTCGTCCTTGGGTTGGACTCACACGCGCGCGTGGATGTAGGAACACGACCTACACGAGCTTCGACACCATCAAAACGCTTCCCGGTCGTTCGGCCGTGCACACGACCGACTCTAACGACTTTGCCTACATCGCCTCGAGCAAGTTCTTCAACGTCACCGTCTCTGGCATGCGCACCCTCACCCGCCACCGCTTTCGTTGTTGGATGGAGAAGGGAGGAGGCGCGCGCGGAGCCACGTCTGATCCACCGTGCTTGACGTTGTGTGGCATCAGCCATTCGTAAGGTGGACCCGTACCACATGGTCATGGGCGCGCGGTTCGTCGGCAAGCCCATCGACGCCGTGCTCAAGGCTACGGCGGAGTGGAATGATGTAATCTCGATCAACTCGTATCCCAGCAACAGTGAGCGCAATGGTCCGCCCATGTCGCGCATCGTGGCCATCTACAACGCCACCAACAAGCCCATCCTCATCGGCGAGTTTGCCTACAAGGCCAACGTACGCTCGACCTTCTCTCATCACAAGACCTTCTCTCCTTGCACAGACTTTACCTCCGGGTGCGCGAGTGTATCTAACTTCCCATGTCTGTCTGGTGCGGCATGCATAACACAGGACTCTGGACTACCGAACACCAAGGGAGCAGGCCTCACGGTGGCGACGCAGGCTCAGCGCGCGCAGGGCTACAGGAACTACACCACCACTCTGGCTCCCCACCCGGCCTTGGTCGGATTCCACTGGTTCCAGTGGGTAGACCAGCCGGTCGCTGGGCGCGAGAGCGACGGCGAGAACAGCAACTTCGGTCTTGTCAACAAGGACGGTACGAATGTGAAGATGATAGAGCTCCTCTGCCATCAGAGGTGGAGTGTAGTCTCACCAGCGAGTGACTGTTTCGTCTTTGGCGTGGCTTTCTGTGCTTGCAGATGTGACCTACACGGATCTGACCAACATGATGAAGACGACCATCCCCACGCTCTCGACCTTGCACGAGAGCACCACCACGGGCCTCAAGGCTGCCAGGTGCTACAGTACGAACCTGTCCTGCTACACGCCTCCTCTGGCTGTTCTCACACGATAGCCAATCGGAGCTAAAAAACTGACCCCCTCCCCCTTTCCGCTTCTCAGCCACGTTGACATGCCCGAACGGCTGCTCCGGCCACGGCTGCTGCAACACCAAGACCGGCGTGTGCAAGTGCGACACAGGCTTCCTGGGCGCTAACTGCGGCACCGACGCTTGTACCTCGCACCTCTCCTCCTCTGCGGTTCCTCTTGGGTGCGATTGTCTCACTTTGCCAACAACAACAGCCAAACTGCAAGTCACGTCGTTCGGCAGCTCGCTCAACACCACCGTGTGGACGGCGAGCACCTCGACTTCGAGCCCCAGCGAGGCCTTCCAGCCGGGCAAGGTGTCGACGTCGTCCAACCAGCTCAAGCTGGCGATCTCGCCTTGCACGACAGCGGCGCCGTGCAGCGGGAAGAACTTCTCGGCAGGCTCGGTGTTCACGCAGTCAACGAGCTTCGGCTATGGCATCTACACGGCCTTCTTCAAGGCGCCTGCCACTACCGGTTTCACTGCCCAGTTTGGCGTACGCTTTCTCCTCGTCGTCGTCTCTTTGCTCACTACTTCTGGCGATCGTCCACTCACACACGCGTTCGATCATCGTCGTCGTCGTTGTTGTGCTCGAGCAGTTGAACAGCCGGACGTCGTCTCTCGACGCCATCACCCTCCGCGTGCGCGCCAACCAGGGTACTGCCAATAATGGCGGCACGCTCGATTACTACAACGACGGGGCGTACAAGTATCTCAAGTGGATTGGCGGGCTTGCGTTGGGCAACCCGTCGTCGGGCTTCCACAACTACACGATCCACTACATGCCCACCTACTTTGCCTTCTACGCCGGCGGCGTCCTCCTCGGCTCGTACAACTTGACGACGGCGCTGGCCGGGCTGCCCAACTCGACGATGGCCATCACGCTGTTCGTCTCGGCGACCAACACTTCGCCCAAGGTGAGCGACGCCATGTACGTCCAGTCGGTCTCCTACACCCAGGTGGGCGGCACCAAGGCCACTTGCTAGCGACGAGAGGATGAGATCCCTATCTCGCCACAGATCAAGATAGAGATCAAGCCATTGTACCAGCATTCAAATCGCACATTGCAACTGAAGTTGTGCGTAGCAACAACAACGCAGTTTATTGTGAGCGAGGTTTTTTCTAGGATTGTGTTCTCCATCGCCACCTAAATGGACGGTGCAATGTGGCGTTTTCTTGTTCCCCTTTTTAGGGTGTGCCCCTGTGAGGGCAGGCTTGTGGCCTTGCATGTCGTCTGTGGCTTGTCACTATGGTGTCACAATATGCACAATATTGAGACGCATCGAATGCACCCATGTGGAGGCTGATTGCTCATGGTACAAGGGAGAGAGGCCGAATTTAGTAGTGAAAAATGACTTGGAAATTGTGAGAAAAGGAAGAGAAAAGGGCTACCTTGGTTGGACTTGATCGTAGCTCGGTAAAATGATCTTAGAAAAGATGTACAATATTCAGGGCTACAAGATGGTATGTGGTGTATGGCCATGCGGTAACAAGGAAGAGAGATAAAAAATCAAGAATGCGAAATATGCATTTAGACTTGGCATTTTTTGCACTACTACACTGTTTTTTTATCTCTCTTTTTTTTTTGTATTGTGTAAACGCCAACTACTTTACACCTTCCCACATATACACACCCACTTAGAGAGAGA